ACCCCAACCCCAACCCCAACCCCAACCCCAACCCCAACCCCAACCCCAACCCCAACCCCAACCCCAACCCCAACCCCAACCCCAACCCCAACCCCAACCCCAACCCCAACCCCAACCCCAACCCCAACCCCAACCCCAACCCCAACCCCAACCCCAACCCCAACCCCAACCCCAACCCCAACCCCACATAAAAAATATTTATTAAAAATAAAATTAAAAAATAAGGAATATCAATTAAATAGTAATTAATATTTTAAAATTTTACAAAAAATTTTAAGTTTTTAAAGAATAAATAAATTGTTGTAAATTTTTAAAAACTCCTCCCAATTAAATAATTTTTAAAAAATAATTTAATAAATTAAATATTAATGAATTTGAATTATTTTTATTTTTTACTAAATGCAATTTTCAAAATTTAATGTAAATTGATTTAAACAAAAAATGATTAGATTATAAAAAAAGTAGTTCTTATAATTAATATTTTACTATCTTGTTATATCAAAATTAGCTTTTATACTTCAAATATATCAGCTATTTTTGCTTTATGATGTAAAAAATTTTAGTAATAAAAATATTTAAACTATATTTTAAAAATAGGACTAGACTTTTTAATCTTGGAGTTTTTGGATATTTGTTATAACAATAGTTGTGAATCGATATGTTATTTTTAAATTATACACAAAAAAATTTTAATTTTCAAAATTAAAATCTTTGTTTCTCTTTCTAACATTCACTGAAGACATTTATTTCTACCTTAAATTGAATCTCAGCTTATCTCAAAGTACATAAGTGTAAAACTAAGATGATTATGATGATTTAGAATAGATATTTTTTTTAAGTTAAGACTTTGAATCTAAATTTAGATTTTTATTTTAACTCTTAGAAATTCATCAAGGAGTTTTCCATTTAAGCAAGGTAATTAGCTATATTTAGAGTGTTAACAATTAATATTACGGAAATTTTGTAGTTTAGTTTTTTATGGTAACTTCAGTGGCTCTTGATTAATACTTGTTTTGGATGAATATCATATTTTATCTACAGTTCATTTTTAGATTTGAAGATTTAGGTTTAGATAAAATTTTTATTAAAGAATCCATGATAACCATTTTAAACTTTGCTTCATGCATTACCTTATTCACATAAAATTTCGAAATAGAAAATTTCATTTGGTGTTTTCTTGCTTTTAACTTTGGAAATTCTCTATTTTATTACAAATCAATTAAAAATAGAGCAAATTATTGCTACTTCAGCTTCTTGTCTTTTGTTTTAGTAATTAAACTGCTTATGCACATTGATGTTGAGATAAGAGTTCCTTTACAAAATTATGAATCTATCGGATCTCTTACACTAAACCAAACAATAAAATTTTCTTTATCTCAAAAATGCTTTCTTTTGATGTTCTTCTTAATAAAATTATATCTCTCTAAACAAATTACTTTAAATTCATACTTTGCTTTGAGTTTAGCTTTATTATCGATATCAATTTAAGCAGGAAGATTATTTTACTATTTAGATATTATTAACATTAATAATCCCTTTTAATTAGAGATAGATAATGTATATGATCTTAAAAAATATATGAACTTATATTCACTTTCATCAAATTCCTAAAATAGAAAATTCTTTTAAAACATATAAACTATTAAAATATTCATTAGACAAGAACATTACTTAGATTAAAAAGATTTAATAAAATGTCTATTCTGCTCTTTTGGAACACTTGAGATTAAATCTTAAAGTTATTAAAGGACTTTTATAATTAATTCAAACTAATTTTAATCTGTAAAAATTTAGGAACCAGTTAATGCTAAATTATTTTAAGAAGGATTTCGCTACTAGAAAATTCTTCCATCAATAGCTTAGTTTGAAATACCTGCTAATAAAATATCAGATTTTGAAAATATAATTCAGTTTTTTTATCAAAGTAATATATTTATAAAGATAATAAACCTAGATATAACATTTTTTATTGACAAAAAAAACACTAAGATAAAAAATTACAATCAATATGTCAAAGTAATACAAAGGACTATAATATAATTTATGATATTCACAAAACATATGTCTTTAGAATAAATATTCAATCCTAAAATAATCTTCTACGATATTTTTGAATGAAAATGTTTTTTATTTATAGAGTAAAATGCCTTTTTAATTTTGGATAAATATTGCTAATTAATATTTAATTAAAAGAAATATTGACAAATATTTAGTGTAAAAAAAAAAAAATAAATTTTGAAAATTTTTTTTAATAAAAAAATTTTTTTCTAAAAATAGTTAAATAAGTAAAAAAAGGAAAAAAAAAATAAATATTTTAGCCATTAAAATATATAATTAACTGTAAGGTAAAAAATGTATATTAGATAAATTAGTAGCTAAAAGCAAAAAAAATTTTATAATTGCTAATATTTTAAAAAAGTAGGCTATTCATTCAAGAAATATTCATGTTATTTATTGTTAAATATTTAAAATATATTTTTGTTATGATTTTGAATTCATTTGTAGAGAAAATATAATATACAATTTAATATTTATTTTTAACATTTTTGAAAATAAAATAAATATTTTATCATAAAACTAATTATCAAGCAAATCCATTTAAAAATTTAGCACTTTTATTTAAGATATTTTAGAATCTATTTAATAAATCTAAAACAAATGATCTACCTGACTTAATTCTATTTGAAAAAAGTAGACTTAGACTATTAATTAATAATATTTTATATTTTTTTAAATTAAAGTAGAAAAAATATTAATTTATTTGCTATAATAGTAAGCATAACATTTTATCAACTCATTTCAATTATAATATGACCTATTTTACAGTTTAATAAAATCCGAAACAATCTACATTTACTAAAGATATTGTATCAAGTTTATTATAATCTATCAAGGATCTTACCTGTTAAAAGTATGTTTAATAATACTTTTGAGTTTATTTTTATTTTGCAAATTATATTTTATTTCAGAAGGCTCATTTTCTTTTAAGCAAGGGCTTCTTTCGTTGCAGCTAACAATGCAGTAAAAAAATTATTTTTATACATCGTTATTTATACAATCACTTTACAAAGCGCAAATTAAAGATTTATCTTAACAATTTTGCAAAAAGCATTCTTGTCCAATATTTAAGCTATCTACGCAATCCTATTCATTAATATCATCGTATTACGAAGGAAGGTAACACACTTAAAACTCACATTACTCTTAGCACTAATATACTTAGAGAGTGAACTATACTTGATACAGAAATGCTAAGCCTAAAATTAAATATCTACTTTTAATCATATTACTTGCTGTATTTCAAATCAAAATTAGCTATTAAGATGTTTGTTTTTACAAAAAATTTGAATTAAAAACGAATAAATAAATTTCTTTATCAAATTATTTATCAAAGTAAAAAATAATACATAAACTAGTATTCAACAAATTTAAATATAAATGCATTTAAATTTGATACATTACATTTATAAAATAAATGAGAGATAAACTCATAAAATATAATAAGCAATGATGGTATTCGTCATCATAAATAAAATTTTAAAGTAAAACATTAATTTAATGGAAAAAAACTCTCTCTTTTACTTTAAAATTACATTAAAAAAAGCTGAGCTTTATAAACTTTAAAAAATGAATAAATTTAATACAATAAATTAATAATTAAACATGCTCTATCTAGAGTTATTTAAGACTAACTTCTCTAAAATAAAATATAATATTATTAATTAAATAAATAAATTAATGATAAATGATAGAGATATAATTATGTCTTAAATCATTAATTTTCATATTACGAAAAATAAAAGCACATTGTTTATTAGTGACTGAAAAATAATTTTGACAATACAAATTATTAAACTTAGTTTTATAATTGAAATTATGATATGAATTAATCCTTTAAATTAATAATAATAATAGGTAGTAGATGTATAGTTGAACTTCGAATTAGTAGCTATACTTAAATTTGTGTGATATATCTTTAAAAAGATCAAAAATAAATTTTTTAAGTAAAAGCGAGTAAAATTAAATTAGAATAACTATTTAATTTATTTTAAAATTTATATCATTTTTAATGTAGAATAAACCAGAGAATTTATTTCAATTATTTAATTATTAAAAGCCAAACATTCCCAATTACAAATAATTTCTGCTAAATTTTTGTTCATTTATTAATAAAACTAGAATTAAGTATATTAAAAGCAATATCAAAGATTAACAAAAAATCATCATTCAACCAAATGATTTAAGATAACTCATCGTTTAGATAAAGAAATGTTTACAAAATGATATAGCACAAACTTCAAAGCAACTATCAACGCTCTAATGTTATAGAATAGGATATTCAGAATAAAGACCTGAAGGATTAAGCAAATATTCAAAGCGGGCAATTAATTTTGCGATAATCAAGATCTCAATAGCTATCAACAACTCCTAAAACTAATTCCAAAAGCTCTAATGATAAGATGCCTTACATACATTTTAATACGCCTTAAGCTATAATAAAAAATAAATTTAAAGATAAACTGTTTTTGAGTTAAAAATTTTCACACGATCAAGGAGAAACCAATAATTATAAAAAATAGCTAAGTATTGCTTCTAGCCCAATTCAAAAACCATTAGATTTGAATTCATCTCAAATTAGCAACACAAACTCAGCTTATTACATTAATCAGAACTTAGAATAATGTTTTTAAAAGCCATAATAAGGAAGACTCATTTATACCTCTTAAAATTTTGTTAACTTTATAAAAAATAAAATTAGAAAGTCATAACCCACTCATTAAAAATTTTCTATTTACTCTGAGGAATCTTCACAATTATTAGAATAAAGTATGTACCTTTTAAACATGGCAGATTCTAGAATTCTAAATTTGAACTAACCATATCAGGTTGAAATCGAGGAAACACTTCAAAAAAGTCAGTAAAAGAATTTCTATTCGCCAGGTAAAGATAGATTTTGTTAGCTTTTCTTCTATTTATTTAAAATAATTTGATGCTGTCAGCAATAATTTTGTTATTATATATCTATCTACTCGATAACTTCTACTTTACTTATAAAGTTTTAAGAGAAAATAAGAAGGAGTAAATCACTTTGATTGAGAATAAGTTTGAATTCTTTAAGATTGATTGCTAAGATAAACAGTTTCCCCTTTCAATTTAGGTGCTAAAATTGAATGGTTAATTTAAGATATATTGGTCTGTATCTAATCCTACTCCTGGAACAAACTTGTATCAAAAAAAGAACTTTGCATGCATAGATGTTACAAAAGAATAATCATGGAAAATAGACCTGAACCAGTATCAGAAGGAAACATATCAAAAACCTGAATTTGTTTATCTTGGTTTTATTTCTTAAAATTACAACTTCATCGAAATAAAATTTTGGTTTACTGGTAAAAGCATTTAAAATCTTTATTAAAATCTTAAAATTGAATATTTATAAAAAAAGATTTAAATCTATAAAAGTATCGAAAGATGAAACTCTCCTATGATTAAATAAAAATTAGCAACCCAAAAGTAGATGCAAAATATGTATAAAAAAGAAGAGAAAATACTGAGATAGACATTGTCTAGTAGCAGGAAGAAATTTGTAATTTAAAATTTATTTGATAGAAAATCATTTTTCTTTTAGATTAGATTTACTTAAAGAGAAGAGAAAAGCTAATTCAGCAAAGCAAGTTTGGTGACATAATTAATCATAATAGAAAAAATGTATCTGAATTCTCTTAAGAAAAAAGATAAAAGGTGTTGGAATCAGTAAAATATATTATACAGAATATTATGTTTATTAAAATAAGTATGTTATTTATTTATTTATACAGTAATTTCAAGAGAAAAACCAGCATATACAAGAAGTCAATTAGAAAAAATAAATTATTGAAACACAAAGTGTAAAGAAGAAGGTCCAGAGTATTCTCTAAAAAACGATTGAAAGAATTATGAAACAAGAGATTCAAAACAAAGAGTTATAAAAAGTCCTTTTTAAGAAGCAAACTATAGACTGGATTTAGATTCTTTCGTTAATATAGTTGATAGATGTAATTCGAAAAAAAATAGAAGTAATATGAATTATTTATTTTAAATTATTTACATTTCAATTTAATATTTAAATAGTAACACAAATAAATGAAATACTTAGTTAACAAAAAAAGTGGAATTGTCAACACTTTTTTGCAAAAATATAGGATGTAAAAAAGTGTTTTGTATCCATTAAAATCAAATTCAATAGAATAGGTAAAACAATTTTTTTAATTAAATTAATTAAAATAATTATTATTCTGTTGACTCATTATTGATTAAGAGAATTATTTATTATGAGTATTAAATTTGCACATTACTTCTAAATTTAATAAAAGGTTTTGCTTTATAAAAATATTAATAAATTTTGTTAATAATAGTTAAATTAAATTTTATTATTTTAGTTAAATAATTGAGAAAGCAGAAAAGGCAATTTATAGTACTTCTTGATACACCAGAGAGAAAAAATTATTGTTTATTTCTATTTTAAATTCATTTGATAGAGATAAATAATAAATTGTTTTCACTTCTCATTTTTAATTTGCTTTAGGAAAGATCTTCAAATTAAAAATAATTTTTATAAAATTAAATTAACCTTAAATCTAATTATTAATAATTATTTATAACTGTTAAGTATTTATTTATATTAAAATAATCTGTTTTAAATTATTTACATTCATTTATTTATTATTAAGTCTAAAAATTGGTTGAATTTGGTTGCTCTCTCTTACACTTTAATGAAATTCTAATTTATGAATAAATAGGTTTAGATTCAATCAGTCAATCAATAAATCAATAAATCAATCAATTAATATAATACGCTAAAATACAATAAAATTTATTAAATCAGGGATATAACAATTATACTTTTTTGAATCAATTCTTTTATATTTCGGATAAATAATTTAGAGAAGCTAAAATTAAATTTATCAACTGGTAGACATGAGTATACATATTGTGTTTTAGGGTTTTCAAAGATTTAAATTAACTTAAAAATCTATTTTTAAATTGATTTATATTAACTATTATAATAGCTAATTTATAAAAAAAATGAAATAGAAAGACTTTGTTTATTTATTTAAGCTTATATTTGATTACAATTCTTTACAAAAATTGGTATTTATTTTAACAATTAACGATTCCAATTAATGAATATTTATTTATTGATGAATGTGTAAGCGATATTGCTAAATTTAGAAATTGCTCGTAATTATTTTTAAATATTTTTACATAACTTATGCTTATCATTCATTTTTATATTTAGTAATCCATTTATATCGAAAAATGATGCAAATGATATCAATTCGGAACAATGATAAAAGAATAAGCTAATAATTTAATTTAGAAGAAAAGGTCTTTTGGATTGTAATTCATCTGTAAAAATTCTTTTATAATTAATAGGAGGTACTTCAAGAAATTCCTTAGAGATCTCCAAAGCAAAACAAACAAATTTAATTAAAAATATTAGATATATTAAGTTAACATTAAATGAGAAAGATTGTCCTTCTTTTAGCTCTTTTGAGTTTGGCTTTCGCTGACTAAAACCCCATTTTCTTGAACGAAACTTACAACACTGGTTTTGTTAAGATCAGAAAGGATAGCGACATTTTCTATTGGTAATTTGACTCTCGTTCAAACCCTTCCACTGATCCCTTGGTCATTTGGTTGAATGGTGGCCCTGGTTGCTCTTCCCTCACTGGTCTTTTTGCTGAAAATGGTCCTTTCAAGGTCAATGACGATCTTACTCTCTCCTCCAACGCCTACTCTTGGAACTCCAATGCTAACCTCGTCTTCGTTGACCAACCCGTAGGTAAGAACAAAAACATCATTTAATTGTTTTTTACTGTTATTACTTCTCACTCTCTATTTACTTGATTTCTATTCATAATTTATAAGCATTCAAAATCAAATCCAAACGATAAATTAAAATTATATAAGTATAATTAAAATAAGGAAAGCAACCTAAGATTTACTATTTTTTAAATTTTAAGATTCCTTTCTATTTTGACAGTTTAATCGATAATTTCTATTTTAATAAGGTACTGGATACAGCAGAGCTGGTTTCAATGAATTCACTCACAACGAAACTTAAATTGCTGAAGATTTCTACTAATTCTTACTCGGTCTTTATGGTCGTTTCCCTCAATTCAAGGGTAAGAAACTCTTCATTACTGGTGAATCATACGCAGGTCACTACATCCCTGCCATCAGTGCTAAGATTGTCTCTGAAAACAACTAATGGATCAAGCTCGCTGGTTCTGCCATCGGTAACGGTTTGGTAAATATTCAAGATATTTATTAAGTTTTTCTTGCTTATTTTGTGAATTAAATGTTCATTCAAATAAATAAGTTTCTGTTAAATATTGTAACAAACTTTAATGACAAATAAATGGATGATTATTAATTTAATCTTGTTAAATATAATTTTTAAAATTTCACTTTAATTATTAAAATAGGTATCTCCTTACTAATAATACCCCGAATATGCTAACTTTGCTTATGAAAATAACTTGATCGGTAAGGTTAAATACAACATCTTAAAGGGAGCTTTCTGGGCTTGCCAACAATTAATTAAGGCAGGTGTCTCTTGGTTAGCTACCATGGAAGAATGCCAATTAGGTGTTACCAGCATTTTGGGTAATCCCTTAAAACCTAAATTCAATGTTTACGATATCAGAGACAAGTGTTCTACTCCTCCTCTCTGTTACGATTTCTCTAACATTGACAAGTTCCTTGCTTTACCTCAAGTTATCTAAGCTCTTGGTACTCAAGGCAGAAAGTGGGTTGAATGCTCTAAGCCTGTTCACTTAGCTTTAACTGCTGACTGGATGTTAGATCTTTCTCCTCAAGTTTCTTACCTCTTATCTAAGGGTGTTAAGGTCCTCGTTTACTCTGGTGACTAAGATTTCATTTGCAACTGGAGGTAATCTATATATCACAAATTATTTAACCAACTTTAAATATTACTTATTTATTTATTTACTTACTTACATTATTTTCCTAATTTTAACAGAGGTGGTGAAAAGTGGACCTACGAACTCTAATGGAGCAAACAAAAAGAATTCTAATAAACCGAATACACTTAATGGTAAAACTTCGGTGCTTACAAGACTGTTGATAACTTCACCTTCTTAAGAGTCTACTAAGCTGGTCACATGGTTCCTATGGATCAACCTCAAGCTGCTCTTGAAATGCTTAACCTCTTCATCAGTGGTCAACCCTTGTGAAGAACTTGCTGAAAAAAGTCTAAATTAAAATATAATATTTTTATAAAACTTAATAATAAATTTAAATGTAAGGATAATGAATGTATATTCGTTAATAAGTAAATTAACTGCTTTCTTTTCAAATGTTAATAAAAATTAAATTTTTGAAAAATTCTTAAACTTTATATAAAAATTTTTAAAAGCATTAAATTATTTTAAAATTTAATCTTATTTTAAGCTATTTTGAGTAGACAAAATGTAATAATTCATTGATTCATGCTACACTATTTTAATTATTTTGATAAAAATATAATTTTTATGCAATTATTAAATTGTTGGCTAACTCTATTCTTCCATTTAAAGAAAAATTATAATAAATTAATTTATGAAAGAAATATTGGAAATTTTTTTAGAATTTAAGGAAGTATTTTTTAGCTTTAGTAAATAAATATTTTAATAACTTCATCTGAAATTTAATTTATAAAGCTTACTACTAAGCAACATGCATGTTTAGGATCATTGTAAAAAGTCAAGTCTTTAATTTATTTTTTTAATGCTCTTCATTTTCAGTATGAAAAACTGCTTGAATGTAGTATAAAATAGAATATTTTCAAGAGCTAATATTTATTTGTTTTAACTTAAGATGATTATTCTAAATAATAAACTAATATTTGAAAGTCTAAATTTTAAGGTTTAACTTATTTTCTTAAAAGCTTAATCAAGAAGATAATTTATTCCAAATCCTGAACTAAATTATCCGGAGATTTTATACACATATTATTTATGATTGAGAACCCCTTTTAAATAATATTTATTTTATTTATTTTCCAGATAAATTAATATTTTTGATATTTTTTGTTATCAGTAACAAAATATTTTCATTGAATCCTATAAAAATTAAAGTAGAAAATTAAAACAAATTATGATAAAAAACTTTTTTATCATTCATATCTTCAATACAAAATAATTTTTGCAAAAATGAAACTTTAAGCTCAATTATTTTTTAAAAAAGGTTCATCAAACTAATAGTTAATAAGTATATCTAAAACTCTGAAGATGATAATATGGAATTTTACACTTTAATAACAATTTGATTCAAAACTCAGTCAAAAAAATAATTTAATTTATTTTTCATATTTACTTAAAAAACACTTGCGATATTTTTAGCATTAAGTATCAATATTATCTCCCTTTTGGCTAAGATTTATATTGTATTTTATTTATGATTGAGAACCCCGCAAAAATAATAATTATTCAATTTATTTTTAAGGTAGTTAAATTAATATTTATGATATTTTTAGTCTTCACTATCAAAATGTTTCCATTTAATTTTGCAAAAAATAAAATAGAATACAAAACTAAATTATTTTTAAATAGTTTTTTTATTATTATTCAAATCTTAAATAAAGAATAATTTTTTCAAAAATCAAACTATGGGTTAAATATTTTCTTAAGAAAGACTTATCAGACTTATAGTTAAGTATATCTAAAACCCTGAAAAGGATAATAGGTAGATTACACTTAAATAATAATTTGACTCAGATTTCCGCCAAGATAAAAATAATTTAATTTATTTTTCATAAAAAATAAACTAATAATTTTGATATTTTTAGTATTGAGTATCAAATTACCTCTATATTGTTATAGAAAAAATATGATAGAATAAAACTTAATAATATATATAAATACTATGATTCTATGCAAATCTTTTTTTTATTTATGGTTTATTTCAGTGAGTTTATTATAATTTTTCACAAGCTCGTATTTATAATAACAGAGTTTAGTCTAGAATGGTTTTGTTATTTATTTATTTAATTATTATCTTTATACTTTAACTACCTGATCAGTTGTGTTTACATTTGGTTTTATTTACTAAGTTAAAATGTAGTGATTTTGAACAGGATATTTTATAATTTATTTACTAAATATAAATTATTAAAAATAAAAGTAAAAGGAAGAAATAATAAAACAATAAAATAAAATGACATCTAAATAAGTAAATTAATTTGAAAATTATGAATTATTTGATATAAAAATACTTTATATACTAATAAAAATATTTTTAAAATTAGTTAAGTTCTTGCTAAACTTACAAGCTAGAAAAAAAGTAATTGATATAAACTTAATAAATATTACTGTGATTTAAAATCAAATTAAAAAATAGAAATTTTAATCTAGATGACTAATAAGCTACCATATTATCTAAAGAAATATCTTCTAGAAGCACTAACCTGATAGAGTTATTTATATTTTTAAGGTAAATAATTTTATTTCCTTAAAAATGTTAATACTTTCTAAAATTTTGCTTGATGCATATAATGAATGATATATATAATTTTTAATAAAAATATCATAAAAGTTCAAATTAAATAGGAAATCAAGGAGCTTCTAATTTTGCTAAATAAATTTCTTAATGTTTAAATTTGTCTCAAGTAAAACTTGACTTTAGGTAAATAAACATCTTTTTTTAAATTCCTTAAAAATTAAGTATTTTTCTTACTAAATCGAAAAATAAATATCTATTTTTAATTTAATTAATTTAAAAAAAATAGTTTCAACTTAATTAAAGAAAGTGGATTCATAGATTTGTGCAATAGCCTAGGAAATTGTTTAAAAATTTCAAGTTTAGAACTTGCTTTAAGGTTATTTAATCTAATAAAAAATTGATAGCACTTGGTCTTATAATATAAATTACTTTATTATTTTAGGTAGAATATGATTGGTGATGATGGGTTCCAAAAATAACCTCTTTAACAAAGTTTTACTCACTTAAATAACTTAACCATTTATTTAGGGTAAGTATTTTCTTTCAATAATTATTTTTTTAAATAATAGATTAATTTTAATTTTTTTTACTATTTTAAATTATTCAACACTTACTGTTGCTGTTGATTAATATGAAGAAAAACTTAAAATGAAATTTTAAGAATTAATTAAAAAAAATAGTTTTCCTTTTAAAATTACAAAATGTAATAAAGCAATAAAAAAGTGTTTTGTAATATTTTGGTTTATTTATATTTAAAAATAAATTATTTTAAATGAAAAGATTTAATAATATTGGTGATAAAGGAGTATAATTTTTGACTAAAACTATACTTTAATGTGAAAATGTGAATCAATTAGATCTCAATTTAAAGTTTTTAATTTTTTTTTGAGATAATAATTTTTATTTTAATTTATTATTTTATAACAAAAGCTAAAATAAAATTAATTCTAAAGGGGCAAGTAAGTTAGGAGCCATCTTAGCTAAATTTTAAAAGCTTTAATGCTTGGAAATAAATATAGAGTAATTAATTTTAATTGATTATTTTACACTTTACTGTGGTCCCTAATTAAATGGGAAAACAAAACCTTTCAATATTATTATTAAATTTATAATTTAAAAATTTTCTACTAAAATTGTGGCTCGATTAATACTGTCGATTTATTTATTGAAGAATTAGAATATTTATAATATGTGTTAGAATAGCTTTTCAAATTAAAAAAAAATTTATTTTAGATAAAATGATATCTCTGATTAGGGAGCTTTATTTTTGGCACAAGGAATAGCATAATGTACAAATCTTACAAGACTAAAAGTCAATTTCGAGTAAGTGCTCAATTTATTAATAATTTATGTGAGAAGTTAATTTATGATTTTTAATAAAAGTATCTAAAAAATGATATCATAGACGAATAAAGATTTCTTTACCAGCTTGAAGACTTTATCTAAACTAAACATATTATAATTTGGATTTGAGTAAAATAAATAAGAAAAAAATGAAAAATAAATAAATATTTTTGGATAGTATAAATTCTTAGATATCAAAAGAATTAACAACTGGAATCTCTGAAATTAAGAATTTGAGTCATCTAGAACTTAATTTAGTGTAAATGTTTATTTTCAGTAGTTTCTAATATAAAATCATATAAATATTAATTTATATAATTATCTGATAAATTAAAAGATCCATTTAAGACAAAGAAAGTGAGAAGATAGCAGAAAACATAGGAAAACTAGTAAATTTAAGTTTTTTAAAAGTTTATTTCAGGTAATAATTAACTATTTAATTAGTTTTAAATAATATATTTAAAATAAAACTTAAATTAAAAAAAACTAGAAAAGTAAATGTAGAAAATGTTGCTAATATCTTTTCAAGATTAAAATAATGTGTAAATCTATCTGATTTATAGATATATCTAGAAGAAAATCATGGTCCCTTATTTGAATTGAATAATTTTTTATGCAATATGATCAACCTTAAAAAATTAACTATCGCAATTATGTAAATTAAATAGTTTAACATCATATGTCTCTATCTCATTAACCAATAATTTTATAAACACAAAAGGAATTAATATGGTCCGATACGTATAGATATTTCTCATTTAAGTAAAGGAATATCCTGCTGTGAAATCTTAGAAAGTTTAGAAATTTATATGAAGTAAATTGATTTATTCTACATTTCTCATAACTTTTAATGAATTTGCTATCTTAAAAAATATGTTTTTTAAAGTTATTTGTCAAGCAAAGATATTTCTGTGTTAGGAGAAGGGATAGGGAAATGCAAAAAATTAACTAATTTAACTCTTTGTCTTGAGTAAGTTTACTTTGCAAATATTTTATTTATCTTTTGAATTATATTCAGCTTTTCCTTTAAATAATATATTTATAATAAATAAATGATATAAAATAAATAATTTAATATCAATAAAGAGGGGATTCAATTGATGATTGTATAGTATAGGAATTAGGCTAAAATATAGGATTATGCACAAGTCTTAAGGAAATCGATATTAACTTTTAGTAATTTAATATCTAATAAAATATTTTTCTTAAATAAAACACACTTTTAAAGATAAACAATATAACATTTATCCAAATAATTAATAAAAGCAAGCAACTCATTTTAATAAAATAAATCTTCAATTAAAATAAAAATGGAAATTTTATTAGGATACATAAAATATTACCAAAATATCTATATTAAATTATAACTCAATTTTTTTAATTTACAAATTAAAATAAAAAATTTATAAAATTACAAAAAATGAGATATTTTATATAAATTAACTGATATAAAAATAATTTAAAAAGACATAATTAAATTTGTGATGGTGGTGCATTTGATTTTCTTTAAGGTTTGTCAAAGGCAGTTTTGTTAGAGTCTATAAAGCTTAACTTGGGGTAAAATTATACACAATTAACTTTCTTTTTAAAAGGATTATTTCTAAATAGTAAGAATATAGTTTGTACAGATAATGCATCGTTGATAGGTTAAGGTTTGAGTCTTTTCTAAAACTTAAAAACTTTAGATATTGATATAAAGTATTGATTTTTATTATTATAATTTATAAAAGCAAATTTTATTTTATTTGAAATTGATAAAAATTTTAAAGTGATACTGATATTGATAACGACCAAGCGTTTAAACTAGGACATAGCTTAATATAATGCTAAAATGTTACAACTCTTCGTTATGACATTAGGTAAATATATATAAATCGAATAAATTTTCATCAAACCTAAATTTATCCTATTAAAGTGCATGTCAGAATCTAGAAGAAGAAGGGGTAGAAAGATTTGAAAATTAAATTAAAAAAATGAAAAGGTTAGTCTAATAAACATATTATAGTTATTGGGATTGAGACAAATAAACTGATGACATTATTTATTTGATAATTATTTAACTTAATAAAATTTATCACTTTAAACCATTTATTGTAAATTTATGATTTGTGCAATTTAAAATATTTATTAATAAAAATTAACTAAAAAAAAACAAATAATAAATAATTAATATTCAAATTTATTTAGTTATTAATTAATATTTAAAATAATTTGGTATAAAATTCTAGTTTAATTATTTCTCCTATTCAAAATTATATTTAATGTAATTACATCATTATTACCATAATGATTTGCTTAGAAAATTTTTTGATCTAATCTTTTACAAATTAAATATAATTTGGCCAAAAAGTTTTTTCAGAGCTGATCTTAATATTTCAGTAATTACAGTATAATATTAAGGTATTTTAAATTTTAACTTTTTATTTGAAACTTTAATTTTTATTATTGTCTCTTTTTATTCTATGGTAAATTAATTATTTTTTTAAGATCTAAATATTTAAAATAATTAAATAAATGAGTTTTTCAATTTAAATAAAGCAAATACTTATCAAAATTAAGTGAAAATTATTAATATGTATCAAATTTATTATAAACAGCTTTCCTAACCCATTTTATTTACAAATAAAAAGCAATTTTATTTATTTTTGTTAAGCTTAAAAATATAAATGATATATTTATAAACAGGTAATCTCATTTGAACATTATTTTAATCTATTCGTATGGTCAATAATTCATATTATTTTACATTTAATAATTACAAAAACAAAACACCTTAATTTTTTTTTCGTAATTATAACTATTAGAACATAATTACAAAATTTAAGTAGAATTAAAATAAGAAGCGAAAAAAATTGATAGAAATAATAATAATAACAAAAAAAAGATTAAATTAGCGAAATGAGTAAAGTAAGCTTTTCTAGTGATATATAAAACTTTTAAAATAAATCAATACAAGGGAGGATATTTGATTAGAATGGAGTAAAAAGCTTAAAAGGAGATCATGAATATATTAATTCATCATCATCACATTATTATGGTAAAGATGATAAAGATATTATTGCAGCATAAGAGGGAAAAAGCTTTTCAATATTAAATGAAAACAAACAGCAATTCCAAGAAACTTTCATGGATGAAAGTAAGCTAGTCAAGAAGTTTAGTGAAGCCTAATTAATAAGTCAACTAAATATTTTATGTGAGCAATCATCTACTTTGATAAAACAAAATGTTGGTGATAGCACTGGAATAAGAAATTAAAATGACAAATAAGATGATTCAGTAGCAGATTCAGATAGCTAATTCCATAAAATAAATAAATAGAATTTGAGAAATAATTCATTAAAAAATGATGATAACTAAAATTGCTCAGAAGATTATAAATAGGATGATTTAGCGGACCCAGAATCTTGCCAAAATATAGAATAACATGTCTAAATTTAAAGTAAAAATAATATTTAAAATAATCCAGTAAATAATAATAACAACCCAGCAGATGCAAGATAAAGTATATACAACTATTAAAAAGCTGCAAATATAATTAACAGTATTATAAATAAATCTATGAGTAGAGTTTAGCGTGTGAATAATCATGTTGAAAATTTTATCTTACAACTTAAATACAGGATGAATAACAGAAAGTTTGAAGATTTATCGGAGAATCAGCTTAAAATATTGAATGACTTGGTTTACTTTCATCAAAAAAAGAGTAAAAACAAGTCAATCTATTTACTTTTTTATAAGCTATACTAGTTATTTGAGCTTAAAAAGCCTCTACCTGTTTTTATGCCTACTGACTTAATTAGAGTGTACTGGGATATCTTCTAAGTTTTATTTACCTTTTCATTCATTTATATTTATTCAATTTTAATGTTCTTCTTTTAAGATCAAAATGATTCGTATTTTACCGAATAATACTTTCTGTACACTTTCATAGTGTTTTTATTTGACATTTTGGTTAACTTCAATACAGCATATTTTAATCAGGATTCTATCATCACAAATAGAAAAAAGATATCCTTGAAGTATTTAACCTCTATAATATTCTTAACTGATTCTATCTCTCTTTTTGTTATGGGATATAAGGTAACAAATAAAAATACAAATTTAGTCTACAATCCCTCTAACTCATTTAGCACTTTTGTAGTGAATTTGTTAATTTTCCTTAAGTTAAATGGTATTCAGCCAAAAATAAATCGCTTCAGCTATGCATTCACACTAAAAGAAAGCTAAAAGCATGTGATTAGGCTTTTTAATTAGCTACTAACTGTCCTTGCAGTTGCTCATACAGGTTTTTAATATTTTAACCTCAATTTACAAATTAATTAAAATTTACTAAATAATATAATTGCAAACCTCTCTATTAATCGTTAATTTTTTAATTAAGCGAATTAATCAGATTTTAAATAAATTAAATAAAAAGAATTTTTCTACTGATTCTATTTTTAATTTATTAGTTTAATCCACCTTTTTTCTTTTAATTAATTCTCCACAAAAATTAAATATTTTATTTGTTTTAATATATATAGTAAGTCTTGGTTGGTATTTTTTAGGTTTATATGAGCTATAAAATGGTTTTTCTAATCCATGGATATAAAAATACTAATTAGATGGATTAACTTAATTATAGAAATACATTTATTCGATGTATTGGGCTATAACAACAATGACTACAGGTATATTAAATACACAAAATAAATCAAAACTAATGACAATTTTTAAAAAATAAATTAATAAATCTAGTTGGATATGGAGATATATCAGCATGCAATTATATAGAAGCACTTTTCATATCGATATCAATGATTCTATTTAGTTGCGTCTTTGCGTATTCTATAAATAATATTGGGTTTATACTCTAAGAAATAGAAAAATCATCTAAGCAATTAAATGATAACATAACTACTATTTAGAGGTAATTTATATGAATTAATTGTCCATGTAATTAAATTAAATATTTTAATTTAAAGGTATCTTAACAGAAAAAATGTTTGTATATCACTTAAAAGTAGAGTAAGACATTATTTATCATTCTTGGCTGAGGAGTAGAAAGACAGAAATTAAAGCCAAGAAAATCAAATTTTATAAACTTTATCTAATAAATTAAGAAATGAAATCACGATAGAAATAAATTCAAGAATATTAAAAAATTTTTCAATTTTCACTGCAAATTTTTCATCTTAAACTTTAAGGAAATTAGTTTTCATAATGGAAGAAGTTCTTATTTCTCCCAACGAAATTATATTTGAGCAAGAAGATCATAATGATTAATCTATATATTTTGTTGAAAGTGGAGCTATTGAAATTTATCAAATAAGCCCTCCAAGTTTAAGCGCGAGTAATTTTAGTGGTAACAGTGTAAATAACATTCATGTGATAAAATAAATTCAACAAAATGAGCTTTTTGGAGAAATATCCTTTTTTTCTGGGTTAGCCAGAAAGGCATGTGCAAGAAGTTTAAATTTATCAACTTTATATAAAATTGACAGATAAAAATTTATTGATTTGGTTAAAGAAAATGATGAAGATTTTGAAAGATTTAAAATGATGGAAGAATAAATAAAAATACAATAAGACTTACCTTAAGTTTTTATATCATGCTATGTTTGCTAATAAGGAGGCCATATCGCTTGCAACTGTCCAAAAATACATTAAATATTCGATAAATAATATAAAATCTTGAAATACAATTTCAGTATATTTTAAGATAGGCAATTTTTTGAAAGATCTCATAAAAAGAGTAGAATAGATCCTTGGTAATTATTTTTTTTATCCTATTTTATAAATTAATAAATCCAATTTACTGTAATTTCTTAAAATCTTTTCAACCAACATAGTTTGTAGAAAATTTTATTTACAATATTCCTAATGGTAAAAAAATTTTATATAACCTATTTAATAAAAAGAAACAAAAACTTTAATTTTACAGTAATCATATAACTAATTTGTCATAAATCTAATTTGCAATTGAGATTTATGATATTGTATTACATATAAATAAAATAAAACTTATTATACTTTTAAAATAATAGGATACATATTGAAAATAACAAAAAAATTTAACATGTTTTAAAATAAAATTTGAAATATTATAATTCGATGGTTGAAATTTTGTTTAAAACTGATAATGAACTAAAATCTTAAGAATCTAATGATAATAAAAGCGATTAAGAATACTGCTCTAGTTCAAATTAGTCTTCTTCTAATGAATAATAAGGTTCAAATTCTTCATTAAATTGTTATCCTACTTAAATTGAAAAAAGTTCTATGTTTAAAAGCGAGAAAACTAAAAGCATGAAAAAAATGAAATCGAAAATGAAGACTAAAAAATCGTTTAAAAACCTATAATCGATAAAAAAAGAAGAAACTAATCAAATCTTTAATAGCTATAAAGATTTTCAGTATCTTGAGAGCTTTCTAAATGGAGAATAAAGTAGTAATTTAGCTTCAAAAAATGCTTAATTATCAAATAGCTTTAATTCCCAAGCCGAATAAAACTAGTATCCTCATGATTACTAAAACGACTTATAAAAAGTAGAAAGTTTTTGCTAAAAGTCAGATAGAGAGTAATACTTAGATAGTTAAATATTAGAAAATGAAAAAAATGAAGATTTAATTTATTCTAATTTGCAATAAGTTCCAAAAATGTAGAGTTAACAATCAAATCAAATTATAAAAGATTCAATAGCTAATAACTATTAAGAAGGATATAAAATTAGAAAGAAAGATAAAAAAAGAAATATGACCACTTAAATAATTTAGCAAACATAAAAAAGAAATAGTTATGATGAATTAAGCTCAAGCACAAATTAAAATGAAGAAAAGCTTAGGTCACTTTAAAGCTCTATCCGTCAAAATAGTAGTTCTAATAAAAAACCAGCCAAGATGCTATCTTCTGAGATGGGTCTAAGACCTTCGATAGAGATGCTTGTATCTAATAGCATATAGTCTTACATAGAAAAAAATACGATTCAAAGTTTCTACAACGAATCTATATAAAATAGCTCAGTAGAGGTAAAAGGAGGAGCATCAGTTAAATTCGAAGAGCCAAAATCTTAAAATCACTTTTAAAATTATCTTTAAAATCTAGCTTACAATTACATATAGAATGCTTAATAAAATAATTCTTCTAATAACTTGAAAAAATAAAACCAAAGCAGTAAATTCCAAGAATAAAGCCAAAAGCAGCTAAATAAAAATTAAGAAATCAAATAAGCTTTATAACTTTTAGGTATTCCTGCCAACAATGAAATTTTTTCTAATCCCCAGCAACTGGGATTACTCTTAAATAAGCAAAGCATTGATTATTATATTGAGGCGGCAAGGAATCAGCGTTCAGGATCTACTAATGATGAGGATTCAAAATATAATGAGCTTATTATGGATTAGTTTGATTTGATAAATAATTTTAAAAAATTTTTCCCTCATAATAATTTTAACTATATATTTAGCAAAAATAAAAATAAAAAACAAATTTTATTTAAAAAGCTAAAACCAAACAAAGTAATATCTCCTCCAATTAAAGAAAGGAGGTAAAATATTTTGTTAAATTTACCAAGAAAGTCTTAATTTTGTAATGGATTATTGTAAAATGCAACATCACAAATTAATTTAGCAAGCTATAAGCCAACTTTCTTGTCATATGGAGTCTCATAAAAGTCAGAATCATTGTATCCAAAAAATAATTTAAAATAAAACTTAGGAGAGTTATTAAATGTCGTATGATTATTAATAAAAGTAATAATTATAAATTAAAAAAAATCAATAATTTGTTCAAATAAATTTATTTTATTAATTTTTATTATAAAGAAAATAATTTAAACTATTATAAAAATTGAAACTGATTATTAATTCTTTACTGATAAATATTTATTTAAGAAATAGACTTTAATAAAAAAAATTAATAGAATTAACATTCTTAAAAAAGTTGATAATTAATTAAATAGTACAGATTTAAAATAATAAAATAATAAAAATTGTAAAATAAATGTCTTCTATGTTTACTAATTTCCTAAAAGAAAATGAAATTTTGTTAGTTTACATTTTATTAAAACAGTTTACTTTCTTGTAGAATTAATTATTAAAATCAAATCATTTATTTATTTTTCTATTTTAATTCATGATGAAATTGTCTTAAAAAATATTATTTAATAAAAATTTTATTTTAATTTTTTTCAGGTTTTAATTTTTTAGGTCTTTTATATAAATTTCTATGCTTCTATAAAAATACTGTACTTCCTCACAAATTCGGATCTTGAATTTTAGTTGATTCGCTGAATCTGAGAATTAATTAAACCTAATTTTTCTTAATTTCATCAATTTATTTTAGTCTTAATATTTGAGAAATTACAGTAGTGAAGATTTTTAATTTATCTAATTATGTTAAACAGTTTTATTTATTTTCTTTATTATTATTTTATTGCTTTTAATTGTGAAATTTAAAGATAAATTTTTAACATTTAATACTCTTTTATTATTTTCTAGAATGTATTTAAATAATAAATTATTTTGGGATAAAGCTTTAATTAAATTCTTCATAAATTGTATTAATTCTAAAAATTCATATATATTCTAAGAGATTTATGAGATAATAAACTAAAAATTTTTAAAAAAGTTAATTGTAAATATAATTAGGTTTTAAAAAAATTGGAGAACCTGGGCATTGATCCCAGTGCCTCTCGTATGCTAAACGAGCGCTCTACCATTTGAGCTAGATCCCCTTCATACTATTTTTATTTAAAATTTATTTTACTTTGTTTTTTTTCTAAATAAATAAATAATTGAATATAAACTAAAGAAATTTGAATATCTTTTCAATCTTTTCATTTATTTTATAAAAAAATTGGAGAACCTGGGCATTGATCCCAGTGCCTCTCGTATGCTAAACGAGCGCTCTACCATTTGAGCTAGATCCCCTTCACAAAATATTGAGAGTATTTTTTTCATAACTTTTTATTTTTGCTAATAAATAAAATTATTTATTTTTCTACTTTATTTAGATCAAGCAAAATAATAATTATCCTAATTTGCCTCATATTAATTATTTATTTTAAAAGCATTTTATTTAAATAAAAAAATTTTGGAGAACCTGGGCATTGATCCCAGTGCCTCTCGTATGCTAAACGAGCGCTCTACCATTTGAGCTAGATCCCCTTCATATTGATTTAAAAATTAATTTTTTTTAAGTTTTATTATTTTTAATATGAAAAAAATCAAAGAAAAAATTTTCTACTAATTAAATTATTGTAAGGGGATCTAGCTCAAATGGTAGAGCGCTCGTTTAGCATACGAGAGGCACTGGGATCAATGCCCAGGTTCTCCAATTTTTTTATTTATTTTCAAAATATTTAAATTTTTATAAAATTTATAGATAAGCATTTACATAAAATAATTTTAATGTAAAAACACATAAAAAGATAATTTTTTTTATCAATAAGTAGAGGCTACATAAGAATTAAATTTAATATTATTATAAATTTAAGAACATTTTTATTTAATAGCGTAGATAGATACATTTTATTTGTTAGTCGATTCCAAGTTTTTAAAACTTATAATTTTATACTTTTAATGATAATAAACTTGTAAATTAGAGAAAAAATTGTGAAGGGGATCTAGCTCAAATGGTAGAGCGCTCGTTTAGCATACGAGAGGCACTGGGATCAATGCCCAGGTTCTCCAAAAATTTTTTATTAATTTATGTTTTTTATGGCTGGGATAAGTTTATATTATATTCTACAGTTTACTTATTTTGATTATTTTAAGAAATTGCATAGATATTTCTTGATTGTTTTAAGGATATTTTCTGGAAACATAAGTTATAATTGATTAATTTATGAATTTTTAACTCTATTTAAAAGAATATACAAATGTCATAAGTAAAATAGGAAGAAAAGAGTTTAGTTGAGGAGCTTTAGCTTGATTCAATAATTTAAAGGGATTTCCCAAAAATAGATTTCGCATTTGGATATGGTTCAGGAGTTTTTAGATAAATAGGTTATGATTATAGTAAAGATTCACCTATGATCGATTTAATATTTGGAGTATAAGATGCAGATGAATGGCATAGAATGAACTTAATAAAAAACCCTTCACACTATAGTGGTTTGGGTTATTACTTAGGTTCATCATATTTACATTTTTTATAATAATACATCACTCCAGTTCATTTCAATCCAAGCATTTAAGTTGATTCATTTGATTAAAAAAGGAAACTTAATATTAAATATGGAGTTGTTGATGTTAAATAGCTTAGCAAAGATTTGTTAAAATGGAATATTCTCACTTGCAGCGGGAGACTTCACAAACCTGTTAAAATTATTTAGCTTGATTAAGTCCAAAATCCTACTTTAAATTCTGATTTAAGGGTCAATTTAATTCAAGCAACAGCAATCAGCTTGCTCTTAAACTTTAAACCCTATATTGAAATGAAAGAGTTTTTAATGACTATTGCTTCTCTTTCTTATATTGGAGATGTTAGATTTTTATTTGGAGCAGAGAATAAAAACAAAATTTAAAATTTGGTAGAAGGAAACTATGATAGATTTACTCATTTATATAAAGATGTTATAGAATAAAACAATCCAATTAATAGCTTAGCCCAAGTAGTTGGAAATAGAGCTGAGCATATCAAGCTCGAAACTAACTCTGAGACTGTTTATTAACTTGTAAATTGTCTCCCTGATGGTTTAGGTTTATTTGCAAGAACTAATGAAATAAATGTTAAAATTATTAATTTGGAAGACGTTTAAAGATAGATTATTGAAAGAATCAGAAAAATTAATATGGGATCCTCTTAAAAACTAATTTTATACAATACATTAGCAACTTCTCCTACTAAAAATATTTATTACGTTTTCAAGAAATTACAAAAAGGAATATTAAAAAGATGATTGATGTATTTCTATATGAAAGAAAATGCATATTTTTATATTATTTTAGTAATTAAATTTGTAAATTAATACGATAATGAAATAAAAGTAAAAAAAATAAATATTTTTAAACTATAGCTTTAATTTTATATTTAAGATAGAATATATTTTAATTAAAAAGGTTTTATAAAAAGCACAAATTTAAATTTAAACATATTATCTAATCAATAATATTTAAAAAATATAATTTTGAATGATCTCAAGTTCTTTCTTATAAACATGACAAGATACACAAAATTTCCAATATATTCAAATAATTTAATAATTCATCCTATTTTTAATAAAATGGATTGTATTTATATAAATTAATAGTACTATAGCTAGATAAAATAAAAAATAAGCTAATAAATAAGATGAAATAAAAAATTAAGAACTAAAACTTATAGATAAATAAGATAGTGATGAATGCTTATAATTAATTAGACATCATTTATAAATATCATTTTTGTATTACTATTAATATCAAAAATCAGTTTAATTTATAGATAAATAAATTTTTAATGTAGCTTACTAAAATATTGATTATGTTTATTAACAATTATTTTGTTAAAAGTTTAATATATTTAAAGTATTATCGGATTTTAATGGTTTTTAAATTTATCAACTTTAAATTTTTCTAAATTATTTTTATAAATATTTGCAGATTTTAATTTAAATTTTATGGAATTTTTTAAATATATGACTGTAGCTTTAATATTTTAAGAATTCAAAAAATTATCAAGACATCTTTTTTAAATAGTTTGTGAAAGTACAATTAAATTAAAAGATATAAATGAGTTATTCAATAAATACTAACAAGCAATTGTATATTTGTGAATGATATAAGAAAATAAAATATTCTTTAACAAATTTAATATCTATCCTTATTTTATTTTAATGAATTTTAAGTCAAATGTTGTTATTGCAAATTTATTTTATGTCAAGTTTGTTTTTAAGAAAATGGTTATTATTAATATTAGAAGAAAAATTTCTTAACAATATAAAGTAATATTTTTTGAAACATTTTATTTTATTAGTAGTAGGAGTTTTTAGGTCTATAAAATCTATTTTTTTTAATACTAGTCCATCACTTATTTATAATAATTTCTTTTTAATTAATAATCTATCTAAATTTTTTATAATATCTATGCCTTAATAATTTTATTTTATAAAATTCATCTAAGTTCAATAATCAATCAAAAAGTTTTTAATTTTTGCAAAATTTAGTAAAATTCAGCTGATAATTCATATAGACCAATAAGCTAAAATAGAAAAGTTTAAATAAGTGTAAATGATAAAGATAATTTATTTTATTTAAGTATTTTAATTTTCTGTTTAGTAAGTAGTTTTTGATTGAATGTGAAGAATTTGAGAATAATTTTGTGAAATAAAAGAAAAACCTCCAATAATTTAAATTTATTTTAGTAATTTATAACTTTTTGATTATAATGTTTAAATTTTGTTTATTTTATTTTATTTTTGCTATTAAATTTATTTTTGTGATAATTGTTGCTTTTAAAGTTTTTTTCAGTAATTTTTAAATATTTGTATGAAGTTTCTTTCAAAATGAAGTCTTTTCAAACTTTATTTAAAAAAACAATAATCTCAGATTAATTTATGATAATAATAAGTTTACTTATTCGTGATTATTTGAAGAAGCATGTTTATAAATAGAATATTTTTTAAAAGAAAAGCATTCGTTTGTGTTTGGCATATGTTTTTGGTTATCTTCACAGTCAAACTCATCATCATCTACTTCAAATTCTTACGAATGCAATTAACGCCCTGAGAGCTAGTTTTTTTTGCTAGGAGAGATGCCTCTCTCTCTACCTTAGTTATCTATTATTATTTCAACTGTGCTAGATTTAAGAATGCTGTTACTTTTGCTTCTTATGGGTAAGTTATCGTCTTACTAGAATTCGTTTTTTATATTACCATTTGAAGTAAGTATCTTATTATATTAAGTTTTTGTATCTTAATTTTCATAATAGTCATCATCACTATCTTCAGTCATTTCAACGAAGTTTTTAAGTAGAATTGTTGTTTCTTTAGACAAAATAACAATTAAAAAATAATTAAATATATTAATTTGATTAACTTTTTTTGCTTATTCTTCTTTAGATGTTTAGATCTCTTATTTTCACAAAACTTCTATTCATGGCATCGTTATCGCCATCTTTATTAATTAGATTTTCTTTTTATATAAAAAATATGTTTACTCTTAATGTTTAAATTAAAACTAATTTTAGCAAATTATTTTTAAAAATGAATTAAATTAGTTGTACCTGTTTTAAAGAAAATTTTAGATCTTTTTGCTTATCTATTTACATAAAGTCTATCTTTCTGTTATTCTGTCAATAGATCATTTTTTATATCGCTATCGCCACCAAAGCTTGATGTACTAAAGTTAATTGGACTATGTAAGTAAAAATTATAATATGAAAGAGCATGTTTATTTAACAAATTTATTGATTTACTTGAAGGATTAAATATTATCTTGCTTATAATCTTCTAGGTTATGGCAACTTGTAATGCTGGTTTGAGATTTTCCAAAGATTTCTTCAAAAAAATTCATAACTTCATTGTATAGCTAATCATTCCTTATGTCATTATGTCCACCACTAAAGTTATAATATTTTTTCCTGCCCTTATACAGCTTTTAATTTAATTAAATCAAATTTGATAAAAAATTAATGTGAATTAAATTATTCTTTATAGAAATAACAACTGGTTCAATTATATTTTAAATTTATGCAAGAGTTATAATTTCTTAATAATATATATTTTACTTTAACTATTTTATCTGAGTGATCTTTATTTATGATAGTATCATGAAGGGCATGCAAAAATATAGCAGGAATTCTCACGTGCTGAGTACATTCGATTGGATTTATATTGCTTTTATTTATTTAAATTTACATAATTTTAATTACTATATAATTTGATTAAAATTTTACTCTATATTAACATTCCAGTCTTGTTCGATTTGTGCTTTTACTTTCTGGTATAAGATATCACCAAAAATGTCAGCGAATACCTTTATTTTTATTTTAAAAGACATATAAAGAATTTTAAAACTCAAACATCAAATCAAACTACTTTGAATTTTTAAATGAATTCATAAATCAATATTTTGAGGTTCGCAAATGGAGAGTCTAAGCAAATAGCATCTACAGCGTTAGGATTTTCTTTTACATATAAAAGGGTTGTTGCAGCGCCCATTGATCTACCCCAAATTGCAATTCTATTATATATTTATTATTTAATATTCTTTTTGTTTGTTTGTTTATATGTTATTTTTTATCTAGTTTTTTAACATTTGACTATAACTATAATTATTGCAGTTATTTTACTCAAAATCAAAGAATTAGATTAAAATTTTTTTTTTGTGGATTTTATTTAGAGTTAAGTATAATAGGCAATTAGATTTTTATATATACTTAGTTTTTATTACTATTTACTTTTTACAAGAAAATTGAAAAATTTGTCAAATAAACCACAAACCAGCTTATTACTTTTAGATTTTTGAAATATTACAAGTAAGTTAACAAAAAAAACTAAATTAAATTGATAGCTAAATTAATTACTTATTGACGTAACCTAAAGATTTAACATAATCAACTACAGTTTCTAAATCTTAGCTTTCTTTGTAGCCCAGAGTAATGTGGTCTCCATCTGAATTGCCACAACTTTACGATTAAGAAAAAACAATTAGAAAACAACTCTGAAATTCTACAATAGTAATCAGAAATAAACAATACAAAATTTCATTATAAAGAAAAAAAATAAAATAGCTATATTAAATTCATTCATCAATAAAAAATTTAGCCAAGAATATTACCCTGTGAAATCAAAACAAAATGCAAGAAATCCTCTATCAAGTATAAAATTGAGGCATTCAAAGATAGCGGTTCTATTACCAGAATTACCATGGCAAAATATAACACAATTCTATTAAGACTTTATTTAGAAAAGAAAATACAATTACTACTAAATAATATAAACTCTTAATTTTCTATTTTAATTATTTATGCTTTGCCATAAAAGTCCTTTTCAATATTTGTATTTTAACCAAATTATTACCCCAAACTCATAGCTTTTTTACCTGAAAAGACTACATTTTATTGTCTGGTCTCTCTTATTTTTTAACTAAATAATTAAATTGTTATTTTATTCAATTTTATTTTAGTTAAACTGCTTTTTAAAGCAGTAATTTAGAAAATTATTACATCAAAATCTTCTCGATGTATCATTGAATAATTATGCATAAATTGCTTTTCACCTAAATCAGAATCTTCATATATTACCCTATAAATATGAAATTTAGCTACAAAATGCCATCTTTAATCTTTTTAATGAATGACAAAAGTATTAAAATGCTAATCATTGTCTAACTATTTTACCTTTATGGCCTAATAATGTAATTAGCAAGTTTTCTAATCATATTTTAATTTTTACTCTACTTCTTATTTTTCTTTGTTTTTTTATAGAAAGTTAGATTATTGATCAATCGATCAAACAAAAAATTAAAAATTTTTAATAAATCAGATGTAAGTTTTCTTTGTTTATTAATTATTAATTCCTTTTTCAGTGAAAGATTTAATATGTACTTTCAACTATCCACTTATGATTTTTAATTTATGTAAAACTAGAAAGAAAATATGTAGCTACCCTGAAAATATCTATTTATTTATCTAATATTATCAAAGTACTTGATCTAAAATATATTGATTAATTTATTTTTTGCAATTTTTGATATTCTGAAGTAAATAAGGCCGTGCATTTTTAAGGTATGAAATGAACTACCCTTATTTCTATTATCTCTCATCCAAATTAATCGATACTATTTATGCTTTTTATTTTACTTTTTCAATTTACTCCTTTCTTTTATTTTTGTACAATTAATTTAATTTGTGAAGCATACAAAAAACCGAACCAAATATGCATAAAAAGTTATTAATAATAAATTATAACCAGTCATGTAATCTATTTCACAAATTTGTAAATTACTTGCAAAATATTATTTCTAAAAATTAAACTAAAAATTTATAATTTTATTTTATAAAATTTCTATATTTAAAATTGAAGAACAAATTAATTTGATTTTCAAAATTAATAACAATAATCGGGTCATTTATTTTATTTTACACTTTTAGTGAGAACCAACTTAAAATATTTCATAGTTTTTTAATATTTTAATTTCCATATAGAATATGAAGATCCTAACAATTTAAAACTTAATACAATTTAATTTTTTAAATCCAAACATTTTTATAATCTACTTTAAAATATTTATTCTTAAAACTTATACAATAATTCAAAATAATAAAAAATATTTAAAAAAAAAGAGCGTTTGCATTTTTAAAAATAAATAATGTATTGGTGTTTAAAAAGATTAATGCTAATTAGATAATAAATAATACATAATATATTTTTAAAAATTATATAAAAGAATAAATTACATTAAGCAGTAGTGAGTTTCGAACAGAATATTTTTTTTATTTAAAGATATTATTAATATTTTATAGCTAATTTAATCATTAAGACAAAATAAAAATAAGTAAATATTTTTTTTCATACATTTTAAATTTTAAATTACATTTATAAAATTATGACCAGCTTATATTTTTAAAATAATTAATCATCTGATGTAGTAAGATTCGAGCTTATTAAACAAATCTTGTAATATTTTTTCGTCAATTTGTTAATTTTATTAATCTGAATTACTGTTTTCTTAATCTAATTACTATTATTCATTTTATAAATTTTCTTTATTATCATTTTCTACTTCATTATTTTATTCTATCTAATTCTCATCAGATTTTTCTTTTAATTATTTATCTTGAGAATCTACCTTTGTTTATTACACTTATTAAATGCTCTACTTTAGAAACTCCATAAATTCTTTTAACTCCACTTTTTCTTTAGAACTTAAAAATTTAGGCACAGAAAACTAGAAGTCTTTAACTTTGCTCATTTCTTTATTAAAATTTATTTTGAATATTCATTTTTAAAAAAGAATTCAATATTACAATCTAAAAATTCCATTAAGAAAAGTAACTCTAAAGCATTTTAATTTGGTACAAGAGATTCTTAAATTACATACTTCATTACTTTGATAATTTTGATGAAATACGAAACATCAAAATCAAGAGAAAATATTTTTTTAAAGTTTTCTTCCTTTTATGATTTAAATATCCTATTGATTTTTATTTAAAAATAATATAAATAAATACTTATTAAACTTTCCATTTCTAATCAAATAAATATTATTCTTCGCTTTTATTATTTCTATTATGCTTATTCATAATTAATTATTTTAAATATAAAATAATTTTTAATATTTATCATCATTAATTTTATAATTTAAATACAAGTAAATATTTTGAGCTGCTACATCATCAATAGGAAATTTGTATTGAGAATCAAAATTTTTCTTAAAATCTCTAAAACTATTGGCTTAAAGCTCATTATTTGCTAACATCTCTGCTATTCTTAGATTTATTTACTCTATTTCTTCCTTTTGTCTTGCGCTTAAATCTACAACGTTATTGAAAGTTGTCAAGCTACTATTGAGCACAATTTCTATTTATTTATATGCATGCATTTTTAATTTTTATAATGAGTAAATAATAAATCTTACCATTCTTTTTATTTACTCTATCTGCACTCATATCTATAAGTTCTTTCGATTTAATGCTAAATAAATGTGCGCCTAAAACCATTTATCTAAATCCACCATAATCCATTCCTATTTATTTTATTAAATAATATTTTAATAAATTAAGAGCAAATTCGCATATGAATTTGTCAGCCATTATAAATGAATTGCAAATTTTTAATATGCCTAATACAATATTGATTAGATGTTACCTTATAAAACTGCTCTTTTTTTAGCTGAATCTATATTAACTCTTTTATTTTCATCATCTATAAATCCCTCTAATTCATTTTTAACTGATTCTACTGAGAAATTTATATTGTTAGTTCTTAATTTCTATTCTTTTATTCTTCCGTACATCTCCTATATTTTATATATCTTTTTGATTTTTTAGATACTTTGAATTAATTTAAATAAATTTGATAATTTTAAAAATTAACATATTTATACAAATTTTTATGCAACATATTTTGAAAATTAGAACAATTTATTTAAGTAGAATTTCTATTAATCTGATATTAAATAATTTGCTAAACATATAAATTCATTAAAATTAGTTTCATAACAAAATATTTAAGTAAATTTTTCTTGATTTATATCAAATTATTAAAAATATTTAATTTACATTAATATTTAAATTAAAAATAAAATTTATATAATTAAAAAATTTAATATTATTATCTTAAGATTTTAAATTAAGAAAATAACTGAATTATTATAAATATAAAGCAATGCAATAATAAATTTGCTCAATCAAAAATAAACAGCAAATAATTTTAATCTAAAGGTTTTATAATAATTTAAATAAACTTTAATCATTTCAATTAATAAATTAATTTTATTAATATTATTATTAATTTTGATTTACATATTAATAATTATTGTTAGTATAATTAGGAATATTTAAAGGATTGTTTTATTAGTTGTACTACTAAAATTAATTTTATTACTACTAATTTTATTAAACAAGAGGTGGATTAGTATTACCTTAAAAGCATGCAGGTTAGTATTACATATTATTGTTTGAGCTCATATTTATGTTAGCTTAATTTTAAATGTTATTATAGTTATTTACCAAAAGACTTTAAGCAATTTTCTCTTCAGTTAATTTAATTATTCGTACTAGTTTTAATAAAGAAAAGAGATAAATAATATTCATTATTGCACCGATAAAAATAGCAGCTAATTATAACGAAAGTTCTCTTTTTATGAAATAAACATGTAAAGAAGATAAATCCATGCAAGATGCATCACTTTTACAAACCTTTTAAAGGTAATTTATTGCATTTATATAAACTTGATCTGTCTAATCTACATTTGAATAGCATTATATTTAATCAGTAGACATGAAAACTGATATATAAGACCCATCATAATAACCAGAATGATGTATCATATAATCTAATTTTTTTAGTGTAAGTTTTTATGAAATAAATAAAAAAAAACTTTATTTTACTGTGGCAAAATGTATCTAACCCACTTAAAATATAAGTTAAAATCGCCAAGGCTATATTTGTCCATATAAGCAAGGAAGCAACATAGCTGATAATTGTAAAATCTTTTGAGCTCCCTCTTAATCTGCAAAATAGGTATATAGATATCATAATGCATACAATTGCAGTAGACGATGAAATAATTATAAGAATTTATAAGGTTACTTCTAAATCTACTGAATTAAGCATACATGATGAAATAATAAATAGGACTTCTGATATCACAACCAAGAAAGCTAAAACTTAAAAGAAAATTAAGAATGCTTTATTAGATTTTTTAATCTCAGTTCTGAAATCTTTAGGCTCAGTTATAAGTTGTTCGTTTTACATTTTAATAAATTAATATATATATATATTTATTTATTATTAGTTTATTTATTTATATATTATTATTAATGATGTTTTAAATTTTTAAATAGTAACTATAAGCAAACATTAAATGAATCACTTTGGTTAAAAATAATAAATTTATCTATATTTAGTAAGACTCTGTCTGATCATCTACCTATTAAAAATCATAATAAGTGTATTTGTATTTCTTTTATTGTTAAATAATTATACTGATGTTTTCTATTAACTCGTTAATTCTGATGAGCTTAATAGTTTTATTTTTTTTTTGATAATAAATCATCTTAATTTCTTATCAATATACTATTTGATCTCCGAATATCATTTCTATTCTGATATTTAAATAGATTCGTCAGAAAGTGTTTAATAGAGGTTAGCAAATTTTATAATTTGAATTTGATAATGATATAAATTTAGGAAAATAAATTTAATTAAAGCTAATTGTTCACTCAATCAAGTGCTTGTATCAAAGTAAATTATTTTAAAAATATTGCTTTTTAAAAAAGAATAAACAATATTTTATTCTCTTTTGTTTATTGCTATTCTCTGATAATTATTTCTGTAGTAGGAAATAAATATTTAGTAGAATAATAAATATTATTTAAAAAATTTAAAGAAAATTTAAAATAATAAAAAAAGGTATCGCAAGAGGTTTCGAACCTGAACTAAAAAAAAAATAATGGATTAGGTGAAGAAAATATTGTACTGAAAAAGTAATTTTTTTATTTTCTTTCTATCAATTAAATAACCAATTCCTCTAAAGTAAAAAGAAGATAATGCTGATGGTGGATACTAATGACCCTGATAAGAAGAATTTGATTTTTATAGAGCAATTAGAGATTATAATAATTAATAATATAGATATTTTATTTGGTATATATTTGTTATTTGTACTTTACATTTTAAAATCTAACATTTTATGTAAAATGAATAAAAATTGTTTTAAAAATTCTTCCGTCTCTTAGACTGAAGGTCCAGTCAAAAAAATTTTTTGACTATTTTGACAAAAAATATTACAAATTTAAAACCCTGTTAATAAATGACTAATCTTTTTATAAATCAAATAGGTATTAGTGACAACTTTTTTCAAATATCCTTTTTTGAAATTAATATAAATAAATTTATCATAGCAGTTACTACTTATTAAAATAAATATTTTTATAGTAAAAGATTAGTATATTTTTACTTTTTATTATTTAAAAAATCTATTGAATTTGTATAAATTTCCATTAAACTTTTAAGATACTTTTGAAAATACAAGTTTTATTTGATAAATTAATTTAAAATAAATTTTTAACTTAAAAAATGATATTAATGCAAAACAGCTTAATTAATTTAACTGATCAATATATATAAATTCAGATTTAATTTTAAATTTTAAATTTGTTTGATTCTTCATCTAAAGTCATAGCATTTTTTTCAATATCAACTAATATACTTTGATAAGCTGTTATTAATTAGCTAATTTCAAAACTTTAATTAGTATCGAATCTGTAAGCAATAGATTCATTACGGAGAATGAATGTAATTGATGAAGGAAAAACTCTAGTTCCTTTAATATCTTGAAAACTAAATTATTTCTTCTTTTACTTTTAAGAATCCAGTATTTGAATAGAGTCACATTTAACACAAATGAAAACATTTTATGGTATTTATTTTTTTGATTCTTTAATAGTTTTGCTGTATGTTTCACACTAAAATAGTGTAGCACCATATAATGGAGTTTTTTTAAAGGTATCTAATAAAACCATACATGCCATATTTTTTTTATTTGTGATAATCGATGTGCTTATTTATTGCAAATGCCCTATACCTTAAATTGTTGATTATCTATTTTAGTTTTAGGAATAATTATTTTAAGCAAGTTTGTTGCTTGGGCTAATTTCTTGATTTTACTCTTCATTTTAGCTCGAAGCTTGAAAACTTTTTATAGCTGCATTTATATCGTCTGAGGGTGTTTGATTTTAATTATCTTATAAGTTAATAGATTCTCTAATCATTTATTTATTTGTCTTTATTGATTCTGCTAATTCATTTGAAAAGGTTTCTATGTAAATAAGGAGATTTTCTACCCAGACATTTTCTTTATTTTACTTGATGATTTCATTTGGTAAAAATTCTTTAATTTTAGTGTAAATAGTACTTTTTACTTATTTTGATGCACCATCTTTTTTAGCTGATTATATAACTTCTGGGTGGTTAATAAATAAATATAAAGAGCTGTAAAGAAAGTAGTCTTTATCATTAAACACATATTTCATCTGTGATATATCATTCAATATCTGAGAAGCCATAAGTTATAATCTAACTGGATCGCTTTTGTAATCAAATTCTTCTAAGTCTTTTTCTAACCACATATATTTACAAAATTTCAATTTATATTTATGATTATGTTTTAATCCTAGCTTATTTAATATGCTTTCTCCAAAATCTAAAATCTTTTTCTTACTAGATTCTTTCTCTATTTTCATTTCAAGCTCATTCTTTTTGAATTCATCTTTGAACATAAGCTTAAAAATAATTTCATCATCATCCAAGAAACGAATTTTCTTTTTTTCGTCTTCGATATACAATCTAAAGTCAAGAAAGCTGATTAATTATAACTTTTTTGCCAGGATTTCGCATACATCTAAAGCTTTTGTGCTTCTGTTGATGTTTATTTTGTAGCTTTTCTTATCAAGAGTGAATATTTCTATTTCTTTCTCTTCATAAAAAAGAGAATTGTTTAGTATTTAGCTGGAATTAACTTAACTGAAAGAAGTGTTTTATTACTTATCTGCATATTATATACTACTATTAGTACTATCATTGATATAGATACTGCTTGAATTTACTGAGTGGGCTTGTCTTATTCCTGAAGAATTAAATTACTTTACTTAAGACATAGAAACATCTTAAGATTCATTCATCTTAGATAAGTTATTTGAGTCTCCATCTTCTTACCCATTTAATTAACCTATTTGGTTCTAATCACTACTACTTTAAAGCTTTTATTTCATAGCTAAATAATTCTTTGGTTAATAAAAACTGCTAGCTCCTACTGAAATTTATCTTTACTGATTTTTGTTACTACGGTTCATGTCATTTTCCTCTTCATTTCCGTTCTCATAATTAAATGAATCCTCTTCATTCTATGAGTCATCTTCATTATTACTTAAGTTAAATAGAAAATAGGTAAATAATTTATTTGAAAATGAAAATAAATAAATCTTTGCATTGTTATAAAATAAAAATATTTTATTAATAAATATTATTTATTTTACTTTGATTATGATCTACTTTAGATAACTAATTTAGTGGCATTTTCTTCTTTATCCATGTCATTTAAAAAATCAAAGTTGGATTCACCAATATTTAAAGGTAACTAGTAAAAGTTATTAGGAAGCCCTAATTAAGATAAAATATAGGAACAGAAAATATGGTTTTTTAAACATTAGCTTGATAATATTTTTTGAAGAAAATTTTCAATTAAGATTTTTCTTTTTTCAATAATTTTTGTTTTATGATGGAAAATAAAAACTTTTGGAAGCTTTTCTAAATCTGTTATTTCCTTAATATATTTTTCTATAAATTTCTTGAGTTCAATCATTTCTGAATACCTAACAAAGATTTTTTATTTTATTGATTCTCCTATCTATATTTAGGCTATATAAACTGTGTAAGTTTCTTTCATTTAATTTGAAGAATTTCTTTCTTCTGTACCTAAAACGGTAACTACAATAGGAAATTAATAGTCATCACAAATATCTAATTTAACTGGGCTTTTATCAGAATAGCTTCTATTATTACTATCTTAATCTTGATTTACTTTTGATTAATCATCTTCTACCTTTTATCCTTCAGAAGATATCTATGATACTGAATTCTTTTGATCTTCACTTGTTGAATTTTGTTTGCTTTGACTAATTTATTCTGGAATTCTTTCCTTTATCTTTTGTTTGGCCTTGAGTCTCAAGGGTCTAATTATTTGATAATTAATCTTATTAATTAGCTATGTTTTTAATTCATCGTTTTCACATACAAAAGTGAGTGAATCGCTCTTTCCAATTATCCTAAAAAGATTACTTAAATATTTTTAGTCTGGCATATTCTTATAGGAGCTTTGTTCATTCAAGGGCAAATATTTAATTAAGTATTCTCTTTCCTAGTTATCCTTTACAGAAACTAAAATAATGTCATTCAAAAAATATACAATAACTTGCCTTTGAGTATCACCTTAAACTAAAAAAAGGTTTTCTTCCCATAGAAATTCTCTGTTAACTCCTGCTTAAATTAATTATAGCTCACCATTTGCATTAGCATTTTAAATTGGTTACTTTAAAGGCTATAAAAAAATACTTTTTTTACTTCTTTCTAATAAATTTGGTTAAGAATTCTTAGGGGTGTTTTTTATTGAGCTCAAGTTTAGAGAAGAGTTATTGGAATTATTTTATTCGTTTGATTATTAAAAAGGAAGACAAAATTTACGATGCAACTCAATGAGCTTGTTATCTCTAATAAATTTGTCCATTTGTTCATTGTTGTGAGAGCATACCTCATTAAATTCATTTATTGCTGTCTACACATGGATATAATCCTAATGAGATGGTAAAGTGTTTTTAAACAAATCCTTTAGTAATAATAGATATTTTGGTAAACGCTAAACAGGTTTAATCAGAAAATCCTATAAATCATAGCCATTTAAATCATAATTCTCCAAATAATTACAAAATTTCTTGAAATTGAGATTATTCAATTTCAAATTATTTAATATTTTTGTTGCATTTTCATAATTGTTTAAATAGGTAACATATATTTTTAATTAAGGAGCGTACTAAACGCACACATCAGTGAATACTCCATTATATTGTAGGTTTTCTTTTCTGCGTTTCATTTCTTCTGCAAACTTAGAATTTAGCTCTATTATCGCTTATAAATTTGCAAAAATATTTTCTACATCAGCTTACTTTATTTGAACATCTTAAAGTAGTTAAAACGTTTATTGTTAAAGCATTTAGTTCTCTTTAATATCTTTCCTCTGATCTATAGGCTTGCTTTGATTTAATAAAGGTATATATACAACATCTCTCAATTGTTGTAGTTTTTAGACATAATTTTCTTCTGTACAGACTAGTTCTCTAATTACCTATAATCTGTACTTGGCTTTTTATAGCATTTTGATATATTTCTTGCGCTGTAAAATCATTTTGCCATAAGATTAAATCTTTACTATCAAATTTAAGTCTATATTTTAATAGTACTGCTCAAAATCTAACTAAGAAATTTAACTCATATTGCTTAAACGATTGTTGGAATTGAAAGATATGATTCTTGCACGTATTAATAAATCATTAAGATTAGATACTCTTTAGTTTGTAATGACTGAGCTTCTGTTACTATCTATTTTAATTACAAAAAGGTATTTACACTTAAATTTCTTCCTATCTTTGAAAACCAAACTTATTATTTCCTTGCATTAAACAAAAAACCATTTTTTGAAAAGTTATTGTCTATAATACATTATATTAACTTTGATGATAAAAGCTGAAAAAATTCTAAAAATATACCTGACTAAAAAAATTCGGGCTCTTTAATGATCCTGCTCATTCTTTTTTGCTGATACTAACTAAATTATTCCTAATTTAAACAAGTTATGTTGATTCTACTTTATTTTTATATTTTAAATAGCTAAATTGAAAGTTAATCAACCAACTTTTAGGTATTGAAAGCAATTTAGTGATGTGTTATTTTGTTTATTCTTATATAAAATAATGAATTTATTTAAGTAAATTGATTAATATATTGAATATTAAACAAAGCAAAATCCCTTTTTTAGTTAAGTAATAAATTTTGGCATTAACATCTAAGTATCTCTGGTCAATATCATAAATCAAATCTATTGACTCATTTCAAAATGAATGAATATAACTAGCATATTTAAGACTTAGAATTAACCATTTATTGTTAAGGAATAAGGGATATAAATTTGTTTGAATTGATAAATAAAAGTATTATTTTTCAATATATACTTAAAATAAGTGAAAAAAAAAAGAAATATTAAAGAAGAAGGAGATTGTAACTTTACTAGCAATTTATCTTAATCTTGAATTAAATATTTAATGGTTCTATTTTTTTAAAGTGTAAATGTAAAAAGACAGCCACTAAAAATAAATTTTGATATGCTAACATTAAATATTATTTAAAAACACAAATTATTACTTATGAATTCAATAATTGAGATATAACTAATTATATACTTTATAACCAAATTTGTAATATTTCTTCATACTTTAATATTTTATCAGAAAAAATCCAGCTTTTTTATAATAAAAAACCCTAAATTTAAACATATAAAAAAATAATAGTATTTTTATTTTGGTATTTTATTGTTACTTAGCTGAAAAATTTATACACTCAAATAAATTCTCTTTGCATAATTATTAAAATATTGTTTTGATTCTTAAAACCTGATTAATTCTACATATTTTATTGGCTTAGATTGAAGTTAAATATACTAAATTTTAATAAATAAAAATGATTTAAAAGCTATTGTTTTTATAAAATTTAAAATATTTAAAAGTAATCAAAAACTATAGTTTTGATTATGAAATTAGCTAATTTTGTTGTATATTTATTTATTAATTTATAAAAATAAAATTGATTAAAAACATATTTTAATCTACATTATATAGAATTTTATTTGATAAAAATACTTATGATGTAAATGTTTTGATATAATATTTTGAAGCTTTAATTTTTTTTAAATACTTAAGTAGAAACTAAAAATTTTTTAGGAAATTAAAAATTTATTAACACACTTTCTTAAATAAATTTGATTACTAATTATATGGTTTTTCTTATTCTAAAAAGTATTTATCCACATATATTTATTAGTGTATTAAAATATAACAATTCTTTATTATTTGAAGTAAATAATTTCTACTTTAATTTTAAATCAAATGTTAAAAAGAACATTCTAAGAAAAAAAAATAATTAGTAAATAAAGATATTTTTTATTAATTAAATCAATAAATATATAGAAATGCATAAGCTTACAAAGCTATTAGGTTAATACTAAAAATAAGTTTTAAATAAATAAATTTTATAAAACTTTAAGCCATTTAGCATACAGCTTTAAGTTTAAAGTTTAAGATAAAGTTATCATACATTTAAGTATAATTATTCTAAAGCTTTTCCTAAGTAATTAACTTATGTTACAGCATTTAAATTTTCTAATGCATAAATTAGCTTTGAAGAATTAAATAAAATAAGTGTGTAACTTCTATAGGAGCTAAAAAGCAATCAAGATGTAATAGAATAAATTGTAGTACTCTCTTAATAGTATTTAGAAATAGAAAGAGTAGAAGAAGCTATAAACATATACATTGAAGCATTAAAAGTATACCCTAATTCAGCTAGATTAAATTGTAAGTTAGGAACATTATTTGTCTAACTTGAGGAACTAGAAGAAGGAGTAAAATACTTAGAAAAAGGAATTGAAATAGACTACACTGAAATGGGTAAAGAAGGATTAGTTGGTTTAGCAAGTTTATATAAGATGCTAAATTAAAATGATAAAGCACTAGAAACATACATGAAATCAATAGAGCTAAATTATCTACCTTCTTACTGTCATTAATTTATAGCTTTGTTATATGCAGAATAACAAAAATTTGATATAGCTTAAGATCATTTTTAAAAAAGCTTAGAAATGAACCCAAACGATTTTGCAAGTCAATGGGCTTATGGTGAAGCAATTTTTCATTATGATCAATAAAAAGGAATCAAGATTATGAGAGAAGCAGCTGAAAATATAGCTACTAAAAAGTGTGAAAACTAGTTTATGTAAGAAGATGAAGTATAGGATATGATTTCTAGCATGAATTTCAGAGTAGGGTAAATTTTGTAACATATTTCAAAAAATAGTGAAGAAGCAAAAAAATTTTACAGAGTTTGCTTAAAAAATAATCCAAACCATGTTGAAGCTCATGTTTAGTATGCTTCATGTTTAAAAAAAGGAGAATAACCTAATATTGAGTTAGCTGAATACCATCTTCAAAAAGCTAAAGAAATTGACCCATCAAAATTCTAAAAAAAGTTAACTGAGTGGTGGTGATAAACAAATTTTTGTATTTAAAAAGCTAAATATTTCAATTATACTTACCATTTTAATTGTTTTAAAGTAATTTAGTGATGTAGTATTTATTTTTAGTAATTTAGTATATCTTCTTTAGTTCACTTTAAAATATTTTTTTTTTTAAATTTCAGTTATCAAAAATATTTTTAGTAAAAAGCTTTTTTAAACATTATATATACCAATGAACCACTTTATATTATCACATTAATAAAATTTTATCTAAAAATAGTAAAATTTAAATATTAATTCAGTAAATTGAACTTTTTTATATAAATATAAATTACAAAATAATGTTTATTTTTTGTTTAAAAGTTTTGACTATTTAAATGATAATCATTTAAAATTGAAAAAAAAGATGAAGAAATAAAGAGTTATTAATGAACATATTTCAAAAAAAATAAAATTAATTTGTAATTCTAATTAAGTTTTTTAAGTCATTTAGATAAGGACTTAAGCAATTAATATAAGATAGTTTTTAAAAAATTATTATAATTATTCTTTAATATTAAATTATTAGTAAATGTCTCAATTGTTTAAATTTATTTCTAAACCAAATTAACTTTTATTATAACTGGATTGTTTTTATAATTTATTATTTTAATATTTTTAATAATGGTAACCCATCTTTCTAAATATTTTAGTAGATAAAATTTTGAAGAATTAATAAGAAATCAAATTTGTTTATTACTTTTTTAACAGAATAATTTGTAGTTGAATTTCAAAATAATATATCTAGATTTTTCATGCATCAAACTGGAGGATTTTCAGAAAAATATATTTTATCTTAAATCTTAAGAGGTTTATTTAAATATAAAAGAAAATATAAAACAAATTTTGAAAATAAATATTTTATTTACTTATATTGTTTTGAGTTATTTTTTAATACAAAATTCATTATCACCATCATGTTAAATGTAATCATATATTATTCAATTCTATAAAATATATATTTTTAATAAAATGAGACTAATGTAATACTGCTTTAATAAATATGAGAGTCATTTATTATTAAAAATTTTAGTGGTTTAGTAAATATGCTTACCAATTCATTATGTATTAATAAATATCATTATTTTTAACATGTTATAAAAGGCTTACTTACTTTATCTAAATGCTTGAAAATTAAATTATTATTTTTTTGATAAATAAAGTAAGTAAGCATAATCAATTAACTTGTAAAAATTCTAATATTTCGTAAAACTTATTACTAAGACCAAATAACTAAATATGTTTGCTTTAATCATGATATCAATTGCTTTTTATAGCATTTAATTAGTAATAATAAGAGCTACATGCAGTGCAGATGGCTGTAATAGTTGTGATTTACAAACCCAAAATTGTAACTAATGCTTAGAAGGTTATGTGTTAGATCCATAAAGTTTTAATTGCGTATACACTTAATGCTAAAATGGTCTCTTTTTATAAGTTCATGACTACAATAATTTGAAAGAATGTGTAGCTATTTGTGATACAAATTATTATAGCAATAAAATTTAGAATACTTGCTAGTAGTTATAGCCATGCAGTCTATCTTTTTCTATGAACTCAAATGTAAATAGAGGAGATGTAGTGAAAAATATTATGGCTTACAATTATTAGGAAGAAGAATTTATACTTATTCAACACTCGAATTACTTTATCCAAATAAAAAGAGAAAATGGAGAGTATTAATAAACTGTAGAATTTCCATAAAATATAATTTAAATATAATTTTTTGGAAACAATGTGCTTTACCTTTCTTAAGATTATATTATTTATTCACTAGATATTATTAGTAGTACAAAGAAATACTTATCATTAATTTCATATGATAACATTTAACTCTACTAAGTATAGTTAGTACAGATAAATAACTTTTTAAGTTATTAAATAATAGATTCTGATTAATATAAAATAATTTTTGGTTCTTTATTGGAAATTAAGGAGCTAGCTCCTGTTCTAAATTTATAACAAATAGAAATAGCATTTAAAAAACTTGATAATATACAATTTATTCAAGGTTTTTTATTCATAAATGATGGTATTGTTATGAGAGTAATTTAAATTAATTAGACAAATACTTATTAAATATCATAAACTGCTTACTTTAATTGTTAAAATATTCAAATTTAATAAATAATTTCTCTCTCAAGAGGTATTTTTTCTTAAAATATCTTAATTTTACTTTACTAAACGAATAATTTAGTTTTAATAAGTAAATAGTCTTGTACCGTCAAATAAACCACTTTAATTCCTCTTAAATCTCAAATTTGTACATTTAATAATTAAGATTACCTAATAATCTAATTTTCCTCTTCTATTCAAGTTTTTAATAATTAGCTCCAATTTTTAAATCAAATTGACTTTTCTTCCTAGCAGCTTTAAGTAGTCGATTTTATTACGCAATAAATTTATTAAGCTTAAAATTATTTAACCACAATTTTCTTGTTAAAAAATGATTCAACTCTTACTTCATATAACATAACTTTTAACTAGGATTCTACTTTAAATTTCTAAATTAATAGTCAACCTATTTAGCTTTTAATTAGCAAACCACAATTTTTATTTACTTTAGATGAATCTCGTGACTAAAATAATAATTTAATTTATGCAAAAAGACTATTTGTAGCTAACTAAGATGTTTAATCATTTTTAATCTAATAGAATAATTTAATGCTTCCTAATTTACAAGAAAAAACTAATTATACTGTTAGCAACTTTTAATTAAAGCAAAAAACTTATAGAAGAATTATAAATTTGCTGCCTCTTGAAAATATTATGATGCTTGTAGGATGCTCTAAAGATGGATAACTTATTGCTTGGGATATATCAAATGTGTTTTAAGATTAGTATTTATACAGTGTTTAACTTTCTTAAGATCCCTGTATTGAGCTGATTCAATTTAATGTTACAAATCCTAGCGATATTATAGCTGTATTTAACAAAACAATATTCCTTATCGACGTTATAAGCTTGAATATAAAATATTAATGGTAGTAGTAAAATCTTAAAATGAAGTATTCTGTTAATAATAATAGCTTAGCTATTTTAATTGATTCAAACTTTACTTATTTTATTTAAAATTATAAAAATTAAATATATCTCAACTTTAATGGACCAATAAATGATATTTAAAACATTACTTTCTAACAAGCAAAATACTTAATTGTTTAGAGAAACAATTCAATAGATTTGTACTAGTTAGCAATAAATTAGTTAAATAAAATATCATCATACTTACTCTCTAGTAAACTTTTATTTTTTAAGATAAGAGACATATCCTAAAATACATTAAAAATACCTACCAGCTTCGAAATTAGTTTGTTTACAGCTGATCAATAATTTGTTTTAATGGGATAAAATTTTGTTCCTTATCAAACAATCAAAGGTATACCGCTCTCAACAATTCAAGATATTTAGTTTATTAATAGTGATCCTAATGATCCTCTATATTTCATGATTGGAAAGAACAATAAAACTATTTCTACTTATCCATTTTCTCTATATTCAGTGTAGAGAAATTTTTAATAAATTACTCTTATTTCTGAATACACTTACGCATCTTAATTTATACCACCAACCAAATACTATGATTCATATAATAATTCAATTTACGATTTGAAGGTACTTTCTAATAAAGGATCTATGTCTACTTTAACAACAAATAGTTATGATCCTAAACGAAATCGCATACTTTTAGAATAATAGTAAAATATATTGGGAAAAACAGGTATTAAATTTACTGTTAGTCAAAATATGAAGATCCTCTATGGAAAAAACTACTAAGGAACAATTAATGTAGGTAACTTTAAAATTTAGTAATATAAATTAGCTTTTAATATAAGCCATACAGAATAACTACAAGGAATAACTATAATTAATTTATAACACAGTTATACAATGTCTAAATACTTCATTATAACAAATAACATTTTTGTATTTAACATCCATACAAGAGAGTACATAGAAACAATTTAAATAGATAATACATCAAATCCTATTAAATAATTTTAACCAACTAAATAATTTAATCAAATTGTAGCAACAAAGCAAAATATTTTATTTACTAAAAATTATGATACAAACAGCACATATCAAGTATTATCAACTTAACCTTTTAGTTAATTTACAATATCAGAAGATAAATATAACCCATCTATTATTATAGCAGCAGATTAAATAACAAAATTCAACCTAAATCTTACAGTAAATAGAACATTACAGTATCCAACTAATTCATTTGTAAAGAATATATTCTTTGCTACATCTACTAAAGTTATTTTTTAATTCTAAAACTCTTAAATATTTGTTATTGATTATTTTACATTTACTGTGACTTAGCAAATTTAGCCTATACACATAAAAAATAACTATTAATTATAATACGATAGCAACTTGAACTATATTTATATTTTCAGCACATATAAAGTAGAAATATTTAGTATATATGGGACATTAATTAATGCAATCTTGCCGATTGGTTAGGCTATTAATTAGATTCAAATCTGTAGCAATTACACATTACTGGTCACTTCTAATAGTAAGTTTTCTTTTATTTATTTAATCATTTTATAAAATAAATATATTACATATCTTAATTAATTAAAATAAATATATAAAATATTTTATTATTATAATTTTTAATAAAAATTAAAAGTTTTATTAAATAAAATTTTATTAATGAATAGATATAGATGTATTTAGTGTATAAGATTTTAGCTATTTGGATAGCTACAATTTTTTAGGAGGGAATATTTAAAAAATATTATTTATTTAGGATTTTAATCATATAGTTGTATTTGGTGATACAATAAAGAATGGATAAATATTTGTGTATAGTCTTTTAAATCTTGAACAAATTCAAATTTTTACTAATCCATACAGTTATAATAATCCTAGTTTAGTGATTGATATGTTTTATGATAATTATGCTAGCATTCTCACATATCTTGATTAAAATGGTAATATTTATTCTTTGGACTATTCTGGTGCGTATGAAATAGTAAACCTTATGATAATTAAAGAATTTTTATATGATGGTACCATTCCTTTAGCTATGTAGCTAATTAAATAAAAAAATGAGTTATTTATTTTTAATTAAACTAGTGTGTTTTCTGTTAATTATGGAAGTTTTACTGAAAAATAAATAGTTTATTCTATCACACAAAATAATATTTTTATTAGAAGCTAAGTATAACTATATGGTTCTCCTGATTAAGATATTTTTATAATGCTAGGTTAATAAAATGTTTTGTATTAATATTCAAACTTTAAATCATCTTTCTTTTATTACCTTTAAGATAATTAACTGATTAAAGATATAAGTTTACTGTCTTCTGATTAAATTTTATTGATGTTAACAACCAATTATTACATTTTATAAGTTGATTTAAGTATTGATAATCTTATAGACTCTGTTGTTAGTTATCAAAGTTATAATTTAAATGACTTATAGTTTAGCTATTTTCTTTGCACAGGAGTTTTTTATTCACTAACATAATAAATTATTTAATATGATTTTTTTCAATAATAAATTATATAATAAATTCCTCTTCTTTATAACTAAATTATTCTCTCTAGTTATTCAGTATAATCTCTAAATTTGTTAGTTATTGGTTTAAATGATGGTACTATAATCTTTCTAAATACAGCAAAACAAAACTATTAAACAATACAACCTTTTTCAAACTAAATCTAAAAATTAATACGCTATATATCTGAAACAGTTAATTATTTATGGATTGCAACAACTTCTGCTTAAGTTTTGTAAATATAAAAATCAAATTTAAACTAGTATCTTGTTTTAGATTACAGCTCATATGCCTCAGTACAAGGAAATAAATTAACAGTTTTTTTAATAGATGACTTATATTAAAGGATGTATTTAAGCTTTTAGCAAGAAAAAAAAATAGTATGCTTTGATATTAAATAAATCACGAATTATTAATACACAATTTTGTCTTTCCCAAATAATTAATTAAATACAATTACTCTATCTAGCACTCAAATTATCTTTTACTCTACTTCATAGTTAAATATTTTCAATAGGAAAACTCTTAAGTATATAGGTTCTATCAGAAGATAGGGTATGTATGACTCAATTTAAACAGTGCAAGTGTTTTAAGATCAGTTTTATCTTGTATTATCCTAGGGTAAATTTGAATTGATTCAAGTTGATTAAAAAGGTTAAAAATAAACTTTGATAGATCAAGTAATAGTTGATTCTCTTAATATAATGATGGTGAAATTAGATGAAACCAAAAATATTTTAAGAGTTGTTGGAACTTCTTAGTATCAAATAATTGATTAATCCTATAATTTAAATATATATCTTTATAGTTAATTGGATCAAACAAACTAAATTTGTGGATTAGATATTATTGGATTAAATTATTTGTAAATGACCTAATAAGTTAAATTAATGAGATCTGATTATACATAAAAGCCCTCGCTTCTAGGAATAGTTCCAAGCGTAACTTAATTTAAACAAAGATAAATCAATTATTATCTAAAAAAGCAAGATTTATCAGATCTAAATATAAATATAACTTAGGAAAGTGATATCATAATTTCCCCCTATAGTGATAGTAGCGTTTTAGGTTTAATGCAAGACTTTATATTACCAAATAAAGAACTAGAAAACTATTCTAAAAACAATTTGTATATGAAAAATTTTAATTTTATTATTAAGAGCCCTAATTCAACAATATCTTTTAATCAAAACATACAATAAGTTTATTTATAGAATGTAAAAATTTAAAACTAAAGCTTATTTAATAACTAAATCTTATTTTAAAATTTATATACTCTAGTAATAAAGGTATTAGAAATACAGAACATTACACTAAATATAAAAAGTTCCGAGGAACCTTTTTTCTCTTTTATTAATTGTAAATATATATATATAGAATAGCTTTTTATAAAAAATATTACAATCATCAGTAACACTAATTCATTAATTAAAATTAATCAATCTTAATAAATAGTAATAAAAAATCTAACAATTATCAAGAGCTAAGTATAATCATCTATAATAAAAATAAATGATGTTTTTGAATTAACAGTAGAAACCATATTGATTTAAAATATGATGATGATCAATCCTATTTTACCAAGTTTATAGAATTTCTCTGTTATTTTTTCAATTTCAGCTGTTAGTGTCTAAAAATTTATTAACGTAAATATGCTTAATAATTAAGATATCACATTTATTGAATCTTCAAGTGTCCTTTAAGTTGAGTAAATATTTATTAGACTTTAATAAGTTCAATTTAGTGTTGCAAATTCATAATTTACTGGAAATAAGATTAATAGAGATAATGGTATTTCTCTTATAAATGTAAATGCAGCTATTATACTTTTAGAAAATTTAAATTTCTATGATAATGAATGCAATATCCTCTTGTAATAGACTTAAATTATAAATATAGTATCATCATAGTTTTTTTAAAATATAAATGAAAATGGAGGTGCTTTATCAGTTAATTAAAATTCAAAGAGTATAAGTGTATAAAATAGCACATTTTATTCAAATGTTGCTTATGCAAATGGAGGGGCAATCTTTTTATAAGAAGTTTATGGTGATGTATTTTTTGATAAGCAATCATAAATTTTTAAGAACCAAGCTTTGATTGGAGGAGGTGTAAGAATATATAATTCGATATAAAATAATAATCTCTTTTAATTATCTCATTCATTAAAATTCTAAACTAATATTAATAATAATAATGCTAAGATATATGGATAAGATATAGCTACTATCATTTCTAAATTTAGTATAGTTAAAATTAAAGAAAATAACAAAAAAATAGATTTTTAATTTCTTAGATAATTTGAGCTAGATAAACAACTATAAGATAAATATTCAGGAAAACTTTTAATTAATAATATAAATAGTGGATCATTTATTTCGATTACTATTAACCTAGAAAACGAGTTTGGAGAATCTATCAGTTTTAATTAAAATGAATTGATAAATTAAAAATATCCTTAAATTATTATTAGTGAATTATAAGAAATCTAATTAAAGATAGTCAACTAAGACAATATTAATACTCTTATTAGTGGAGTCACGTAATTAGGATATTAAAATTATAATCAAAATAATAAATCCTATACATTTGATAATATATAAATCGTTTCATCTCCAAATGGTTCATCAAAATTAAATATGTTTTATAATACTTTTTTATCATATAAATTCAATCCAATACTGATAGATATAAACTACAGAAGCTGTAAAAAAGGAGAAATAGTTCAATAATAAAATTAAAACATTTACAGATGCTTTGAATGCCCAAACAATTATTATTCCTTAAAAGACTAAAAAAAAGAAATATAAGATTAATTAGTTGATTAAAAGTGCATCCCTTGCCCAGATGAAGCTAAATTTTGTTAAGCTGATATAATTTAGCTAAAGGAAGGTTATTGGAGAAGTGATTTTGAAAATGATGATATATTATATTGCTCAGATAAGCCACCAAATTGTGTACATAATTACTAAACTAAGTAAAGCTGTTTAGAAGGAATGGTAGGCCCATTATGTGTTTCATGTGATTCTTTTGGTGAAGTCTGGGGAGGAGAGCATTACACTATTTCTTATTTTAACAATTATGAATGCGTTAAATGCAATAAACTATACGTTCCATTCATTCTGATTTCAATACTTGTTTCTATAATTCTTCTATATAGTCTTTGGACTATGATTATATTTTTAAATAGTTTTACTCATTACTAAATATGCTTCTACTTAAGAAAATTAGATTTGCTGCCAGTATCAAAAAGTTGTTTTAGGGATTAATCAAGCTTTTACTTAAAAATTTTAATAAACTATTTACAACTAACATCTTACATAATAGAAACACGTAAATTATTTCCAAATTAAGTAAATACTTCACTTTTTATTTTACAGTCGCCAACTTTTTATTTCATATCCATTATAGATTGCCTGATAAATAGTTTAGTAAGAAACAGAATTTCAAGAACTAATTTGATTTCTTTTCTTCTTGGAATTTTTCCTTTTTTTTGCATGATAATAGTCTCTCTTGTAGTAAAATTGCTATTCAAGTTAAAGCTTATTAATGTATAACGCACCTATTAAAGAACTTTATTTAATCTAATGATAGTTTTATTCTAACCTAGTTAAATAACCTATTTCACAAACGCAGTTGGTTGTATTGAATTAGGAAAATATTAATATTCTAAAATTGATTACCTTATTTAATGCAATAACCCAACATACATGTAATTTGCTATACCATATTCTATATCCATATTATCTTTTTGGATATGCATACCTCTCATTATTTTGTATTAACTTAGATTAAAAAGAAATATTTTAGATTATTGCAAAACAAAATTTTAGTATGGATATTTTTATTCAGAATATAATAAAAAATTCTACTATTGGGAGTTCATCAGAATGTATATCAGAATAGCTATTGTATTTATATTTACACTAATTGATTTTGTTTCATTTTACAGTTTACTAGTAGTAGTTGTCCTATTAATTTATATTAAAATGGCTTTGAAATTTAATCCTATTGTGAATAAAGATCTATAAAAAACAGAAATAGTCTCTATTTTAGTTATAATAGTCCTAATTATTACGACAAAATTAAATATGTAATACAATATTTTTGCATTAAGTATTTTAACATATTTAATCTTTTGCTCATTTGTCTTCTCTTGCTTATATATGATATTTGATGAAAAGTTACATTCAGAGTTTAACATTTTTGGAAGAGTTCTGAAATGGATCATTGAAAGAATATGTTCTAAATCATTCTACTTAAAATTCATTAAAAAAAAGAGAGTACAATTCTCTACTTATTAAAGATGGAAAATACTCAAAAAAAAAATAAAGATTCATTTAATCTTGAAAAAATCTTATAAAAAATAAAACAATAAGCTTTTAAAAGTAAAACCTATAATAATTGCTTAAAATACCAATAAAGGTAATCATACAATTTAAAAATTACATTTATTTTAATTTATTAATTTTTTTAGAAATAGAAAATGATTTTTATAATGAATCTCCTGATAGTTTAATAAGTTAGAATAAATTTGGAGTAAAGTAATTAAATACACAATTGTGCAAGAAACTTTAGCCAAAGACCTTAATTTTTAAAGACTCATTACCTCCGATAGTAGAAACTATTGATTCTACAGAAGGAGATACTAAAACAAATAACTGTTAAATTCCTTATGTGGCATCAACTATTATTTTCTCAGATAAAAGGAACCACAAGGAGAGCAAATCAATATTTAGTGAAAATAACTCAGTTGAAAACTTTAATTTTGAAAAAAGATGACACACTTTTTATAGTTGTGAAATAAATTTATTTAAAAAAATATCAAAAATTTAAAAAATTATTAGCTTAAATAATTTGAAATTTAAAATTGTTTTCTAAGCTTTACTTATATATTTTTAGTATTATTTAATATGTAATTCTTATATTTTATCAATCAAAAAATCAATAAAACTGCAATATATATTAAATTTTATATTTAGAATTTAAAATTAAAAAATTATTATTAAATTAAAAAAAGGAAATTTATATTTATATATTTATTATAAAAGTAATTTTCATAATTATTAATATTAATAATTCAATTTGCTCTTCTTAATTTAAACTAAAAACTTTTTATGTAATTTTTAAAACATCTACTTTATTATTTTTCATCTAATCAAAATAATTAAATCTAATTTTTAATTAATATTATTTTATTGATATAACTTATTTATTTTAGTTTTAATAAATAAATCAATTATTTTTGAAAAGATAATATTTATTACAAAAAAGCTCCGAGACCGGGAATTGAACCCGGGTCTCCTGCGTGACAGGCAGGAATACTAACCACTATACTATCTCGGATTTCTTAAAGATTAGTTTGAAATTACCAAATACATTTATACTTTTTATTTATCTTGATTGATTGATGATAATGTCTAAAGTTTTTAAAATAATTTTGAGAATAAAAGTAAATGTTAAAAATAAAATAATATTGATTTAAATAATGTATTAATAATTTACTAAATGAGCAAATAAAATTCTTTACATAAAAAAAATAAATTTTATAATTTCAATCAAGCTTTTTATTCATTAGTTGCTTAAATTTTACAATAAGAGTTTATTAAAAAATCCTCCTTTTATTTTTATTAAATCACCATAATTTCCAGATTCAACTATTTTTCCTTAGTTAAGTACAATAATTCTATCGTATTTTTATATGTTTTCTAATCTATGAGTTATTACTAATAGTGTTTTTTCTTAACTAATTTCAAATAATTTTGTGTGAATCAATTTATCAGTACTTGGATCCATATTAGAGGTAGCTTCATCTAGACATATTATTTCAGAATCTCTTAATGTGGCTCTAACGAAATTAATTATTTACTTCTATCCATTTGATAGATTTTTTCCTCCATCTTAAATCTCTAGGTTTAAGTTATCGAAGTATTGACTTATTTATTGAAATTAATTAAGGTAAAAATTAAAATTAAAAAAAATTTTACTTTTATTCTTGTTAAGCAGACTACTTGTAAACATATGAAATAAAATCTTGGATTTATTGATCAGATTTTTCTTAAATAGGATCTATGTTATTTCTTAAAGATGAATTATATAAAAAACCAAACTATGGTATAACAGACATTTTGCTTCTTAATTATTTTAATGACATACTAAGAATATTTTAGTTGTCTATAAAAATTGATCCTTATTAATAATCATATAATCTGAACAAGCAATTTAGGATGGATGTTTTACCTGAGCCTGTTCTCCCACAAATAGCAATTTTTTCTCCTCTTTTAATTTTTAAGCTAAAATCGTTAAGGGCATATTCTATGCTGGAAATGTTATCTTATTTTATTTACTCATAAGTTAAGCTAACATTTTTAAAAATGATAGAATACTATTTATCTTCAATAGATTTATCATTATCATTCAATATTTAATCATTTTAAATTGATTGATCTAATTTCTCCTATTTGTTACTAAAATACTATCTAATTCTTTCAACACTTATTAATTCTTATTCAAACATACAAGAATAATTTACCAAATCACAAATAGATCCACTAAAAAGTATAATATATGATAGACATTATATTATCATATTTTAGTCTGCTTGCTCTTCAGTATATATAGAGTAAATTATTCTTAAAACAGCTATTAATTAAACTATATTAGTAAAAGTATAAAGTCTAACAAACATCCACATCTCCATTGAAAGTGAAAGAATAAATGTATTAATGCTTTTTGAAAGCTTTTAAATATACATCTAAATCATATAACTTTACTTTTGCATTGATCTAACTACTACTACGCCTTTACAGGATTCTGAAATATGACTTTAATAATCCCCTTCATTTATCTAATTTAATCTTTTTATTTACCTATTAGCACATCTATAAAGCTTTGATATTGAATAGGAGATTAAAAAGGCTTGAAGAAAGAAAATACTCATCTCAGGAATTTGTATCGATATGCCTACTGAATACCTATTAATTGAAATAATGAAATTAGACATAATTAAATTTATTAACTTACCCAACTGCATAAGCAAGTAATGTAACAGATTTTATAAAAAAATAAGGTAGAGAGTCATCTACAGTATTCATATCACTTGATAATCTAGTAATTATATGTCCTACAGGAGTTTTATCAAAGAAAACTGATTTGCTAAACATAATAGCATTGTTTAGTCTATTAAAAATTCTTTAAGAACTAAGCAAAGAAGTTATAACAAAAAATGTCTATGAAACTAAAGTAAATATTAGCTGCACTATAGTTAGAAATTAAAGAGTTTTAGAAAAACTAGAAAACCATTAGTTAATAATTAAAAATTTAGATTGTTAAATGTCTTTAAATGTTAATTAATCTTTTAACCAACTATCTATTAGCAAAGTTGTAGCCTCTACTAAACCATAAGATAAAAATAGTAAAAATAGTAGTATGAGGTTTTAGCTTTTTAGATATGTCATTAGAGTTTCTAATTTAATAGTTTCATTTTCTTTTTATTCTTATTCCTCATCACTAAACTTCTTAGTTTCTTCTTGATCTTATTTTAGATTAATTTACTTTAATTAACCCTCAAAATAAGGAGAATTTTGAACATGTTCAATATTTCCTTGAGTTTTTAAAAAATTTTCAGCTGATTAATCTATGAAATCGTTTTTATCATTGTGGAGTTGGATAGAATTTTTATCTTTAATTACATTAGATTATTTAATACTTATATTATTTTCTGTATGCTTTATTTAGTTTATTTCAGTCTAAAAAATGTAATTTTAGATATCTTACTCTTTTTAGATTAAATTTCCTTCATTTAAGTATAAAACTTAAAAATCAACAGCATATTAGTTTGAAATAAATCCATAATTGCTAGTTGTTAGTATTACTGTTTTCTTCTTTTATTTGATTAGGTAGTCAACAATTGCATTTTAGAAGATATATTATGCAACATGAATATCTAGTGAGCTAAAAATATCATCAAGTAAATAAATATCTTTTTCTTGGTATAATGCTCTACATAAGGAAATTCTTTATCTCTACCCACCACTTAAATTGCTACCATCAGATGAAACAAACTTTTAATCTCCTTTTAAAAAGTTTGAAAAATCCGTTTAGAGACAGCATAGCTCCAAGCACTTGTTATACAATCCCTCTTCATATGGTTTTCCAAATAAAATATTCTCTTATATCGTTTAAGTTTAAAGCCAGTGGTTTTAGCTTACATAGGCAATACTTCCATAAACATAAACTTAAGTTTATTTTTCTCCTTCACATTTGATTGCTTTATCTACTCCTGATTATCTTGCATCTGATATTTACTCCATTTCATTTAATATGGCAAGCAGTAAAGCTGTTTTACCTGAACCTAAATTATCAAATAATTAGATAAATATAATCAAAATAGTAGTTAAAGTTTACCTATTTTGCCTATTACAAAATTTAAAGTGCCTTTGCTCACTTTTAAATTTTCTATTTATAGTTAGAAAATATCGAACGATGTTTTAGACTTTATCAAGGTTGATTATGACTAATAGTTTTGATTTGTTTATTTGGTATCGGTTTTAGGTAAATTATGTTTTCTTTCTAAATCAGGCCATTAAAATTAACCATTTTTAATGAGTATCGCTTGTTAGGATTGTGAAGATTCTGTAATTTAAGTTTAGACTTTTCATAATAATTTTTTAGAAAAAATATTTAAATAATTAATTTTTACCTCTGGTGTTATTTATTTCTTTTAAATTTAAAAAATTTTGAATCCTAATAAAAGAAATTCTTGATTTTGAGATACACCTAATTGAAAATGGAATCATTCCTATTGGATGAGCTAAATTTCCAAACAAAGCTATTATTGTAAAAACATTTGTATCTGATAAGTTATTACCATCATCTACAAATGATGATATCAAAATATATAAAAGAAAATATGATGAACTAATGAAAAAAGTTGTCTATAAACCATCTAAAATTCTAACAAAAGATATTTATTTGAATTCTTTCTTTCTTAACTCTTTGAGCTTTTAGGAGAAAATATTTTCCCAGCCTAAAAATTTTATATTTTTTATGCCTTCTACAACATCTTTACTCATGGATACCCTTTAATCTTTAAACATACTCATTTTGCTTATTGTTCTCTTTTTAAATTAAATAAGATAGATTATGAATTAAAATATTTGTATTTTTCTATAATTTTAATAAATTACACTAATTAGATAGCCCATAACAATACTAAAAAGAATTGAAAAAAGCAACATCGCTACTCCATAGATCACATAGAAACCTACTTTAGAGTAAATGTAGATCAAAGTTGTAAATATAACTAATAGACTTCCAACTGTTTAGTTAATACCCCAAAACATATCTAAAGAACCTTCTACATCAGTTGTTAGCAAATTATTAATATCTGGGTTATTGTTTTCAAAAGAGATACTATCTATATTTTTTAAGCTTTATTCGCTTTCTTCATTTTATTATTTTTCATCTACTACTTCAGAATTAGCTTTAGAAAAACTCAGAACCTTTTGGGACTTCTTATACACTAAATATTACAAAGTAGTTCTACATAATGCATTCCATCTAAATTTAATCCACTCAAATTAAACATGAGCAAAATTTTTAACTGTGTAATTAACCACTATAGCAATTAAAACTAAAGAAATTTATAATTTTTCTCTGTCAGTTTAGCTAAATTTCTTAAATTAGTTAGTAATCATATCAAGGAGGAAAATTCCTAAAGCTGATTGTAATTCATTAGTCATTTACAAAATAAAGCCTTTCAAGAGAGGTAACCCAGTCATATATAGATACACTTTAAGCAAATTAAATTTTGTTTCTTGAAACTCCATCTTATTTTATTATAGATATTCTTCTAATTGCTCAATTTGAGATTGAACATTTGTATTTTAAGCAATAAATTGGTCTACATCTTCATTTTATATATATTTCTCCTCATTCAAATGATTACATTTATTGATGAATTTTGAAATTTTTGAAAAGAAAATGTTATGAGACTAAAAATAATCACTTTTTTCTTTGTCTTGATTTTTATTTTTAACCATGTTATTACTTATTTTTAATTTAAATTTAAAAATTATAATTACAAAAACATAATTTTATTTTTTTATACAGATTCAACTATTATATAAATAAATGAAGTATCTCCTAATTAGAAAAATTAAATCACATAATGACATTTGATCAGATGAAGTGTCTTTTTACTAGAGAAGCCTAATCATAAAATTAATGATTAATTTGTCTATTTTTTTCCCAATTAAGTATATGAAATAATATCATATATTTATATTAAGCAATAAAATAAAAAGTATTCAAAATAATATTTTAAAATTTAATTATAATAATAATTTTAATTAGTTTTTTTATAAAAGTTCACAATAAATATTCCATATCTTTAGTTCACTAAATATTTTTAAATAAGATTTATTTAGATTTATATTTGATACTAAATTAATAATTAATTCTTTTCATTATACTTTTTATTAATATTTCAGAAAGTATTATATCTTAAAAATTTTAAAATAGACATAAGAATTAATTATGAAAATTAATAATAATCCAAAAATTTTCTGATCGTATTAATTAGTACAGGTTTAAATATAAGATTTAATTTCAAATTATTTCTAAAAAATATACAAATTTTAATGAAATTCAAGAAAATCAGATTGTTACCTAAATTTTTAAAATTAAAATTAGCATTCAAAGCACTGATCAGGCATATTTTTATATTATAGAGGAAATATAATTATTAAATTTTAAATGAGGTATATATTTAAATTATTTAAATAAGGCCAATATTAAAACAAAAAGAGCAAAGAATACAAAAAAAATTTTAGTAATTACAAAATATTTTTTTAATTTGCATTATGAAGATAAAAAATAAATAGATTAAGATAAAAGATATTTAGTAATAATAAATTATTTTTAATAAAATAGTTGTTAGAAAGATTTTATTTTATCATTTTACCGAAAAAAATGTTAAAAATTTTATTCAATTAATATTTATAGAGTAGAATTAAAATTTTTTATGTAAAATTAATAAATTTCAATAAAAAATTATTTTTTAAGTATCTTAAAAAAATAGTTTGCAATTTTTTAATATTTTAGAGCTTAAATATTAGATAATTTGTTTATACCAATAGGTTTTTCTTTTATTTTTACATATGTTTATTAAAAAATGTAAAAAAGATAAATTATATGAATATATTATTCAAACAAACTTAAAAACAACCTATTTTATTAGCAAGTGTTGTTATTTGTAAATATAATCTAAAATTATTTGGGGAAGTAAAAATAATTAAAGTTATATACTTTTTTGTTTATTTAATCATATATTAAAGATAATATTGAGAAGTCTGTATAATTTGTAATATTTTGTTTAGATTAATTTATAGTTTGTAAATATCTCTCAACTATATACATTTTAAGATCTAGATCATTTAGAATTGTTAATTTTGAAAGATATACTTTTGGGTAAAGTACTTTCATGTTAAAAATATTTAGAATACTGAATTATTATTGAATATGAGTAAAATTTATCAAAATAATTATTTCTGTAACACAATTTATTTATGATCTTTTAAAAAATAAGGTGACGTTATTAATTAATAAACTTTTTATTAATTTTATAATAATTTAATAATGCGAAAATTTATTTTTAGTAATATGTAAATGACAAATTAATTTATATTTATTTTTTTTAATATATAAAAACTTAGTTTCCATTTATTTTAATTGCTTAAAGACTAAGTAGGAAAAGCAATCAATAAATTAATAAAATTAAAGTTGTATAAATATACTATATACTGATCATAAAAACATGAAAATATACTGTATTTATTATTACATAATTTTTTAAAATAAAGTAGTGAGGAATAAATATAAAAATAAATATTTTGAAAATATATTTCACATTATAACAATATTTTCAAAATAAATATGTTTGAATATTTGATATTTAGTTTTAAATAAAATTTAAGCTTTAATTATCTTTTGCAGTCCGTTTGTCGTTTATAAGGATTTTTTTATTCTTTACAAAAAATGATGTTTTTTTAAAAATACTTCAATTTTTAATACAATTTCAAATATTAAATAGCAGAGTGTGTGAATTTAAAAGTGGAGTTAATATTCCTTATTAATAGAGTAGCTGTAATGCCATGTGATTATATTAGAAATTATTGGTTAGGTCTTCATTACTTAGAGAAAAATAATAATTTGGTTAATTTAAATTTGATGGTTTTGTTTTATGTTCATATTGTAGAGTGAATTGATTTATAACAAAATAACTCATTAGATAAATATTGATTAAGAAGATAGATAAATAAATAATTCATTTAGTTTTTCTTATTGTTAAAAGAATAAGTATAAAAAGCATTATTAATGAGTATTAATAGTCATATAGATAGCAAGATTTTGATTTAAAAATTTACAAAAAAGATTGTAATTTTCATCATTTTTCATATTTTAGTGAGTTGCCAGAATTCAGATGGATGTATTTAGCGAAATAGCAAACTACAATGCAAATAGTGTTAGGATGGGTTTATTTTAAACTAGGCAAGTAATCTATGTGTTTATCAAAATTGCGAATATGGATTTTTTCTTTAGTCTAAATTTGATCAAAATGGTAACTTAGACCCCTAAAATCAAATATGTGTAGCTATATGTGATAATAACTACTATCATAACTAATAGCAAAATATTTGTACTAAATTTTAGCATTGCTCACTAAATTTTATGACTTAATCGAACTTAAACCAAGGTGATTTAATCACTGCAATCTATTCATATTAAAGCTAATATATTCTTATTTTTCATCAGATAATTCTTCTACAAATGACTAGGGTTGATGGGGTATTTTAGCAAAGTCTTTAAATTGATAATAATATCATAGAATATGCTGTTTTTAAAGATTAGTTAATAGTCATGTCTTAAAAAGATTAAAGTATAAGGAGCTGGGACATATCTACAAATAAATTATATCCCTTATGCTTTTTTAACTAGTTGAGAGATAATATTGATAAAATAGAACTTGTAAATGTTAGTAATTTAGTAATAATATCTATAGGTCTCTATAGCGAAATTTTCACTATCTCTATATAATCTCATATCATTTACCCAACTTTTTTGCCTATTACTTCTAGTTAGTAGTTTAAAATTGTATATACCGCATAAGAAACAGTATAATGGTTCGATAACTTAATAGTAAGATTCTTAAGTAACTAAATCAGAATAACAGAAATCTATTCAAGTGCTTAATATTTAATCAGTTTGAACGAATTTACACAATCTCAATTTATATGCTCGTCACTAAGTAATTTTATTTAATTAAAAAAACTTTTAAACTAAAATCTGATGTTGGCAATAAATAAAAATTCTGTACAACTTACAATAATTGACTAATAAAGCTGCAAAATTTAGATTTTACCTGATTTAATTATAAAATTTGACTTAATTTATTACAATAATCTGGAATATGTAATTATTCTAACTAATTCAGGAATCGTTATCCTTGACTAAAATTTTAAAACTGCATAGAGCTTCAGCTTGACTAAATACCAAGTAATACACATGGCATAATCTCTTTAAATATAAAATAATTATCAAATTTATATTTTAGCTATTGAGCAAGCGACTAGTAAACAATTTGTACTTTAGCTATAAATCTAATTTACAAACTCTTTAGCATCAATTAGCCAAATTTTAACATATAATGTTGGAATTAATGATGCAAAATAGTTGGCATATTTTCCTAAAACTTAAGATGGAAATTTCGCGTCTAGACTTTTTATACTAGGAATCGATTATTAGTCAATATTACTAGATTAAGTTGATTTTTCTATTTCTTTAGAAAAATAAGAATATTTGGTCCAAAATTTTCGCTTGGGATTACCTTAGATAAATGGATAGATTTAGAGTGTATTAATTTTAGAGCAAAGCTAACTCCTTATAGCAAGTAATAATCTTGGAAATCTTTACATTTGGGATTTTGCAAATATATTTAACGCCAGATTGATATGTGGAACTTTATTACCTAGTAGCTAGAATAATTAAATAGTTTAATTCAACACAAATGATGAGCAAACAATTATAATATTGACTTAATAAAATGTATTTATTTTTGACACTTATTCTTGTACAATCGTTTAATAATGGAACTTTAATAATAACCAATATAAGGGTCTGCAAGTATCGGTTTAAAATAATTTGGCAATAATTTTAATAAATAATCAATTATTTATAATATAACAAAATACTAATAGTTTATAACCATTAGATTTTTAAATACCTGGGATTATTAATTTAATATCTTACTAATAAAATAACATTCTTATCATCCAATTAAATTCTAATATTTTAATTAATTCTAAAGTAGATTTAACACAATTTACAGTAACTTAAGCTAAATAAATTTCTTATCCCAACGATACAATCTAGCTATTAAGAATAAAAAATTATAGTCCCCCTAACCAAACTTAGTTAAATGCTTTGTTTGAAATTATTTTATTTATGAATAGCTAAACTATGTACTTTCTCCATGACGATTTATCTTAATTCTCAAAGGTTTAGGGTATTTAGCTTTCAAATGCTATAGATTTAAACTTTGTAGCTGACCCGTTGGACAATGGCTACGTGATTGGTGGATTGACATCAAAAAAATCAACTTAATATCTATATGAATCCTATATGGTATTCAAGGATACTTAACTGGTTTTATTGGCCTATCAAGTGAGTGCAATGAATTAATTATTTCCGCCAACAAAATATTATGATCAGTTTGCTTAAAGCACAATATATAGAATGAAGATGGGTTAGAGCTTCGGAATTATATAGGCTATAGGTGAATTTGAATTTGATGTGTCTCGATAGGCTAATACATTTAGAAATCTTCTTGTTGCAAATAATATTCTTAATGCAAAACTTACTCTTACAAAAGACTAAAAATATGCTGTCCTTGGAGATAATTTAGGCACAGTAGCTACTAAACTAATTTAACTTGATTATTATAGTAGCATTTACTAGTTAGATTAGTAATCTATAAATAAAGGAAATTTTATTTCAAAAGTGTACTAGAGTTATATTTTAGGAGTTTTCCTAATAATAAAAAATTCAGTAGAAATTTATGATATTAACACTAATCTATTTATTAATTCAATAAATTCTCAAAATTACCCAGACGATACTATAATATAATATTTTGTATTAGAGTAATATCAAAAAGTAATAATTTGTAAATAATTCACAATATTTATTTACGATTTTTCTTCATAAGAAACTATTTATTTTGATAGTGGTTCTTCAATTATTTCTAATATTTTACTTTATAATGACCCAACTAACAACTCAGCTATTAGAATCATTTCATATGGTCAATCAGTTAATTAATTAGATTTAAATTTAAAAATTTTAAAACACTTAACGATGGATTTCAGTGTTTTAAATTGTTAAACTACTGAAGATTCACTAATTTGCAAACTTTAGAATAAATAATTAATGATTTTTAGTCTATCAAAGAATTAAGTAACTTATTAATTTAAGCCAAAATACTAAAATGATTATATTTTTGGAGTTGATGAGCTCAATCAAAATTTAATTGTTTGCTCTGTTGATGTAAATTTATACAGCACTAAAGGAAATTTTAAGCAAAAACTCTACACTAGTTTACTTTAAGTAACTGATCTGAAATTCTTTGGAAAAAGGATGATAATTGTGTGCCAAACATGTAAATTTTTTTTTCTTTTAAATTTTTTTTTTTCAATATTATTTAAAATTAAAAAAACATTATTGTATTAATCTTAAGAAAAATATCTAAAACGATTTTTTTCAAATAAATTTATTTTTTTTAAGATAAAATAATAAAATTTTTAATTTTCCTACTAAGATTTTCATTTTTGTTTTATATGTTTGAAAATTAATAAGTTTATTATCAGGTTAAATATTTTTAATTTTTAATTAAAGATATATAAGTTCTAGATAGAGTTACTTTTGCATCTTTGGCAACAATCATTCCAGGTGGAGGAACAGGAAATATTTTTAAAATACTTTATATTGAACCATACAATCATATAATAGCTACTTCATCATTAATTAGATTTGGTTAGGCTTTTATTTATAGTTTAGACACTTTTAATCTTATATAAAGCTTGAAATAATCTTATACACAAAATAATCCATTAATGATTTGTGATTTATTTTTCGATTATAATTAAAACTACTTAGTTTTATTTGACTTCGGAGGAAATTTTGGTATTTATGATTACTCTTCTGGAGCATATCAATCTATAACATTTGTGCTTATTAAGGAATTTCATTATAATCCAACATACTTACCAGTAGGATTAAATTTTAATCCTAGCACTAATAACTTGCTATTGTTTAGCTAAATCTAAATATTTTAGCAAAATTTTGCAGAGCTTTTAAACAAATAAACAGTCCACTCATTAAAATAAAATAATTATTTTGTTGAGCTTCCTTAACTTAACCCATAAAATGATATTAAAATACTTATCTTAGGTTCTAATAGCTAATTTTATTTATACTCAGATTTTTAATTTTAATATTTTTCAAGAATAGCTAATTCTATAGATGTAGTGAAAGATATGATCTTGATCAAAGAATCCTAATTACTAGTTTTAGGATTGACCTCTTCGTTTCAGATATATGATGCTTCTATTTAGCCATACTAGCTTTCGCTCAATATTCAAAATTAAAAATCTTTTAAAGTTGTTACAGGTTATTAGTTCAGATACTTCTTAGCAGAAAATTTATTTTATACAATAGACAAAAAAATAGTTCATTATAATTTTTAACAATAAATTGAGCTTAAAGTTATAAGTCTTTAAAATAATTAATGGCTAACCTGTTATAAATACCTATCAAGCATTAATTATTTAGTCATAGGATTAAATGATGGAACTGTTTTTGTTTATTAAATTGCAAGCACATTATATACTAATTTTAATCTGAAATAAAGCTAAAGTATCTATAATGTTGTTAAGTTTATAATAGAAACACAAAGCTACATCTTTATAGCAACACAATAAACCATAATACTGTAAATTGATAAAACCAATATAAATAATTCTGTCAAATATGATCTAAGTTAATTTAATAACCAAAATAAAAAGTTAACAACCTTTTTTGCAGATGAAAGAGTGAATAATAGTACAGTATAATATACCAATCGAATCTATTTAAGCTATTTAGGTGAAAAACTTATCAGATGTATTGATATATCAACTCTAGCTACTAATCTTGCTATTAAATATTTATAGTTTCCTAATAGCTCATATAATAAAATAATGCTAACTGATAATTAAATTATTTTCTATTGCACTTTTTAGTTAAACATCCATTAGAGGGATAATCTTTAATACATTATGAGCATAAGAAGGTAAAATATTATGGATGAAATAATTGATTTTAGAGTTTTTAATAATGGTACATATTATATTATTGTTTACCTATTAAGATTTGAATTTATTAAAGCTGATTTTACTCAACAAACTATTTCCCTATTAGATCAAATTACTATAAGTAATTTATTGATAGCAAAAACCATATTCGATTCGGTTTCATAATAGCTCAGAGTTATTGGAGTGTCTTAAGATACCTTATTTGATTAGTAATATAGCTTAGGTTACTATAATGACCAGAGTATATTAGGTTATTCATAATGTAGTTTAAATATCTAATCGATCAGCTCACTTCAAATGGCGCAAACAATAGGATTGATTAAACCCCCTAGTGTTTAATAACCATCGTAGTTGGCTATTTCACCTATTTTAAATTAGACATACAATAATTTTTACACTATTTATTTAGAAAGTAATAATCTTTAAGAAATAAATTTTGATATTACTCGTGATGGATAAATCACAATTGTCCCTTACTCATAGAACAATTTGGCTCAAATAGAGGCAGCTTCATAGTACAATAGCTAAATCTAGATAGCTCCTGCAACATTTGTTAATTTTAATAAAAAAGATATACTTATCAAAGGCTTCGAATTTATTTTTAATTAATAATCATAATAAGCCTAGCTATTGACATTTAATAATATTTCTTAAAATATTTATTTCTAAAGTATATAAATTAAAAATTAAAAATTGTAAGATATCAGTTTTTAATTTCAAAATATGACTTTAGTGATTTTGAATAATTTATAAATCTAAAATGTCACAATTTAGTACAATCCTAACAATATAAATAATTCATTCTTTTTTTTCTCTAACTGCAGTTATGTTTACATCATGAACATGGTAATAAATAACTCAACTTTTGTTGGAGAATTAAATAGTTTTGTTAATGCATTTGGTATTACAAATTTAGAAATAAACAACTTACAAATTACTAATAGCAATTTAGATTTCTTCTTTATTTCAAAAAAGGTGGATAATTTTATAATTAATAATGTTAACATTATTAACTGCACTCAAACTAAATTAATTAGTCCTGCCTAGCAAATTTATTTTTTTTATGCACAGAGAACATTAAATCTTTAGATAAACAATATAATATACGGTAACAACTCAAATATTTAATTTATAAATTCCTAAAAACAACTATAGAGTAGTGATTATACAATAACGTTAAATTCTGATACTTTGAGTCTGTCTAATGCTAATTTTTATGATAATACTAATATAATTGGAAACTATTAATCAACAGAATAACACTTAATTCAAATATACTCAACAACTGTAGTTATTAAGTCTTTAACTTTTTTAAATAACCAAGGAAATGTATATGTAAATTAAGCTAATAATATAACCTTTGATAGCTGTAATTTTACTCAAAACTAAAATTTAAATGGTGGTGGCATATAGTTGGATACTATATATGTTAGTTTAAAAATAATAAAATCAACATTTTTCTAAAATAGAGTTACTGGTAGTGGAGGTGGAATCTACATTAGCAATCAAATTAAAGATTTTTATATTGATGATCATACTTTTATCACTTAAAATAATGCTCTCATTGGTGGTGGTATTCGCTTTTTTTTAAATATTAATAACAGGTATAATGGCTAATTTAATAACCTTTATCACAAAGCGAATATAAATTCTAATAATGCTTTAATATATGGTTAAGATATAGCATAAAATTTACAAAGCATAAGAGTTAAAAGTGTAGTATACGATCCAAGTGGATAAAATACTCAACTTCCATTTCTTTTTTAAGATTAAGCTGAATTAAATCAATAAGAAAAATAATTTTATTCTGGAAAATTAATTTTATAAAATATTGTTAGCGGGTCTTCTTTTAAAATATCTATTTCAGTAATGGATTAAATTGGTGATATATTATTCTTTGACACAACTCTTCTTAGAGATAAAGTTTATCCACCTGATATTATGTAAGAACTGAGCAGTATATATTTAAAGCTTGATGCACTAAATTCAAGTAGTTAACTAGTTATTAATGGAGAAACTTATATTACTCCAGATTAGTATAATCAAACTGAATTAGCCTTCAATTTTAGAGAGTTTTAAATGACATCTAGTCCTCTTCTTTCAGTTTCATTTAATTTAGATTATAGCATTAATTAAGTGGATAGTAAACCAATTTAAATAATTGCTATTTTTCGTTAGTGTGTTGTTGGTGAAATATATAAATACTTTAGTCCTTAAATTATAAGTTGCTATTAATGTCCAGAAGGGTAGTTTTCGCTTATTTAACCATCAATGAAGTAAAATGACTCTTAGACAAATGAATAGGACATATAGGTTTGCCAAAAATGTCCAGATTCGGCCAGCTTTTGTAAAGGAAAAAATATTGTCATTAAAGATGGATACTGGAGAAGTAGTGATTCCTCTTCAAATATATTTTATTGCTTAAATCAACCAAGTAATTGCGTTTCTTAAATTAGATCAGATGTTGATTAAATATAAGGATGCATTAAAGGTAATATAGGACCTCTTTGTGAAGAATGCGATTATTTTGGTGAAGTTTGGAAAGGCCATTAATACTCTAACTCTTTTACCTAGAGATATGATTGCAGTGAATGCAGTGATACATCTTACTAAATTGCTTTTATAATAATTATGGGAATTTTTTTTACTTTATATTTCTTTTTCAGTACTCTAATGTTTATGTCAAGCTTTATGCATACACAGACTTGCTACTATCTGAGAAGACTAAATCTATTTCCTATTTCATCGAATTCAATCAGGGATTGGTCAGGTTTTTACCTCAAAATTCTTATAAACTATTTATAAATTTCATCAATGCTCATATATTTCAAGCTTAATGTATTTCCTTCATTCTTCGGAGATTTAGGGAATTTATTTTAGTCACCTTCTAATAAGATCAATGTAACCATTAATTGCAGTATAATTTCTATTGTTAAAACAAGGCTACAAAAAGTTCAAGCTTAATAAATTATTTAGCTTTTAACACCACTTATCTTCTATTTTATCATAAAATTCATTTTTTAGATCTGTGAGAGGTTAAAAAAATATAATATAAATAACTGGCACAAGTTCACATTATATAATTTAATTTTTGCCTTCTTTTAGCCTAGCTCTATTTAATTCTTTGCTTAATCGTTAAGTTGTCGTTAAATAGGGACAAATAATTATTCACAATTTGATTTATTAATTGATTGTGATGAACTCAGATATAATAGATTTACCTAATCCTTTAGTATAACTATGATACTATTTTGGATAATTACTCCTTTAATTATTTTATATAAAATTAAAAAATCATCTAAAACTTTAAATAATTGTATTATCCGCTACAAATACGGTTTTTATTATTCTGAATTCAAGTAGGGTTATTACTACTGGGAATTCGTGAGATCTAATCTTCGTATATCATTGGTGCTTCTTTTCACATTTCTTTCAGGTGATAATATTTATTTAGTTTATATTTAAATCATATTTATCATGAGTGCCTATATAAAATTAATGCTAATATATAGACCGATTCAAAGCAATAAACTGCAATAATTTGAAATTCTTTCAATTTTGGTCATAATAGTTAATTTGATTCTAACTGCTTTAAATCACGAATATTAGTACTTATTTATAGAATCTATTACCTATTGTATTCACATTTGCTTTATTTCTTACATAATTGTAGTTATTATTTCTTACAAAGTGTCTTCAAAATTAAATGCCTTTGGAAGACTCATTCGCTGGATTTTTAAAAAGATTCTACCACATAAATTTTACTAGAAATTCGAAACTAAACTAGAAATAAAATTTAGCACATACAAAAAATGGAAAGAAATCAGAGAAATGGTTCCTTATATTATTGGTTTGAAGGCCCTAGAAAAAGCAAAAGAAATTTCAAATACTATTAATAAAACAAATGCTCCCTCGAAAAGCAAAAGTAAGAATTTTTATTTTAATTTTTTTGAATTTCAAATAACCAATTTATCTTATGAAAACAAAAATTTTAACAAGTAATAAATAGTTTATATATCTTCTAATAAATTTCTGTTTATTTTCTTTAATTTTATAAATGATTTCTACTTTTTTAAATTACATTAAATAAAAAATATTAAAATTATTGAAATTTAAAAGAAAATATTATTTTTTATCATATATAAATTCAATAAACTTTAATTATTAGTATAACTTTTTTTAATAAAATAAAGAAAGCTTAGCATAAAAATAAATAAGCTAATTAGCATGTGATCTTTCTCGCTCATTTTCTCCTAATTTTAATCAATAAAATTAAGATCAAGCATATTATTCACCATCTCATAAGGAATAAGAAAAAAATGCAAGTTAAGATTTTGTAATTGAGTAATAAAATAATGATAAAAGCAATTAATTATAAGATTAAAATACTCAAAAATTAAAAGAATCAAATGGTAATATGAGCATGAGCTTATCTAAGATAGAATTTTTCTCAAATCTAGAAAATGTTGAAAAAGTTACAGAAAGTTAATCATAGAATGATTAATCTCCTTATCCATAAAACTTTAATAAAAAAAGAAGATTATTACCAAGTCAGTATTAGATAAATGCAGTTAATATATCTACTTTAGACTAAAAGGATAGGACTAAGGAAAGCAATTAGTGAAAATTAAGTAAAAACTCAACAATTAAAAAGATATATATTAATCAATAAATTTTATATAAATAAATTGTTATTTATTGTAATTCCATATTATTCTAAAATTTAAAAAATAAATTATTTTATCAGATTTATATTTATTTATAAAAATTAATTAATCTAAAGCTTAGTATAAATAATTTATTCCTTTTTAAAAATCATTTTTAACTTTGATAACTTTTTTAAATAATATTAAAGATAAATTAGAAAAAATGATGAAACAATTATTTAAATATGAAAGAAAAATTTTTTAAATAAATATTAATTGATTAAAAAAATAAAAATAATAATGATAAATAATAAACATATTGTTACTTATATTAAAAACAGCTTGATATTGTGAGTATCTATTATTAATTTATGATTTTTTTATTTATTGAATGTTTATTTAATATATCAATAATTAAGATTTTATTTAAATTTCAATAAAAAATTATTATTGTATTATTTATTTTTCAACTTGAATTAAATAATTGAAATTATAATTAATAAAGAAATTGTTATCATTAAAGAAATTAATAATAAGTAAAAGGTATTATTGTAGAAGTAATTACATCTTAAATGAATATGATTAATAAAAATTTAGTTTTAGCATCATTTTTAATAATCATGGCTAGTTTAGTGAAAGGTTAAGATTAAGTTTGTGCTATAGGATGTTTATAATGTGATCAAAATCTTATTTGTTAGTAATGTTAAGTAGGATTTATACTTTCTTAATAATTAAATTTGTGTGTTTATTAATAATGTCCATTAGGATTGTTTTACTAGCTCAAAGATGACTCAAATTTTAAATCTAGCTAATAAGCTTAGACAGGAGTTTGTTAAGCTGTTTGCGATGATAACTACTACTAAATTTAGTCATAGAATATTTGTGTAAATTTCAATTCATGCTAACTATCATATTAATCTCAAACAGAAGTTAATTCAGGTTAAATCTTAGATGTTATTTCTTTTAATGAATAATATATTCTCACAATATATGATTAATAATTAAACTAATACTCTAGACAAAATGGATTATTCTAATAAGTATTACCAATATCATAAAATATCATTTAAATAATAGGAATAGATTAGTAGGTTTACTTTCTATAAGGTAATTTGACTTTTTTCTAGTTGGATGCCTCATAAAATAATCAAATAATTATTAATACAATTTAAGTAAACCTCAGTGACTACTAAAATGTATATCTTGTAGCCCCTTAAAATTAAATCATTTGCTCAATAACACAGCTTAAATCTAAAAGTTAAATAAATATTTAACATTTATTAACAATTCAAGGTGAAACTATTCCTGATATTCCAATTGTTATTTAGATAACATACAATCCTATTAACTATGTTTAAATTTTTAATCAATTTGTTATTTAAATTTAGTAAAATAGTATAAGAGTAGATGAAGTAGCTGTTAATGCTAAATAATAAATGGTAATATCATACTTTACTTCTTAAAATTTCATATGCAGCAATATTCCTAATTTGCTTGCATCTGTGGTATTGAAAAGCATATCAGGGTTTTATATCTCTTTTATTTTTTCTCAATATTAAACTCTGATTATTTTATAACAAAGTCAGTGCTAAGCTTTAACACTAGAGTAAGTTCCTAGTTACCTTTTATCATTAATGATAAACAATTAAGATTATTTTTTAGTATAATTACCAAATTAAATTCAGTTTGTAAAAGCTATATCTAATACAAATGAATATTCTTAAAAATTTAATTCAAATATTATAGATATGAAATTATCATAGATCTAATAGGATAAAAATTCTTTTTACCTTTATGTTTTAACAAGTGATAATAATTTAAACGTATTTACTATTTAAATAATTAATAATCAAATTTAAACAATTCCTTTTAATCAACTTTTAATATCAATAAATTAGCCAACTAAGATATTTGTCCTTCCATAAATACCAAAAAAATTTTTAGAAAGAGTGTTTGTAGTAGGATAGGATCTACAGTCTTTTCTGATTGAAAAAGAAAATTATGCATTTACAGCTGAGAAATATGAATACATAATAGAAAATTTTAGTCTTGGTTATGATTAGATAACTAGTCCTTTGACCAATTTAGTAATTCTATCAAAATAAAAAACAATAGTTGCGTGCACTGTAGATGGAAAACTTTACTCTTGGGACATTGGCTCAATTTATAATGAAATTTTCTAAAATTTCATGCAAATTGAAAAGAGCATTTGCATAAAACTTAAATTATTTAATTAAATTAATTAATTTGATTTATTAGCTTTTTTTAATAATCAATTAGTTATATTTGATTCCTTCAATTTCTAAATTAAGTAGCAAATTATATATGAAATGAATCCCTAGCCTATTGCCCCACTAATAACAGATTATTAATCAATAGTAGTAACTTTATTTGACTAAAGTCTGTATGCAATTTCCTAAAATGATTACTTAATTTAAAAAATATCATTTTAAAACTACTCTACAGATATTGTTTAAATTTCTCTTACATAAAATAATATCTTAATAATCTAAAAAAATTTTATAATAGAAGTTTATTAATTAGATTTAGTCAATAAAATTGCTTAATTAACTGATAAATATAATTCAGCAACTTAAATATAAATTTGGAAGGTTAAGAAGTATTTTCCTTAACCTTAATACCCTTAGCTTTTTGAAGTCTACATTTTTTCATAGGATACCACATTTACTCTTTTGAAAAAAACAGCAAATTCTTTTACTGTTTTTCAGCAAATATAAAATTTACCTCTTGCTAAAGGTTTAGATATCACATTTATATAAAATAACCCATTAGATAATTACATTTTTATACTTGGCATTACAAACTAATAAACTGCAACACTTCCATACCAATGCTTAGTGATTTAAAAAAATTCCCCTAATTTTATTTAGTTCTTTAGTGTAAGTTCTGCATAGTCACTTATATAACCAGTTACTTTTTACGACTCTTAAAATAATCTGATATATAATGTGAAGGTAGTACAAAATCTCAGCTTTATGTCTATTTTAGGAACACAAACATTTAATTCTGTCGATCTATCTAATTATTAAGATGATACAACTCTATTGTTTAATATTTAAGGATCTAATCAACTTGTGACTGAAGATTAAAACTTTATTTATGTGTATGATTAGTAGGGATTTATAGGCTTAAATCCTTATAAAACTAATTTTTATTCATAGTTTTACAATATTTCTTAATCTGATTTTAGTAGTGGAGATAATATTACTGACGTAAAAATGAGTTATACTTTAAACAGATACTTTATCATTAGGAGATCAATATACATATTTAATATTAACGACAATAGTTTTTTAGAAACTGTTTAATTTGAAATAAATACTTCTGCTTAAGTAAATCAATTTATAATTTTAGAAAGTGAATAAGTAGTGATAGCAAGTAAAATTAACATAATTAAACTAAAAAATTTTCAAACTAATTAAACCAGCACTTTTATGGATTCAACATATACAATAACTAGTATATAAATAACTCCTTTATAAAGTTAGAATATGATAACTGTATATGGTAACAGAATTATTAGATTAAATCTCAACCTTTTGAATTAGGAAAATATTTCTATAAATTTTGATCCATTATACGCAACATACTGTTAGTTTCCACCTTAAAACATTATATGTAAGTTAAGCAACAATCAAGTTACAATTCTAGAATTGAAAAAGCTAACTGTAGTTTAATAATTCGCTTCAAAAAATTTAATATCATCATTTCTCATTCAAATTGATTCTCTATAGAATAGACTATTCCTATACACAGATTCAATTGAAGTATATGATCTAAAAGGTATATTTTAGTAGACAGTAACTTAAAGCTAAGGAACTATTATTAACTTAAATGTTTACTAAAAATCGCTTGTCCTCGTAACAACTTCAAGTATATTTTATTTATTTAATTTTTAACAATTTAATTTATGATTTTTACCATTTGTAAATTTTTTATCAATAACCTAACATCTTTATAATAGTTAGTTACTTACTTCAGCATTTTCTTATGAAAAAAGATTTAAAATAAATATATATAATTACTCAAAATATATAATTAAAATAGAATTAATGATTTTACAAAAAATAATGAAATATATTTTCTGTAGGAGTTTTCATCCAAAAATAAATTATAAACTTTTTTAATCTTCATTACAAAATAAATAAATATTTTTAATTTTAACTTTCTATTCAAGAGTGAATCAAACTTTTCAACTTTATTCAAAGAGTTATGAAAAACTTGATTTAGATATCACCTTCTTAAGAAAATCATTTAAAATATTGCTTTTTAAAAAAAAATTAACACATTTGATTATTAAAAAATCATTAAAAATATTACTTCCTATTTAAGAATATAGCTATTACAGCAGTCTCATAAATAAAATCATTAAAAATACTTATTCGCCTACTCTTTAAAAAAAAAAATCTAAAAACTTAAAATGTGAAAATGATAAAAGAAGTTAAAATCTTCTTACATTATTTTTATTTAAAATTATTTATATAAAGACCTAATAAATTAAAATCTTTTATTTTTTAACAAAAAGCTTTAGTGGTATTAGATAGAAGCTCTTTAGCAAACTTAGGAACTTTGTAGGGTTCAGGAGGAGGTTAAATACTTAATGTTTCCTATCTAGAAGATTATAATCATATTCTAGTTTACACAAATATTATTAGATTTGCTTAAGTGTTTGTTTTTAGCCTAGATAGTTTAATTTAAGTTACTTCTATAAAGAATTAATATACATAAAATAGCGTAACTATTGTTGCAGACTCTATTTTTGACAAGTATATGAATATATATGCATTTTTAGATCAAACTGGAAGTGTTACTTTTATAGATTATTAAGGAATTTATCAATAAATAAATATCCTAAAGATTAGAGAATTTAATTCAGGTAAAAACCCAAGTCCTGTAGGATTAAGACTTTGCCCTGAGATAAATGTTTTGCTAATATTTAGTAACAAAGTAATATACATAGCAAATTATGCTTAAATTACTGATAGTTATAAAAGGTATACTCTAAAAAGAGGTACTTTTTTTATAGAAATTAATTCAATTAGATAAAATCAATCAGAAAATTATAGTTAATTTATTTTTTTAGGGATAAATAATGGTCTTTATTTTTATAATGAGTAGTAAATTTAATATCTAATGACTATTAAATCAAAAGAAAATATTTTAGACCTCAACTTTGTAACAAAAAACTTATTTATTGTAGCCTTTTAAAGTTAAATATTGAAGTATGATTTAACTAGCTTTATACAAAATCTTGTAGAAGGAATATAAAATATTAATCCATCAGTTAATAACAGATACAAATTTGTGTAATTTCTATGCTCAAGTGTATTCTTAACTCTTGATTAAAAACTGATCCACTACAATTTCTAATAAGATTATTAGCTAAATGAAATTAAGCTAAACTAATATTAAAGACTCACATCTTATTATATGTTGACGACTCAACAAATATTACTATTAGGTTTTAATGATGGAACTCTTATTATCTATAATTTATAAGATTTAGCATTAAACTATCTAAGCTTATAATTAATATCAGGTGCAACTCTTTATGATGATGTGCATTTTATATTTGAAACTGAAAGCTTTATTTGGGTTGCTTCTTTAAATAGCTAAGTTGTGTGCTTATCTAAAAATAAAATCCAAGAGTTAAGTAGATTTAATTTTGTTAAATTAATGTCTAACAATAGCTAAACTCTAGGGGTTATATAAATAGATGAACTTAATTCTGTAATATTTATGAACTTTTTTAAAGAAAAAATAGTTCGATGCTTGAAACTTAGTAATTAACAACCACTAATTAATCTATCGTTTCCTGATTCTTAAAAAAACCGTATTTTAATCACAAAAACACTACTGATATTTTATTCAACTTTTTAATTGAATATTCACAGCAGAAATTCTTTAAAATTTATGACATCAATCCGTAGATAAAACCTTCAAGACTAGATTATTTCCATCAATATTTTTGATGAAAAATACTATTTTATTGTTTCTTTCCACAAATTTGAGCTATTTAAAGTAGATTAAAATACCTAAAAAATAACTTTGTTTGATCAAGTTAGTGCTTAGTCTTTTAAATTAATGAAAGTTTTTTATAATGAAACTTCACAATTTTTAAGAGTTATTGGTTTATCAAACAATTAAATTTTTGACTAACAGTACAGTATGATCTTTTATGAGCTTTAAAAATCTTTTAACCAGATATAATGTAGCATTAACATTAAGGACTAGAATTTCATATAAATGTAAAATTCAATTGGTTTGATTATTCCACTTCAAAATCAGCTACCAAATCTTCTCTCTTTATAAGAATAACCGAATTCTGCTTCAAATACTTTTATGACTATTTATTTAAACTAATAAAATCTTAAAGAAATAAATATTGAAGCAACTTCTAATAGTTAAATCACTATAGTTCCTAGCTAAGGTACTCTACCATTTTACATTAATTAAAATAAAATTATTACTTAACCAGATATACTTATTGTGGAAGAAAATACCTTACTTAATTATCCAAAATAATATTTAATTATTAAAAATTTTAATTTACTTTTTTAGAGTAAAAAATAATTGATAATGTAAAATGAGATAACAAAAAAGACATTTCTATAAAATATTAGTATATCAAACCAAAATTTACATGATATCTAAATACAAATTTCAAATAATGATAATGTAGTAATCATGAATCTAATTCTAGAAAATTTAACTATCAATTATTCAAGTTAAGGAGTATCTTTTTTATCTTTTTCCAGCTGTTAATAAATTTCTATATACAATTTAATTCTTAGAAATGTTTAAATTACTGGTTTGAATAATAGTTTAATAAATATTGCAAATAGTGGCACAATTCTAATTAATTCTACCTAAATTTTACATAGTAAGTTAAACTAATTTGTTTCCACAGCTAATACTTAGAACTTAGTCATCTAAAATGTGTTAATAGACCATAGCTCATCTTAGATTGTTTCTAATGATGATTCTAATTTCTTGTTCATTATTTTTGGTAGTTTAAATTTGAATGTATCATAAATAAATATGCAGTATAATACTAATTTGAAATTTATGCTAACTAAAAATTAAATTTAAAAATAGCTTTAAATAATAACATTGTTAAATGATTAAGTTACATTAATATAAGCTAATTTTTAACAAAACATTTTTAATTAAACTAAATAATCACCTCTAATCAAATTCTATTCTTCTAACATAACCATAGATTCATTTAATTTTAGTCAAAACTAAGGAAACATTTAATTTATTAATTCTTAAAATGCAGTAATAACAAATTCTAACTTTTTAAATAATACTAATTAAGATGGGGGTGCTCTTTCTTTTATAAATAATGATAACTTAATAAAAATTAAGAAAAGCTTATTTTAATTTAATGAAGCTTTTGGATCTGGAGGAGCTATTTATTGTTAGGAACTTACTGGTTAGCTTGTGATTGATGACTAAACTGCAATTAACAATAACAAAGCATTAATAGGAGGAGGTATTAGAATTTATAATTTAATAAATGATATGAGAGATTTGGAAATGAAAAAATTATTTTAAAACTTGAATGTTTAAAATAATACAGCTCAATTTTATGGTTAGTAGTATGCTACTTTTCTTTAAAAAATTTACATTTCATAAATTTTTTCTGATTCTAACTCTACTTTCTAAGAATTACCTTATAAATTTTTAACATAAAATGAGCTCTCGCTTGAAGAATAAGCTATATATTCTGGCAAATTGTAAATCTAAAATCTAAGAAGTGGATCTTTGTTATAAATCCAACTCTTTGGAATGGACTCAAGTTCTGATTTTATTAAATTTTCACAAGATTTTGTAAAAAATGGAAATAATTCTAATTAAATCTAACAGGAGCTTCTTTAGTATTACTTCAAAATTGAAAATATAGATAAATCATAAATTCTTCTAAATGGTGAAACATTAATCACTTCAGATTAATACAATTCAACTAATTACTAGTTTATTTTTAAGGAAGTTTAGATTACATCATATCCTTAGAAAGATACTTAGCTGTTAATTAATTATCAAATAAATAACAAATAAAGTCTTCCTATCCTTGTTTAAATTCATTTCAGAAATTGTTTAGTTGGAGAAACAGTAAAAGTTTTTAGCCCTAATATAATTAGCTGTACTCTCTGTCCATCTGGATCATACCTGCTATCTGCTCCACAAATATCTTAGAATAACTCAAACAATTAATATGTCGAGGAAAATTCTTAGTGTTAAAAATGCCCTGATTCAGCTGAGTAATGTCAAGGATCTGAAATCATATTAAAAGATGGATATTGGAGAAGCAATATTAATTCTTCAGAAATAATCTTTTGTGAAAATAACCCAGATAATTGCTAATCAAAAGATAATAAATCTATAAATGGGTGTATTTTAGGTTCAATAGGACCACTGTGCGAAGAGTGTGATACGCAAGGAGTAGTATGGAAAAATAAACAATTTACTCGCTCTTTCAAAGAAGATTATACCTGTGAATAATGCAATACTATGAAATACCAAACTATTTTTATAATATCATATGCTTTTATTTTAGTAATTTATTCTTTACTAAATACAATTATTTTCATGGAGAGTTTCAAATTCACTTAAGCTTGCTATTATTTAAGAACTCTCTCATTATTTCCAATTTCAAAAAGTTCTACCAGAGATTAATCAAGCTCGTATCTGAAAATTCTAAATAATTACTTGCAAATAGTTTCTTATCTTATATATTTCAAAATTTAGCTACTTCCATAATTCATCTCTAACTGTATTGATCTGGTCTAATCTCCTGTTTAAAAATTTGCAGTATCAATGGACTGCATAATTAGCTCAGTGTATTAAAATAGAATTGAGCGTATACATGCGACTTAAATTATTTATTTATGTATTCCTCTTGGATTCATTTTATTACTATCAACAATAATTAAAATAACTGAAAAACTTATGAAAATAAATGTTTAAATGACTCATATATATACTTTGCTGAATTTCTTATTTGTTTTCTTCTAGCCTAGCTAAATCATATTTTTCACAAAATCTCTTAGTTGTCGTACGATTGGCTCTAGTAGTTATTAAGTTGTAGATTTACTAATATAATGCAGTGATAGTTCTTATCTAGATTTTTCTATTCCATTTTCAATTTGTGCTTTAATATTTTGGATTTTAATACCCTTAGTAATATTTTTTAAATTAAGAAAGTAAAAAGAAAAACTAAACTATTCTTTAGTTAGATATAAATATGGATTTTACTATTCTGAGTTTAAACCATAATTTTATTATTGGGAGTTTGTAAGGCTAAACATTCGTATTTTTGTTATTATGATTTTTACTCTTATTCCTCAAAATGTTTATCTTGTTTACTTGCTAATCATATTTATATTCGGCCTTTACATTAAATCAGTTTTACTCTTTAATCCAATTTAAAATAAGTAGCTGTAAAAGTTCGAAATATTATCTAATTAGCTTATTGTATTCAATTTGATCCTCATATCAATCAGCATAACTTTTCCAAACTATGTCTTATAACTACTAATTTATATAGAGCACTTAATGTTTGTTTTTTATATAATTTTTATCATAATGTCTTAGAAAGCTATTTCAAAATAAAATTTTTTTGGGAAAGCATTTTGGTATATTCTTAAAAAAATTTTGACCAAATAAGCATATAATAAATTTGAATAGAGAAATACAATTAAATTCAAAACATTCTAAAGATGGATCATGATCAAAAGAAATATAAGCTAGATAATTGCTAGTAATGCTCTATAAAATGCAGAAAGGGCTACATTTTCTTAAATTAATTCAATAAAGAACAGTTATTAATTTATTTATTTTTTAATAAAAATTTATTAATTATTTTATTAAATAGGAGTAGACGATGTAAGTAATATTTATATGCATGAAGCTAATAATTCAAAATAAGGATTTTATACATAAACTTAAGATGAAATCTTAGAAAACAATTAAAAGAGTTTTATATCCGTGTTCAATTAAAACTCTCCTGAAATCAAAGAGAATCGTTTCTTATGGATAAATGATGAAACACAAAATTAATTAAAAAATACTAAAAATTAATATGAGGAAAACTCTTCAATTTTTGAATCTAGATTCAGTAATATTTCTGAAAAAATTAAAATTGATGAAAGTTCTGATTTATAAGACTAAGAAAAACTATCTTAAACCATAAAACATGTTCTCCCAGGACAATATAATATTTAAAATCATACCATAAGCTCATTAAATATTTAAAGCAAATTAAAATTCTAAAGCAAAGATAATAAAAATTAAGATCATCAAAATTGAAATAAATTAATGCTATATTTAAAGACAAACTAAAGATAACTTAACTATTATAAAAACATCTGTAAAATTATATAAACAAAATATCTTTTATTAATAAAATATAATTAATTAGGTTTTATGTATGTTCAGGCTATTATTAGATAGATAGAATGTATACTCATTAAATTCTTTAAACATGTTTTTTAATAATTTTTATTGATTGATAAATATATTTGCATTCGTTTTTATATGATTTTACCTTTTTACAATAAAAATATCATCCAAGCTATAGCCTTAAATTATTATTTTACTTAAAAATCTATTGAACCTTTTTTAAAGCAAAATTAAATAAATTTAATTTTTATAATTTTTAAGAAATTAAATAAATTAATTAATAAAATCTTATATATATTCAAATAAATTATGATTTTTTTTATTTTTTTTAAATCAAAAATTCAAACTTCTAAATAAATTAAAATCTACTTTAAAATTTTTTTAGTTAGTTAGTTTTTTAATACTATATATCTCAACTCATAATAAATTTGATAATTGCTATTTGAAATTACATTAAATTTTACTATCAAATTTTATGCTTGAAGAAATAGTAATTTAATATTTACTAAATAATAAAGTAGGAATATAATCAAGTTTTATAAAAAAACTAAAAAATAGAAGTAAAAAAATTTAATAATTTTATATTTAAATTTATTAATCTCTTTCTCTTTTAAGGAAAGCTCTTAAAAATAAAATAAGTAGAAGTTTTAGTTAATTAAAAGGATAAAATTTAAAATGGCAAGCTATATTTTTATAATAATATTATAACTAATAATTATAGTATTAAATTAGAAATCATAAGGTGCAGATTGTAGTATAGGGTGTTAAGATTGCAATTAGGGTAGTTAATGCTTGTAATGTATGGATGGATTTCTATTAAATGAAAACAATTGTATTTTCTAAAATTGTTTAGAGGGATTAGTTTTTTATGATGAAATAAAAAATTCAAATTAAAATTTAGGAAGTTGTGTAGCTATCTGTCCTGAGTAGTATGTTTAAAACTTTTCTTAAAATACTTGTAACAGAATAGAAAGTTGTACATTGAGCTATTCTTCAGATGTAATATTTGATGTAAATAACTCTAATTCCAAAAATATCTTAGCTTATTATGATCAAACAATAACGATACAATTAAATAATTAAATGGCTTTAATTTCTAGATAAAATGGATAAATTTTATAAATAATTCCAATATAAGAAAACATTATGACAATTTACAATATTTTTGAGTAAATTTTAGTTTTGAAGTATGATTTATCACTTTTTAAATGGGATTTGATAACAAATAATCTAACTTACATAAATCAACTATAAATAAGTTCTTTGCAATATTAATAAACTATTTCTCTCAATTAAATAGAAAATTACATCTATTCATATTCTATTCAAAATAATAATTGTATAGAGTTTTAATTAATTTTTACTCTACCTGATTTCAAACAAGTATAATAATATTCTTATCATTATTTTATTCCCCAAAATACGACCGCACAAATATTTAATAATACAATTATTATGACAAACCAAAAAGGAATACTAATAGATGAAATTTAAATAGGGTATAACAATACAGTTAAAATATATAATTTTAATTTAAATCAATATATGTGTTCTTATAAAGCTAAGACAAATATTATAAGCTTGGTTTTTAGCTTTGTTTAGAAAAGTTATTATTTAATTTTCGAAAATGATTTTAATTTGTTTTAAGTTAAGTAAGATCTATGTGTTGTTACTATCTTAAAATAATTACCATAGGGCTTATAATAATTTTAATTATAAGAATTAGAATTTAACACAATCTAATTTCTGAATTCTATGAGTATAATTGACAACAAAGTAATTGAAATATAATCTCTAACTTTTTCACCTCAAATAATATTGAAGTTAATCATTGTTTAAAATATAGATCAGATCTATTTTATAATTTTATTAGATAATTATCTTGTATAGTAAGTACAAGTATAATTAATAAACTAGAATTTGCAATTAGTATAACTTAATTAACTACCTGTTTTAATCAATAATCCAAAAAATTTAATATACTTACCAGCCATTACTCAATAAAGTATTAATGATAGATTACTAATTATAGGAAATGAAATATAATCAGAAATTCTAAACAGTAAGAATAGTATTATAAATGTTGAGAAACAGAGATACATAATTTCAAATTATCATTTTAAATATGAAGATTTACAAAGTTAAATATTATTTACTCTTATCATAGATGAAATTAATATTATGATCAATTGCGCAGATAAATCAATTTACTTTTGGGACATATCACACATTTATAACCCACTTTATATTTTTTCAATAAAAGACTCTAACAACTAATGTCTATAGATTTACTATTTATCTAACTATGACATTTTAATAGTTTATCAACATAAACTAATAGTTTTTTAGATAAATAACTTTTATGTTAAATAAGTATGGAATGTAAATTCTATTTCAAAAGACTTTATTCCAAAAGTTTCAATATACTAAACAAATTGTGCAATTATATTTAATCAGACTCTTTATATATATCAATTAGATAATGAAAAATTAGCTTCTTTCCAATTTTCTAACTATACTGATTAGATATAATTTATTTCATTATAATATAATAACTAGCTGATAATTTAGTATTAGCAATAATGCTCATTATTTTATCTTAACTTCTAATCTAATATAGCTTAATTTATTAAAAGTTTTTAGACATTAAGTAGAATTATCAAGTCTAAGGTAAGAACATATACTAATAGTACTTTTGAAATAAATTTGTATACTTCAAGCTAAACTTTTATAATATTAAATTAGAGTTTAAATATAGTATTGTAAATATAAAATATTCCATTACTTTAGCTATTTGATTTTTCATTTTTGTAGTCTGATTCTACTGATGATTCATATTTTTTACTTGGTTAAACCACTTAATTAAGTGCTTCAAATTAATTTATAGGATACTGCTTTTTTAAATCCAAACCATAATTATCTTAAGCTTGGTCGGCAACGGGAGGAATTTAGATCCTTAGTATTGAAAAGTTTTAAAATAGTTTTATGTAAACTTATATTGTTTAGGTTTTATATAACTAGAGTGCTTATTCAGCTATCATTTCATTTACATATCAACCTAGCTTACAAAAATAAAATGTTGGAAACTTTTATTTTAACTTTTATCAGTATTAGTATTTGTAAGAAAAAACTGTTTTTGCAAATAAGTAATAAAATTTAATATCTACTGATGCAAATGGATTTATTGGAGTAAATCAAAATACAAGTAAATTTTATAGAATTTTTTATAGTATGAGCTCATCTGAATTATAGGCATAAATGAATCCTATAATAGATGTGATATAAAACTATAACTTAGGAATTATTTTTGTAATTAAAAGCTAAAATATTTTGCAATATGATATTTTCACAAATTAGTTAATTGAAAATATTTAATTTGGAAGTTTAAATAATAACATCACTTAATACTTACTCTACTAATAACAACCTTCACTTATAGCTTGTAAAGCAAATATAATATATGTCAAATTACTCAATACAAATAATTAGTATACTTATCAAAGTTAATTATTCAATGGATTCACAGTATGGTAAAATGGCTAATAGAATTTTATCATAGCTTTTGGTTAGAGTATAGTCATACTTTCATTCGATCTCTAAGTAATATAAAATATTTAAGATCTTTAAATGAATTATACCTTTTAAAAATGCAAATTATCTGGAAGTTAATTGTTTTGCTCAATAACTTAAAATTAAATAACGTTAGTTATCATAAATTTAATTTAAAATAAGATTTAACTATATTTAACTACTCAAAATAAATTTGTTCCAGCTAACTTTTCTTTAGATGACTAAAATTAAATTCTTTTTATCTATAGTAAGTCTATAGAATGCTATTAATTCAATGGAGCTTTGATTGATAAAATAACAAATATTAATTAATAAGTTACTGATTTAGTCTTTTATTAGTAATATATGATTGTGCTATAATCTTCAATATAATCATGTAAATTACTAATTATTTTTAATATTTATTCAGAAAATTAAAATGAAATAAATATATTAAATTTATTTTATAAAAATAGATATATCAATTTATGATAGATAGAGCTTCAATTTTCTAAAATAGTTTGCATTTTAAAAGTAAGGAAGTATTGTGTAATATTAAATTATTTAACAAAATAACCAAATACTAATATCAACTTAAGGTGCCTAAATTTATATTTATGATATTATACAGCAAGCTTAAATAACAACAATTACAAGTCAATCTTAAAGTGCTTAAGGCAACGTCTATGTTGGAATGTATTTTGATTAAGAATTTTATTAAATTACTACTTTGAATTAATAAGGAACTCTTTACTCTCTTTCTTATTAAAATTTTCAATCCCCTTAAGAATTAACAAAATATTTTGAATTTGGAACATCATAAGTTCCTTATGCAAAAGGAATGAATGTGGATAGAATTACAAATAATTGTTTATTATTTAGTGATTAATATGTTCTTTAAGTGGATTATTCCAGACTCACGAATTTCTTTATGAAATTATCTTAATAAAAAAATAAATTTGCCAGTAAAATAATTTTCTAAAATTAAAACAATAAGGATTATTATATCCTATTAGGTTAAAATAATACATTATACACCTATCAAAATTTTTAAATTCAGTACTTTGGTTATATTTAAAATCAAAATTAAATAATCAATATTTAATATTTAGAGAATGATTAATTAATAATTATTGCTTTCATATCAGAAATTAGGGTTTATAACTTCACTCAAATTCATTTTTAGTCAAGTTATTTAATAGAAAATATGTCATATTAATAAGAGTCTCAGTTTTAAATAAGCTAGTTTTTATGTCCAAACATTTTCCTAACAATTGATAACATGGTAGTTCATTACAACTTTACATCTATGATAATGATAAACAAGATAGCTTTATCTTCAATCTTATCTAAATTTAACTTTAATACATAAAATAATATTCTAACTTTAGGCCTATCGAATGGAGATATTATTTTATACATTACTTAAACAAAATAATAACTAAATTGCAGTCTTAATCTAACAAAAAATAAGAATAATATAAAATTTATTATAGAAACTAAAAGCTATATTTGGATAGGATCACTAAATAGCTATTTAATTGGTTTTGATATCATAAATTATAAGTATTAAATTCAAATTAATCTCAATTCATACTCTAACAATACTTCCTAAGAACTTACTGCTTTAGCTATTGATGAGGATTAATAAAGGTTCTTTTTTGGTTATTTGCATTAAAAAACAGTGTATTGTTTAAACTACTCAACAATTAATTCAACATAAAATTTAAAATACCTACTATTTCCAGGAACTCAGTCTAATAATATTGAAATAACATAAAACTATATCATACTTTACTCTACATTTTAGTTTAATTTTCATGATAGGAAGAGCCTCTAGTTTATTTTAACAGTTAGAAGGTAAAATATTGTTGATGCAATAAATAAAATTTACATTGCAAAAGAATAATTTTATTTGCTTTTTTCTGCTTATAAATATGAATTACTTTATATTGATTTTAATAATTAGAATTATTAAATTTTAGACTAAGTTTAAATATAGCATTATTAAATAATTGATATTGTTTACAATGAAAATGAAAATAAGTTAAATTTAATAACAACAATTGATAACCAATTATTTGAAAAAAATTATCAGATTTCTTATTACTTGCAATAAATTATTTAAAATAAATATGAATGCAGTTTAGAATTATCAGGAGTGACATATTTTTAAATGATAAATACAGTAAACAGTATTTATCCGGTAGTATAATTTTAGAATAGTTATTCAGGAATGAGTTTTTTGCAAAACATTAATCAAACAAATTTGATCTTTTCTAGAATAAATGGCTAAGATTTTTCTGAAATAAATTTTGAACCATTAAAAAATTCATAATTGGTAATATCACCTAATAATGATAATAATTTTAAATAACAACTAATGATTACAGAATAATTGTTTGCAAATTATCCATTAACTTAAATTTAATTAGAAAATTTTAATTTTTAAATTTAAGGAAAGATAATCAAGTTTAATAAGAGTGTAAAAGAAATATTTTTTAAAAATATTGAAATTTCGTTTCAAAATTTAAGTGATATTCAAATTCTATTTTTAAATTTAGATAAAGTAGTAATTTAGAATTTAACAATCTAAAATTTGACAATTTCCTAAATTAAATAAAATTAGTCCTTTTTAAATTTTGAAAACTGCAATCTTGTGACAATTTAAAATCTAACTATCCAAAATATTTAAATTTATGGATAAAATAATTCTTATTTTATCTAAATGAGAAATATAAGTATTGCTAATATTTATACATTTTAAATTTAAAATAGCAATTTTAATAACTTTATGTTCTTACAGTAGTTAAACTAAGTAAAATTAGAATAAATTGAAGTCAACGAATGCAAAAATATTATTAATCCAACTATTATTGGGTAGTTCATAGCATCTTAAGGAACTCAAACGTTTTAGATAAACCTTGCTTAATTTATAAATAATGAAAACATTTTATTTATTAGTTATAGTAATTAATATGTTCTAGACTTTTAGTACACTTAAATCAAAGAAGATTAAATTGCTATCCAGAATTCAAATGTTTCGAATAATTTTTGTATAGATAATACCTTATAGCTGATCTTAATATAAGCTGCAAATGTTACTATGAACTTCTTATAATTTAACAAAAATTAGATCAACATAGCTTTTATTAATTGTTAAAGAATATAAATTATAAATAGTATCTTTTAATTAAATTAGGGGATTAATGGTGGAGCTTTATTTATTTAAAATAATATTAATTATTTGAAATTGAAGAATTCTACGTTTGTTCAAAATACTGCTTTCGCAAGTGGTGGTGCTTTATATTTATTAGAGTAAAATGGTCTATTAGACATAGATAATTAAACAATAATTGAACAAAATAAAGCTTAAATCGGAGGAGGGTTAAAATTATAGAATTCTATGTTAAATACTACCCCAAAATAACTTATAGAATTAATGAAAAAAATAAATTTTAAAAATAATGAGGCTAAGATATTTGGATAGAATTATTAACTTGGATGCCATTCTCTTAAAATTGAGATGATTTCTAGGCAAAATTAGGAAAAAAAAATTAAATTTATATACAATGATTTGTAAAAACAAAGCCTAGCATTTGAGTCTTAATATTCAGGAAAAGTATTTATGAAGGATATTAAAAGTGGTGATATTATTGATTTTGCAGTCTCAATCATTGACGAAGAAGGAAATAAATTTATTCTAACTTAAGATAATTATTTTATTAAAAATAATAATCTAAAAATTATTGAACTTAATAAATATTCATTTTAATTATAAAGTTAAAATGAATAAAATTTATAGTTAAATGGACAAACTGCAATCACTATTGATTCTTTCGATTTTAGTTATCATTACTTTTTATTTAATAAAGTAATGATAACTAGTTAACCTTCTTCGTCAAATTATTTCTAATTAAATTATTAAATAAATTCTCACATTTAGCTTCCTATACTGGTATAAGTTTAGTTTAGAAATTGCATATAAGGAGAAGTGCTAAAACACTATATCTACTAATTATACAGCTGTTAAGAATGCTAAATAGGAACATATTCTCTAATTGATTATCAAAATTTCAATGCTTCAAATTAAAATATGTTAACCTAGTATGATTAGGTTTGTAAAAAGTGTCCAGAATAAGCTAGTTTTTGTTAAGGTAAAGCCATTTAATTATAATTAGGTTTTTGGAGAGAAAGCGATTAAGATTTAGATGATGATTAGATTTTATATTGTCAAAATAATCCTTAAAATTGCTAAGAACAATATCCTAATTAAATAAAAGGCTGTATAGAAGGATATATAGGACCACTTTGCGAAACCTGTGATTCATTTGGAGTAGTTTGGAATCAGAGATATACAAAAACATATACATCCAAATATAAATGCAACTTATGTAGTTAGTTAATCTTTTAAGTTTTAGTAATTTTAGTAATAGTTTTATTTATCATATTATACGGTTTAAGTAGTACTTTCATGTTTATGAATAACTTCATATACATTCAGAAATGCTTTTACTTGAGGTAAATGTCTATTCTTCCAATATCAAAGAGCTCTCAAAAGGATTATTCGAGCTTCTACTTGAAAATATTAATAAATTATTTATAAATAATCTAATATATTCTAAAATTTTAATTGAGTAACCTTTAAGAATACATTTCAACCAGTTTAGATCTTATGTAAAGTCCATAGTAATAACTTTAAAACTCTACAGACTGCCTTATAAATTCACTTATAGATAACAGAATATAAAGAATTAAATATAATCTAATATTAGAAGTAGCAAATCCTATCTTTTTATTACTTATTATGGGTTTTATTCTTTTAATTTTTAAAAAATTAGGATTTCTTTAAGTGAGTAAATATCATTTTTATACAATAATGAATGTGATATTTATATTCTACTAGCCAAGTTCAATTGTTTATTTTATTTAATCTTTAAGTTGTAGACAGATAAGCAATAAAAGATATACTTAATTAGACATTACTATAGATTGCTATAATTAAGAATATGAGAATTTTGTGTACTTTTTTTCATCTACTATTATTTTGGTATATATCCTGATACCTTTTTACATTTTTCATCAAATTAGAAAAGCTAAGTTAAAATTAAATTATTGCTAAGTTAGATTTAAATATGGATACTATTATACAGAATATAAGCCATAGTTTTTCTATTGGGATTTAATTAGAATTAATTTTAGAGTTTTTATTTTCATAATATTTACTGTTTTAGAATAAAATAGTGATATTTCTTACTTGATAATTTCTTTTTCTATAAGCTTATATTTAATACTGATCATTATCCTAAGTCCAATTCAAAATTTTAGCATGTTAAAAATAGAGATATATACAAAAATAAACATTCTTATATAAATTATAATTTATAGATTAAGTATATACTATTAGTTGACAATAGCATAGTATATCATCCACATGTTCCACTTAATATACATATTCTATTTGATTTTGTTAATTTTCAATCAAAAAATAAAATCTAGTTTAAATTTCTTTGGTAAAATCTTCAGAGCCTTATTAAGATGCTTATTATCCAAAGAAGCATTTAATAAATTTATAAATAAAAACTAAACTAGCTTCTAAGCATATAAAAGATGGAGATTCTTAAAGCTCATGATTAAATAAATCCTACTATAAAATAATTATCAAAAACTAAAGAAACATTCAAATTCAAGAAATCATAAATCATGTAAATATTTATTTATATTTAATTTAATCTTAGATTTTTAAAAAATAGGTATTGATTTGAAGATATCTTAATTTATAAATTAAAATTCATTTTTGATATAATCCAAACTCTCAAGTAGTCCAAAAACTCCAAATAAAATAAATATTTCTAATATTTTAACAAATTCAATTAGCACTCTACATAAAAAATAGACATTTAAATCTAATTTTGGAACTCCAAAGAAAGGCAAAGAATTATAAGAGCATTTAAATGACTAATTTAATTTTGAAAAATAAAACACTTCCTAATATTATGACACTTAATATAAGTTTAATCAAAATAATACCAATGAAGTAGTAATGTTAGACAACACAAACTTAGCGTCAATTCAAAATGAGAACAGTCTTTTTTAAAAAAAGCATGATGTTTAATAGAATTAAATCAATTAGTATTCATTTTGTCATGAAATCAGCTCAAACCAAGTAAATGAATAATATTGAAAAATATAAAATGAAATTTGAAATAATATGAATTGTTAATAAAAATATATAATTATTTTTTGTTAATAAAAATTTATTTTTTTTTATGTAATTTTAAAGTTAGTAAATTTAAAATATATTTTGGATTAATAATTATACTAAAAATTTTTATATTAAAAAATTATAAAATTAAATTTTTTTTTATTTTGCTTTATTTATTTTTAATATATGAATCTTAACGAATTTTTATATTTAGTGTATGGAATATTATCATTTTTAAAAAAATTATTTTTTAATTCATTTTAAATTAAATAATTTTTGTTTACGAGGGGGGAGGGGCTTGCAAGGGGTCAAGTTTCATATTCGAGATTTATAGCTAGGAAAATTAGTTTAAAAAATACCTATTTTCATAAAGAATATACTCTTTACCTTCCTTAATTAATACAATTTTCTGTAAAAAAAATTTACCTAGAAGATCTAATAAATTGTCTTAGATGTAATAAGGTAATTTAATTTTAAATTTACTTTTACTTTTCAAAATTAGAAAGCAATAATATCATTTATAAAATACTGGTATTATTTATATGTACTATTTTTATGAATAATATATTAGGATTTATTAAGTAATTATAAATATAAAACCACCATTTTAATAAATAATTTTTATCTATTAAGCTTGTATGCAATTTTATTGATAAAATATGCGTTATTTTTAATTATATATAAATAACAAAGTTAAAGTTAGAATTGTTTAATGATAAAAAAATATTTTTTTAACTCACCTCTTTATAAATAATTAAATATTTTATTTATTTTTAAGTTTAACAATCATTTGATTGATTTTAATATAACATGAAAGCAAAAATATAATTTCTTTTTTTCTAAAAACTCATCAATAATTTGTCTTAAATAAGTTTAATTGAAATTTTATATTAAAAATAACAAAAAAATATAAATAGTTAGTAGAATTAAACAAAAATACACAAATGAATACTTTAAGCTTTAAAAACAGGTGTTTAAAATAAATAATATTCTTAACTTTTTTAAAAATATCAGTTAATAAGGTCTCTAATTTTAACTTAAATTGTGGATTAGGTTGTATGATGTGTACCACATAATTTAACTGTATAAATTGTATTGAAGGTTTCTAATTGTAGTAAGGCGTTTGCTCATATTCTAACTGTCCTTAAGGATTATTTTATTAACAAGATTCTTAGAATGCAAATAAAAATCTTGGAAAATGTGTAGCAATTTGCAATGATAACTATTTCTAGAGTTCCTCTTAGAACTCTTGTATCAAAGTTGAGCAATGCCCTCTTTCATATTAATCAGAATTTATTTTTCGTGATGGTGGAATATTTAAAGATATTTTCTAATACAATAATGATACAATTATAGTTTTACTAAGTAATTCAATAATATAAATATAAAGATAAAATGGATAGTTTTTGCAAGAGGTAGCTTTACCTAAAAATATACTATCTGTATAGGTTTATTAAAATACAGTAGTAGCAGTTAGATAAGATTTAGCATTAGTTTTGTGGGATTTAGATTAAAATCAATTTTTTATTCTTAATTAAATAGAAATATCCTTAAAGCAAAACTAATATCCAATATTATTTTGCTTATAAAATTCATATTTAATTGTTTATAATATTTAAATAGAGAAAAGCTTAATTGAGTTTTAATTGCTGTTATCACTACCAAATTTATCTCCTTAGGCTAGTAAAAAATACAATTACAGTTTTCCTTTAAATTCATAAATATAAATATTAGATGATTTAATAATAATTACTAACTAATAAGGTATTAGGATAGATTAAATGAATATAAATTCAGATAACAACTTTGAAATTTATTTTCTTACTAATCATAATTTTGTGTGCTAATAAAATTTTTAAACAAAATTAACTTAAATATTATAAATTAACTTAGAAAAATAATATACTTTTATTTTAGAAAATAATTTTAATATTTACGTAATAAGCTAATCTGAATGCATATCTATCAAATTTAATTAAATTCCCTAAAGTATTTCTTTAATTTAATTGCCAAGTAGTGAATATTATGCTATATAATTTTAATAATAGGTTGAAATAACTGATAATAAATTTAACAACTTATAAACATTAAATTTTTCTTAGGCTAACATCATTTAAGTAATGATTATTTATTATGAAGAATTATCTATATTGATAATATTACTAAGCAATCAATAAATATAGCTATTAGAATTATAATCGATAAATAATTAAATTACCATAGAAAATATAAAACAAATATTTATTATTATTAATAATCCTACCTATTTATATTATTTACCTGCGCTATCAGGAACATAAACTCAAGAGAGACTTTTTATCGTTGGAGAAAATATATAATCAGTTGCATTAAAAATAAAAAATACTCTTAATAATGAAAAACAGTAGTATGTAATCTAAAATTATTAATTTTCTTATGATAGAATTTCAAACTTAATTTAATACACCTTAGTAATTGACTCAATTAATTTTTTGATAAATTGTGCAGCTGAAGGCATATTTTTTTGGGATATTTCACACATTTATAGATTTTAATATTTATATTCAATAAAATCTAATGGTGATTAATGCTTAGAATTGCATCATCTTTAAAATTATGATATTTTAATATTATTTAATAATAGAATTGTAATTTTAAATTTAAGTTAATTTGCAATCAAATAAATTTGGACAATTAATTAAATCTCCTAAAATATATCCCCGAAAGTATCTGTTAGCTCGTCTTACTGTGTAATTATCTTTAATTCGAATTTATTTATATATCAATATTCAAATGATTAATTGAAATTAATTACATTTAATTAAAATATAAACCTGATTTAATCTATATTTATACTACCAAAAGATCAACTACTTGTATAATTAGCAAATTAGTTATAACTTTATTAGCTTGATTTAAATAATTTTAATTCACATATTAACTTTAATTTTTCAACTTAAGCTGATATATTAATGACTAAAATAAGATATTTCTCAGAATTGAAATTTGAAGTAAATATCTATGCATAAGATTAGAGCTTTAATATTTTAGATTAAAATTTGTAATAAATTTTAGCGGTTAATAACATTCCATTACTAAGCTTAAATGATTTTTCTTTTGCGGACAGCACAAGCGATGATTCTTACTATTTTTTAGGAAAAACCACCTAAATAAACTCATCTTATAGTACTGTAGTGTTATGCATATTTAAGTCAGATCCATAAATATATTAAGCAATCCAAGTGACAGGAGGTTAGCAAATACTTAATATAATTAAGTAGCTTGATGACTACTCAATTTACTACTACATAATTACTTTACTTATTAATAAACCTACATACAGCAGTGTCATATAATTTTAATACTATCATAAAACTAACGTATTTTACTTTTATAATGGATTCTATTAATTAAATAAAAATTAATAATAAACGCAATTTGTAAATAAAAATTAAAATCAAATATCTACATTTTCAAGTGGATTTATTGGTAGTCATTAGAATATATAATTTTTTTAGAAATAACTTTATACATCAAATGAACAAAATAGTAGTTAAAATGTGATAGTTGATGTAATTCAAAATTATAAAATGGGAGTAATACTAGTAATAAAACAAAGAAGTTTTCTATCTTTTAATATTTACAATAATGCCTTAATTGAAGAAGTATTTTTTGGAAAATAAGAAGACACAATAATAAGTTATTATATAATTTAAGAAGAAAACGTTTTTATAGCTTGTAAGAAAGATGTTTTAATAGTAAAAGGATACAGCTCAGGTTATAATAGTACTTTGTAAATGGATTTTTTAAATGGATGTATATCTTACAGCATAAATGATAAAACTTATATAATAACTTATGGTCAATAAATTTAACTTTTTAATCTTAATTTTACCTTAATTCATACTGTTAGTAATTAATAAGATGGGGTTATCATATCGAATTGTAAGGAAATCAGTTCGACTTTATTTTGTAAGACCTAAGGAAGCAAATAGATTTTATTAATATTTGATTTGATAAACTATTAAATATTATAAAAAATATTTTAAATTGATCTAGATCCAAGTTTTAATTTTTAGATTGATGCTGAAAATCAAAACATCTTTATCTTTAAAAAATTTTTATAAATCTTCTCATTTGAAGGATAGTAAATTGAAATAATTTAAAACTTAAAAGAACAAATATCAGATTTACTTATTTTTAGATAATAAATAATAGTCTTATAGTCATCGTCTTAGTCATGTAAATTTTTTAAATAAATTAAAATTATTTTATTTTTTTTGGGTGTTTTTTTGATGCTTATTTATTTTTTAGTTAAATAAATGATTATTTTTTATTTATTTTTTAATTTTTAGTTATTTTTAAAGAAACTTTTATTTTTGAAAAATTTAAATAGGATTATAGTCATTTTTTCATCAACTAAAAAAATTTTTTTAGTTTTTATCAATTGATATTGGCATTTTAGATAATAATTTTATGTAATTTAAAAATTAAAATTAATTAATAAAAAATCACTTTTTTTTATACAATTTATTTATTTGTAATAATTTAAAATATTAAATAATAGATATAAGTATATATGACAGAAAAAATTTTTAATTTTTACATGAATTTGTAATTTAGACTGAAGGATATATTGTTTGTAATCTTATAGTGGAATAGTATAATCATTTGCTGATATCTACTGACAATATTCAGATGGGTTAAATATTTGTTTATGATATAAGCAAAATGACTTTTGTGACAAGTATTTTGAATTATTTTCCAAGTAATAATCTAAATGTTGTAATAAGCTTAATTTATGATAAAGATTATAATTTGCTTAACTTTCTTGATAGAACTGGTAACATCTATTCTATAATTTATACAAATTTATAAACTGTTTCATTCATAGTAAAATTTTATTAATTTAATAATCCTTAAATGCCTCTAGCTAAAGGTATGAGTATCGATTTTATAACAAATAGTTGCTTGGTTTTTAGTGAGAACTAAATATTTTACATCAATTACTCACAGTAAACCAATTCTTATATTTAGTAATAATTAGTTAAAAATACATTTTTTATAAAAATAAATTATTAAAATAATATTTTAAGTAGCTTTTATCTTATTCTTGGTTAAAATAATACTATTTACTTTTACAATAACTAAACAGTCTTATACACTGGATCAATATTAAACAATTAGCAAATTTTAGAAATTTAATATTCTTAAGTTAATCGTAATTTAATAATTGCATTTGTAAATTAAATCAGAGTTTATGATATTAGTGAGGTTATGCTAAATATCAATATTCAGATTGATGATTTATTATTTAAGTCAGAGTTAAAATATTCAGTCAATAAATTTTTAACATCTGATATATTTTTAACTGTAGATAATAAAATAATACATTACAATTATTAAGAAATGGATGTTTTATTTCAAATATAATTAAACTCTATTTTATCTGAATACTAATTAAATAAATTAGAAGATGTAATAATATTAGGCTTAATAGACGGAAGTGTAATCATTTATTTTATTAATACTCATTAATATAAAAGCTATTCTCTAAATTTAAGTTAAAGTAAAAATAGCATAAAATATATTCAAGAAACTGAAAACTTCATTTGGATTGGATCTCTTAATGGGCAATTAATTGGTCTAAATAAAACAAATTTTGAGTAACTTTATAAAATAAATCTCAATTAAATAAGTAATAATACAGTTTATGAAATTACAAGTATGAGTATCGATGAATTAAATAAAAGAGTTTTCTTTAGCTATTTAAATTAAAATCTTGTTTATTGCAAAGATTATTCAATTTAATCATCATCTATTAATGATGTCTACCTTTTAAATTTTCCAGGATCTTAATATAATAGAATAGAAATCACTTAAAACTTATTGATCCTTTACTCTACTTTTTAATTAAATATTCATGATAGATTAAGTCTTTAGTATATAACTAATATTAGAAGATAAAATCTTTATGACTCAATAAATAAGTTATTTATTATTTAGGAGTAGTTTTATTTGCTAATTTATAATAGCAAATTGGAGTTATTTTATCTAGATATTTAGAATCAGCAATCTTATTTATTGGATTAGGTCCAAATAATGAATATATAAATAATAGATATAATTTACAACTAAAATAACTAAGACTTAAAAATTATATTAGCTACAAGCAATCAAATATTTGAACAAAATTATTCAATCAACTATTACTTGAAAAAAATTTATTTAAATTAGTTTGAATGTAATTTGGTAATTGGAGGATTAACTTTTTTTGAAATGTAAAAATAAATATAAAGTATTTAGCCTTTCTCACAATAGCAGCCTACTTAGCTTGCAATGGATTATTTTTCTAATCTAACTTAAAAAAAACTTATATTAATATAAATATTGACTTCAGATTTTTCGAAAATAAGCTATTAAGGTCTGAGCGAAGTTATACTAAGTATTGCTCCATATTCCTCTGTAAGATAAAATTTAATTATAACTCAAGATTTATTATATGAATATCCTCTAAATTAAATTTAATTAACTAACTTTAAGTTTATTTTAAAAGACAAAAATATAACATTTAATCAAAAAATGTAAATAATTTAACTCTAAAATATAGAAATTTCTGATCAAAATCTCAAAGACGTCTAATTCTTATTTTAAAATATTGATTCAATTATAATTTAAGACATTTTAATTGAAAATTTAAATTTAGAATATCAGGAAAAACTATCACTTTTTTATTTTATTAATTGTAGAGTTGTAACAATTCACAATTTGATAATTTAAAACATCAACATAATCTCTAAATAGTAGTCATATCTATTTTAGATGAATTCTATTGTGAACTTAAATATAATTTAATTAACACTTTAGAAAAGTTTTTTTAGTGGTATTTTTCTTTTAGAAAATATATAAATTGTTAATATGAATACTTTAAACATAACTTATTGTGATAAAAGCTATTAAAGTATAGAAAGTTATTTTATCTACGGTTCTATTTTTTATAGCACTAAAATAAATGAAATCATATTTAATAATAATAAAAACATATAATTTGTAAACTATAAGAATGTTGAAACCAATTAAAATATTACATAATAACTAAAAAATGATTTTATTTAATTATAAAACCTCTCAATTTAAGATAACCTCTTATCTAGCATAAATTCATTTTTAATTAATTTGTAAGCAAATTAAATAGACATTAATGAAATTAATTATCTAAGAAACAATGCTGCAATGTATCTTGTTAATTTTTAAAGCATATTTATTAGAAATAGCTAATTTGTTAATAATACAGGAATCAATGGTGGTGCTTTATTTATTAAAAATAATTCCATTTAATTAAATATTTTTAACTCAACATTTTTAGGAAATATAGCTAAAGCTAGTGGTGGAGCAATTTATTTAAAAGAACAACAAGGAATTATTAATTTTGATCAACTATGCAGTTTAAAATAAAATCATGCTTAAATAGGTGGAGGTTTTAGAATTCAAAATTCTGATATGTATAGTTATTCTTCTGAATTGCTTCGTTAAATTTAACTACTAAATATACATAACAACACTGCTGACATTTTTGGTTAAAATTACAATATTGGATTATCAAGTATTGAAGTTATTTCAATATCTTCTTAAGATTAAGAACCAGTTTAATATTAATTTAAAAATAATTAAAATATAAATTAAGATTAGTACTCTGGATAACTTAATATATTAAACTTAAAAAGTGGAGATAAGCTAAATATAGCTTTAGGTTTAAAAGATGAAGAAAATAATTAATTAAATTTCAAAACTGATATTTATCAAAGCAGTCAATATCAAACTTATATTTAAAATGAACTTTCACAATTTAGCTTTTCCCTTTAATCTATAGATCAATAGTAAGTATAGTTAGAAGGTTAAATTATAATCCGTTCTGAATCATTCTAATCTGGAATAAACTGTTTTCTTTTTACTTAAGTCTCTATTACAGGTTAACCTCTTGGTGTAGGATATTTACAATTAAATTATAAAACAAATGAACTTTCATAAAAACCTATTTTAATTTTTATTTAATTTAGAAACTGTTAATTAGGAGAAGAGTTTAAGCATTTAATATTCAGTTTATATAGTTGCTAATATTGCCAAATAGGTTTCTACTCTTTATAAGAATATAATAATTATAATGTAAGCTATATTAGCAATTAAAACATCTAACACGGCTGTTAGTAATGTCCAGTAACAGCTGATTAATGTTAAAGAAATACTATTTTGGTAAAATCAGGGTACTGGAGAATAAGTAAACATTCAGATCAAATTATTTAATGTGTTAACAATCCTCTTAGCTGCTAAGAATAAGAGGTTAGTTCTATAAATGGGTGTATAAAAGGATATGTTGGCCCTTTGTGTGAACAATGTGATATTTTTGGAGTTGTATGGTAAAACAGGTATACTAGGAAATAATTTTCTTAGTTTGAATGCGCTTAGTGTTCTTCTTTAACTGTATAAATTTTGTATATATTTGGTATAATAATATTTATAATAGCATATGGCTTAATTAGCACTATACTTTTTATGAATAGCTTCATATTTACTCAAACATGCTATTACTTAAGATATAGTTCGATTTTACCAATATCTAAAAGTTCTGTTAAAGACTATTCTAGCTTTTACCTTAAAATACTTATTAATTACTTATAAATTATGTAATTCCTAATAAAATTAAAAATAAATGAATTTTAATAAAATATTACTAGCATTTTTGACTTATTTTAAGGTCCTTAACTTAAATTTTAAAGCTTGCTAGATTGTTATGTAAATAATATAATCAAAAATAGAGTAGATAGAATCAAAGTTAATCACTTAATTTAAGCATTCAGTCCTATTTTTTTATCATTGATCCTTTTTATTATTTTTTTACTTTTTAAAAAAATAAAAATTTTGAATGTAAAAAAATACCATATTTATACTATGCTTAATGTTATGTTCATATACTTCTTTCCTAATTCTATGATCTACTTTGTATCTTCTTTTTAGTGCAGGAATATAGGAAATATGTCATATGTTTTACTAGATATAGGTATCAGTTGTACAGACTAGGAATATCGAAAATTTAATACTATGTTTGCTAGTTCTATATTGATAGTTTTCTACCTCATTCCATTTTTCATTTTTTACCAACTTAGCAAAGCTAAGTAAAATCTTAATTATTGCAAAATAAAATATACTTATGGATATTTCTACTCAGAATACAAGCCTTAATATTACTATTTTGATTTGTTAAGAATCATTTTAAAAATTCTTATTTTTAATTTAAATGCGTTTATTGCTCAGATAAGTTTTTCAAAACTAGCTATGATTACTTTTATCGGTATATATGTAAAGCTCTTGATAGTATTTAAACCTATTTAGATCCATAATTTATAAAAAACAGAAATTTTAGTTAACTTATATATTATGGTTAATATTATACTATCTTTCATAAATGAAATATATTAATCTATTGCTTTACAATTATTGATTTTCTTCTTTTATTCCTTTGGCACCTTGTATTTAATAGCATTAATTTTAAATGAGAAAATTAAATCAAAATTTAATATTATTGGTAGAATATTACGATTTTTATTAAGGTTTATTTTGTCTAAAAAATACTTTGATAAATTTACTTATATCCATCATACTAATATATAAACATATAAAAGATGGATCTTTCTATAAAAGCAAATTCATTGTATTATTGTAGGATAAGCATTTTGTAATTTAATTATTTAACGAAATCGCTCTCTATCCCAAAGAACACACTTAGGTATTTAGTTAAATAATATTTTAATTTTAATTAATTTTAAATTTGTAAAAAAAAGTTAACTCATTTCAAACAGAGACCAAACTAAACAAAGAACTAACTAAAAATTAATAACCTCAAAATTTTAATTTTATTTCATAAAATTAATTAAAATTTATCAATCATTCTTAACAAAATGATTTTATTTAAGATTTGAAAAGTTAATAATCGACATCATCTAATAAAATTAAAAGAAAAAGAAATTAAAAAGAAATCAATTAGTATGATTTTCATAGTAAATAAAATAAAAAAACTCAAAAATAAAAGGATCTTTCACCAAATCCACTAATTATCGATTCTAATATTAGATAAATCACATTTTCGAATATAAATAATTAAATTTAAGAGGACATCATTTTTAGTTAGTAAAATGACATTACTAATTGAAAAAATAATTAACTAACTAATTATTGTATTTTTAAATTTCTATTTTTATTTATTGTTTCATAAATTTATTATTTTTCCTAAACTGTATTTATCATTATCTCAATATCTATCATAATTTATTCTAAATATTTTTAATTGAGCTAAAAATTTTTATATTTGATATTATTTTAATTAAATTTAGTTGAATATTCTTATACTAAAAATACATATACCTCTCTTTATTTAATTTTCAGACCTTTTTTCATCATAAAATACTCATTTTATTTTTTAATTGGTTTTTTCAAATTAATGAGTAATGCTGTATATGGTAAACACTCTAAAATATAAGAAAAAGAGGTAATTATTAAATGTTTGATAAAATAGAAGCTTAATAAATTATTAATTAAAAATATTTTTTAAATTTTATATAAATAACTGATATTTGTGATTTTTTTGAATAATACAATTAAAAAACATTTTTAAATAAACTTATATTTTTTGAATTAAAATATTAAATTTATCAAAATATTTAATGTCTAATTATTACTATAATAATAATATTAACAAATAATAACGCTAAATAAACTTATTAAGATATTTAATTAACAACAAAACATGATATTTATTATTATAAGATTAAATATAAATTATATTATGATTAATTAAATCAAATCAAATCAATTAAATATAATGAAAAATACTAAGTAATTAATTTAATATTTGAAGCTTTAAAAATTGTCATATTTATAATGATATTAAATTGAAAATAGAAATAATTAAATGAAATGATTTTGTACTGTTTTCATAAATAATAATAATAAAATCTAGCTCTACAACTTCAATATTTTAAAAACTTTCAGATGTTTGGCATCTATAAAAATATATAAAATTAAAGTAGCACTTAACTTCAAATAGAATAAATAAGTAGAAGAAATAATTTAAAGTACGAAAAAATGATAATAAAAAATTTAAAAATAAATAGTTTTGTTTTATTAGTATAAATATATTTAGTAGCGACTTAGGTTTAATAATTCAACGAAAACTGTGGAATAGGTTGTAATGATTGTAACTCAAATTTTAATTGCCTTTCATGTTTTGAAGACTTTTATTTGGATAATGGTATTTGCTATTATTCTAATTGCCCATAAGGATTATTTTATTAATAAGATTCAAATAAACCAGATCAAAAAATAGGAAAATGCGTAGCTATCTGCAATAATAACTATTATTAGAATGCCTCATAGAATATTTGCATCTAAGTTGAGCAATGTCCTCTTTCTTATTCGTCAGATTCTGCTTTTAATGAGGAAGGAGTTTTTAAAGATCTATTCTAGTATTAAAATAATTCAGTAATTATTTTGCTCAGTAATTCAATTGTATTAATATCAAGGTAAAATGGATAGTTTTTGCAAGAAATTTTAATTCCTAACAATTTAATATCTATTTAAATATTTTAGAATTTAGTTTTTGCAGTAAGATAAGACTTTGCCTTAGTTTTATGGGACTTAATTTAAAATTAAATATATTATCTTAACTAAATATAACTATCCTTAGGACAATAATAATAACCTATATTAATTTGCTTATCAAATTCTTATTTGATTGGCTATAATATTTAAATAGAAAAAAAATTAATTGAAATTTAACTGTTATTATCATTTTAAAACTTAATTCCCTAGAACAATAATGTTTATTAATATTAAATTGCTACTACTAACAATGGGTAAATATAAATATTAAACAACGCGATAATAATAGCAAGTTAAATAGGGATTAGAATAGATTTGATCAATATCAATTCAAGTGGTAACTTAGAAATTGAATATTATACGAATCGCAGTTTTTTATGTAACTAAAATTTTAATTCAAAAATTTCAAAAATTTTATCAAGTAATATAACTGAATAATAATAATACACTTTTATAGTTGAAAATAGTTATTATGTTTATACAATTAGCTAATTTGATTGTTTAGCTTTTAAACTTAATTAAATTCCTTAAAGTTTAAATTTAGTTCAATTTGCAAATGTTGAATATTTTGCTTTACAGTTCTAAAACTAAATTTAATTCACTGATAAAAAATTTAATATCTCATAAATTTTAAATTTTTCTAAATTTAACATTATTTAAGCTATGGTTATTAAATAATAGTTACCTACTTTGTTCATATTATTGAGCAATAATCAAATATAATATCTAGAATTGTAAATTATTAATAATTAATTAAATTTAGAAAATACAAAATTTATCTAAGTTCTTGTTAATAACCCTTCTATTTTATATTTTTTACCTGCAATAGAAGAAACTAATGCTCGGGAAAGATTATTTACTGTTGGACAAGCTATATAGTCTGATTTAATATAAGTAGAAAATAGCAATACGCCAAATTCTGAAAAAAAAAAATACATAATTTAAAATTACAACTTTTCTTATGATAGAATATAAAGTTAAATAAAGTATACTTTAGTGATTGATGAAGTCAATTTAACAATAACTTGCTCTAATGAGGGAGTTTTTGTTTGGGATATTTCACATATCTACAAGTTTCAGCACTTATTTTCAATAAAATCAGATGGCGATTAATGTTTGGAGATATATTATCTATAAAATTAAGATATTTTGATATCTTATGTAAATAAAATTTTGGTTTTGAACTTAAATAAATTTGAAATAAAATAAAACTGGAAAATAAATTTAACTTCTTAAAATTTTACCACCAAAATATCTGCAAGCTAATAATTATGTGTATTGGTTTTCAATTAGAGTTTATTTGTTTACAACTATTAAACCGATTAGATCAATTAAATAAATTTTAATCAATATTCAAATGAGATTAAATTTATATCTCTGCTACCTCAGTAAGGATTACTAATATAATAAGCAAATTTATTCTAGCTTTTTTACTTGGACTTAAAAACATATATCTCTAAATTTATTTCTTAATTTTAAACTAAAGCCAATATAATTATGACTAAAATTAGATAATATCCACAATAATAACTTGAAATTAATGTATATATATAAAATTAAAGTTTTATCATTTTAAATTAATAGCTGTAGAAAGTTTTAGAGGTAAATAACATTCCTCTATTAAGTCTAGTAGATTTTTCGTATACAGTAGATCCAAATGATGATTCTTATTTCTTTTTAGGAAAAACTAATAAAATAAATTCATCAAATAGCTTTATCGTGCTTTGCACATTTAAATCAGATCCATAAATATTTTAAGCAATTCAAATATAAGCAGGTACATAAATAATGAACATAAAAAAGGAAATAGATAGCTTCTAAAAATATTATTATATAGTTCATATTCTTTTTAATAAATCTACCTTTTGCTCTATGAGTTAATTTTAATACTATCCAAAGGGGACTATATTTTATTTTTACAATACCTTCTATTAATATAATCAAATACAATAAAATATTTAGTTTACAAATTCAGACTAAAATATGATATCTTCATTTTAGAGTGGATTTTTTGGAACTAATTAAAATATATAATATTTTTAGAAGCAGTTATATTCTTAAGCTTAATACTAAGATGTCTAAAATTTAATCATAGATGTACTCTAAAATTACAAACTAGGATTAGTATTTGTTATAAAAGAAAAAAGTTTTATTATTTTTGACTAATTAACTCATTATTTAATAGAAGAGGTCTTTTTTGGAAATTTAAATGACCCAATAATTAATTACTAAATAATTTAAGAAGAATACATATTTGTAGCATGCAAAAAAGATGTTATAATAACAAAATAATATAAGACAGGTAAAAATAATAATAATTAAGGAATAGATCTTATTAATGGATTTGTCGTATATAGCTTAGCTAATTAAACTTATTTTGCAATTTACGGAAAAAATATTAATTTTTATGATACCAATCTAAGGTTGGTTTCTAGTGTAAAAAACTTAAAAAAAGATTGCATTATTTAATAATGTAAATAAATTAGCTAGCTTTTATTTTGCTAAACACAATCTAATAAACCAATTTTTATAGTAGTTAATTTGCTAAGCTATGAAATATAATTATAGCTATAATCAAATAAAATACTCTCAAATTTTAACTTTTAAATTGATGAAAAAAATCAAAATATTTATATCTTTAAAAATTAGGTTTAAATATATTCTTTTTAAGGATAATTAGTTGGACAAATTTCTACTTTAAAGTAAGATGTATCTGAATTAATTCTTTACGGATAGCAAATAATACTTATTTAGTCTTCAATTTAATCATGTAAATATTATTACTTTATAAAATTAAAGAAGATGAAAAAAGATTAAATACAAATTAAAAATACATTGAACAATAATTTAACAAAATATAATATAATTTTTTTCATTATGAAGAATATCATTTTTTTTATTTCTAACCAATTTTTTTTAAAATTAAAATAAAAGATGTGACAATATATGACAGAAATTCTTTCTTATTTATACACGAATTCATAATTGAGACTTAGGGGTTTATAACTTGTAGTCTTTTAGTTGAACAATATGGTCATTTGCTAATATCTACTGATAATATTTTAATGGCCTAAATTTATGTTTATGATTTAAATTAAATGATTTTTTTGATAAATATTTTAAGTTCTTTTCCAAATAATAATCCTAATACAGTAAATAGCTTAATTTTTGACAAAGATTTTAATTAACTTATTTTTCTAGATAAAACTGGTAACATTTACTCTATAATCTATACAAATCTGTAGAGTGTTTCTTTCTTAGTTAAATTTTACTAATTTAATACTCCTTCACTTCCTCTTGCTAAAGGAATGAGTATAGATTTTATAACAAATAGCTGCTTTGTTTTTAGTGACAACTAAATATTTTATGTTAATTATTCTCAATTAACTAATTTTTTTATTTAGCAATAATTAGATAAGAATAATTTTTTTACAAAAGTAAAATATTAAAAATCAAACTAGCAATATTAAAACGTCTTTTATCTTATACTTGGTTAAAATAATTCTATTTATCTTTACAGCAACTACACAATCTTATACCTTGGATCACTTTTAAACAATTAATAGGCTTTAGATATTCAATACTTTGATTTTAGTCGCTATTTAATTATTGCCTTTTAAAATGAAATTAGAGTTTATGATTTTACTCAGGCACTTCTGAATTTAAACTATTAAATTGATGATTTTATGTTTAAGTAAGAGTTAAGATTTTCAATTAACAGGTTTTTATTATTTGATGTATTTTTAACTCTAGATAATAAATTAATTCACTACAATTACTATGCAATGGATATTTTATTTCAAATATAATTAGAATCTAGTTTATCAGAGTACTACTTAAATAATTCAGAGAGTTTTTTAATATTAGGTCTTCTAGACGGAAGCATAATTATTTATTTTATAAATACTCATTAATATAAAAGTTATTCTCTTAATTTAAGTTAAAGTAAAAATAATATAAAATTTATTCAAGAGACTGAGAGTTTGATATGGATTGGATCTCTTAATGGATATTTAATAGGTCTGAATAAAATAAGTTTTGAGTAAATTTATTATATAAATCTTAACTAAATAAGTAATATTACAGTGGTCTCTGAAGTTACAAGTATGAGTATCGATGAATTAAATACTAGAATATTCTTTAGCTATTTAAATGAAAATCTTGTTTACTGCAAAGATTATTCTACTTTGAAGTCTATGAATGGTATTTAATTTTTAAAATTTCCAGGTTCATAATACAACAGGGTGGAAATAACTCAAAACTTATTGATTCTTTACTCTACTTTTTAACTAAACATACATAATAGATAAAACCTAGAGTATATAACTACTATTAGAAGATAAAACCTTTATGACTCAATAAATAAGATATTTATTGTTTAAGAATAATTTTATTTATTATTTTTTAACAACAAATTGGAACTATTTTATCTTGACATTTAGTAACAATAATCTTATTTGCTGGATTAGGTTTAAATAGCAAATTTCAAAATAATTGATATAATTCTAAACTAAATTAACTAGGATTTAAGGGTTATATTAGCTACAAGTAATCAAATATTTGAGCAAAATTATTCACTCAACTATTACTTGAAAAAAATAAATTAAAATTAGCTTCAATGTAACTTAATTATAGGAGGAAAAACTTTTTTTGAAATGTAAAAATAAATATAAAGCATTTAGCCTTTCTCTTAGTAGCAGTCTACTTAACTTGGGATGGATTATACTAAAAATTTATCATTCAAAAAAATAATAAATATTTAAATTTCTTCTTCAGATTTCTCTCAAATAAATTTCAACCAGCTAAACGAAAATATTTTAAGCATTTCTCCATATAATTATGAATTATAATCTTTAATAATTACTTAAAGTTTGTTTGCTGATTATCCTCTTAGTTAAATTTAATTAACCAATTTTAGTTTTATCATTAAAGATAAAAATTTAACATTTAATTAAAATGTTTAAAAAATTTATTTATAAAACATCAAAATCTCTGATCAAAGTTTCTATGATGTTTAATTCGTATTTTAAAACATAGATTAGGTTATAATTTAAGATATTTTAATTTAAAATGTAAAGATGGAGTATCAAGAAAAATTTTCATTTTTTAATTTTATTAATTGCAGAATCGTTACTATAAATAATTTAACAGTTTAAAATATTGGCTTGATTTCTTAATAAAGATCTTACTTATTTTAGATGAGTTTTGTTGAGAACTTAAATTTAATTAATTTAAAAGTTTAGAAAAGTTAATTTAGCAGTTTTTTTCTTTTAGAAGATATTTAACTTGCCGATTTTGATACTTTTGAAATTACAAATTGTGGTAAAAGTTCATATAGCATCTAAAGTTATTTTATTCATAGTTCTATACTTTATAGCACAAAAATAAACAAAGTCACATTTAATAATAATAAAAACCTATAGTTTATTGACTACAAGAATACTTTAACTAATTTAAATACTTCTACAGAATTAAGTTATGATTAAATTTATATCTAAAATTGCCAATTTTAATTTAATTAAATAACTAATTAATATTAACCTTTAATTAACTTATAAGCAAATGAAATCATTATGAAGAATTTAACATATTTAAATAATTCAGTTAACATAAATATCATAAATGTATAAAATATTTAAATTAGTGATAGTTAGTTCAATAATAACACAGGAATCAATGGTGGAGCTTTATTTATTGAAAATAATTTTATTAAATTTAATGTTTCTAACTCTACATTTTAAGGGAATGTTGCTAAAGCAAGTGGTGGAGCTATCTATTTTAAAGAACAGCAAGGAATAATTAATATTGATAAATTTTGCAGCATTAAATAAAATCATGCTCAAATTGGTGGAGGTTTTAGAATTCAAAATTCTAATTTATATTAATATTCTACTCAATTACTTAGTTAAGTGAGATTACTAGACATACATAATAACACTGCTGATATATTTGGTTAAAATTACAATCTGGGTTTATCTAGCATTGATGTGATTTCAATTACTTCAGTAATCTAAGATAATTCACCTATCAAATATAAGTTCAAATAGAATTTAAATCAAGAAATGTATTCAGGGTAGCTAAATTTATTCAATTTAAAAAGTGGAGACAAACTTAATATAGTATTAGGTATTAAGGATGAAGAAAAAAATTTTTTAGCTTTCGAGACTAAAATATTTCAAAACAATCAATATCAAACTGAAATCTAAAACGAGCTTTCCTAAATTAGCTTTAGTCTGCAACAAATAGATCAATAGTAAATTTAACTTGAAGGTTAAATTGCTATACTCTCAGATTCTTTTGATTCTTAAACAAAATCTTTTGCTTTTACTTAAGTATCTATTATGGGTTAACCACTTGGCGTTGGATAATTAAAATTAAATTATTAAATAAATAAATTTGAATAAAAACCTATTATAGTGTCTGTTTAATTTAGAAATTGTATAATAGGAGAAGAATTTAAGCATTTAATATTTAGTATATATAGCTGCTAATATTGCTAAATTGGTTCCTACTCTCTAGTAAACTATGATAGTTATAATATAACTTACATTAATAGTTAAAACATATAATCAAGTTGTAAGTAATGTCCTAAAATTGCTGATTAATGTTAAGGGAGCACTATTTAGCTAAAGAATGGACATTGGAGAGTAAGTAAGCACTCAGATTAAATAATACAATGCGTAAATAATCCTATAAGCTGCCAGGAATCAGATATCAGCTCTATTAATGGGTGTATTAAGGGATATTTAGGCCCTTTATGTGAAGAATGTGATATTTTTGGAGTTTTTTGGCAAGAAAGGTATTCTAAAAAATAATTGTCTGAATCAGAATGTATTTAATGCGCTTCCTTGGCTATTTAAATTGTATACATAATCAGTATCATTATTTTTATTATATCATATGGGTTGATTAGCACTATACTTTTTATGAATAGCTTCATCTTCACTCAAACATGCTATTACTTAAGATACAGTTAGATGCTACCTATATCTAAAAGTTCAATCAAAGATTACTCTAGTTTTTACCTGAAAATTTTAGTTAATTATTTATAAATCATGCAATATATATTAAAACTTAAGATAAATGAGTTTTAATAGAATATTTATTAAATTTTTGATATTTTTTAAAGTCCTTAATTATAGTTTCAAAATTTATTAGACTGTCTGATTAATAGCAAAGTTAATGATAGAATAGACAGAATTAAAGTTAATCATATTATTTAAGCTTTAAATCCTATTATTTTTTCAATAATTTTAGCTCTGATCCTTTTAATATTGAATAAAATATAAGCTTTTTAAGTGAAAAAATACCATATTTACACAATGTTAAATGTAATGTTTATTTACTTCTTGCCTAATTCTATGGTTTATTTTGTTAACTCTTTTAAATGTAGATAAATAGGTGATAGATCACTCGTTTTATTAGATCTAAATATAGACTGCTCAAATTAATTTTATAACTAATTTAACAACCTATTTTCAAATGCAATTGTTATTATTTATTATCTAATACCATTTTTTATATTTTATTAGCTAAGGAAAGTTAGATTAAATCTAAATTATTGTAAGGTAAAGTATTAATATGGATATTACTATTCTGAATATAAGCCTTAATTTTATTTTTGGGATTTGTTAAGAATTAATTATAAAATTATTATTTTTAATCTAAGTACTTTTATTCCTAACGTGGATTTATAACAGTTAATTATAGTAGCTATTCTTGGATTATATACTAAACTTTTGTTAACATACAGACCAATATAATGTAGAAATTTGCTAAAAACAGAGATTTTAGTTAACTTATAAATTCTTATGAATATTTTACTTTATAGTATAAATAATTAATTTCAATCATAAGCTTTTTATCTTTTAATTTACTTCTTTTATTTTTCATGCTCAATGATATTAGTAGGATTAGTATTGAAATAAAAAATTTAATCAAGATTTAACATATTTGGCAAAACTTTAAGATTCTTATTGTAATATGTTTTATCTAAAAAACTTTATGACAAATTTACAAACAAGAATCATACATCCATGTAGACATACAAAAGATGGAAATTTTTAAAATCTTAAATACGTTTTATCATTATAGGAAAAGCTTCATTAATTATTAGCATGAAACGTAATTGCTTTAAATTTATCATCTAAAATTATTTATAAAATAAAAGTAATCTAATAAATTGTATTTTTTTATTAATAGGTAAAAATTCTAACTCAGCAGAGCAGGATACAAATAATTGCATAAATATTTATTCATAATCATTTGCTAGCAAGTAAATATCATAATATAAATAAAGTTAAAAAAATTTTAAAAAGAATGAAAATTATAAAAGCTTTTTAAATAAAATGGAAATAAGATAAGATAAATCAGAACATCTCCATAATTAAAAACATAAAATAAAAATACAATAATAACATAATTATACTTTATAAGATTCTAATATTTTTTAAAATGAATAGTAAGATATATTTCTTGATAAGTCAAATTAAAATAAAATTTTATAGGAAAATGTTAAAGCATAGATAAATAATAATTGATAGAAAACCTAAACCTATTTTGAAGATAATAACATCATATAAGATAAGTAGAAAAAATAATTCATTAATAATATCTTCAATCATATTTTAAATAAAAATATTAAATAAAAGCTATAATAAAATAATACACAATTTAAGATACTAATATTTTATAAAAATAAATTTTTAATTATTTTATTGATAAATCAAAATTATTTGTAATTTATTAAACCATAAAAAAATTAATTATTTTAAATAAAGTAGAAAAATTTTAATTAATAGAAAATTAATCCTTTTTTACTTTTATTTATATTTCAAGTAGTCAATAATATTATTATTATTTATATTTTACATTTAATAAGAGATTTCAATCTTAATTTAATTATAATTAGTTTTTTTTCTATTTTGTTTATTTTTAGATATTTGATTTAAAATGAATTTAATATAGCTAACAATTAAAAAATTTTTAAATTCATATTTAAACCTTTACAAAAATTATATTATTAATTATTTGGAAATATTTTTGAATGAAAATGGACTTTTGTTTATTACAAGAAATTTATGTTTTATAGAAAAGTCAAATTATGATAAAAATTAAATAGAAATTTAATTAATATTCGTTAACAGATATATAAAAAATATTAATATTATCGTTATGTAAAGATAGCTTGAATTTAATTTATTTGTGATCACTAAATAACTTAATGCGCTTAAATAATAAATTGCTTGGAAATGTATTTATATTCAAATTTTTGGTAATTGTTGCTTATTAATTATATTTATTGTTAATAAGTATTAATTAATATATTATTCAAGCATTTAATATTATATAATATATTTGACTGAATATTTTTACCAATACAATAATTTAATATATTAAAGGATATAAAAGTAAGTAGAAATAAACTGATTATGTAAGCAAAATTTTATAAAATTCAATTTTAACTATTGAAAAACTCTTATAAATTGAGAAAATATTCATAATGATATCAACAAATAAACTCATTTTTTATATACAGGAATATTATCAATCAGAAAAATTCTGATTTTTAAGATATCAAAAAGGAAGTAGAATCATTAGAAAGTATATCTACAATTTATGAAAAGCTAAATAGTAAAGGTTATATGAAATAATTAAGCGATTTTTTAGATCATTTAATATTAGAAGAGCTTAATTTCACTTATGCAGGTATTTTAGTTTTAGATTTATTTTATAAATCGATTGAAATCCTTTTTTTAAACTGAACAAAAATAGAACTTCAAAAAATAATGATGAATCTTGCGAATTAGAAAAATTTGAATTTTAATGAATAGTTTCAAATAAACTGCAATATCTTTAAAACATGCTTCTTTCAAATTATAAATATAATTGGTATATTTTGTTTTTCCATTTTTAAGATAAAAAAAATTGTTTTAAATTACAAAATATTCAAAGAATAGTAGAACTTCTATATTCAAAATTTTTTAATTAATAAAGTTTAAAAATCCTGGTAGAAATAGTATGGAGCTTTGCAATAAACTAGTGTATTAATTAATTTATTATCTATCTTTAAAGTTTGGTTTAAAAATAGTTTAAAAATATCATTATAGATACCAAGCATATAGTAAATTCATGATAAAATAGAAAATGCAAGTATAAATGAAAGCCAAAAAAATGAAAATAGAGGCGTGTTGAGCTTAGAGAATGAAAAACTTAACTAAATAAAAGAACAATAAATTATTTAGAATAATTAAAAATTAGATTAGTATTAAATTTATAAAGTATCTAACTTATCTTAGCTTTACAAAAGTGATCAGTTAGAATAAATTATGTCTGTTGGAGCTATCTCTTCAGAAGAAAGTGTTTATTAAATGAGTTAATAAAAAATTTAGATTGACCCTTCTAAGGAATCAGTATATTTTATTTATTTTTTCTTTATAACAGGATATTTAAATAAATAATTTTTAAGCATTTATATACTCCTAGTAATACAACAAACGCCACAGCCTATGAAAATACATCTGAGTAATTATTTAACTAACTAACTAACAACTAACTATCTATATATTTATCTATCTATCTACCTTATCTTTCAATTAATTATCAAAATTTTTTAATAAAAATTAATAGATGTAAAGATACCAGACGAAGAACTAAATCAAGCATTAATCCAAAAGAATATTTAAGATAGTTGGCGAAGTCAGATTAAAAGCTTTCACTATTGTTAAATATAAACGAGTATGATAAGACACACATGTTCAAAAAGTATTTAGTTTTTATTTTTTTTATGAACAGAAAAAGTTTCATCAAGAAAGAGTTGATTTTTTTCATATATTTTCTTACTTAAAAGTGTATATTAAAATTGAACTTGTTTTTTAACTTCAAAAATTAAAAGCTCTATTTTTATACATGAAAGTGAAATATTTTAACAATAAAATTTAAACAAATACAATTTAATCTAAAAAAAAGAATTGATATTTAACAATTTTTATATACAGTCTTTAAATATTCTATAAAATAAAATTATTTTAATTAAAAATATAAATTTTGAAGAATATTAGAAAAGCATAAACAAAGTTTAATATATAGTCCTAAATAGCAATAAACTGTTAGAAATAGTGTAATGAGGTCTTCATTTTTTAGTCCAAGCCATTCATGCAATAAAAAAGAAGATCTGTTCATTATAAATTTAGTAATTCATTTGAATAATAAGTATTTAAGTAAATTATATTTAATTACATAGAGTGAATTTGCTTAAAACAATACAAAACTAAAGTAGTCTTTTAGTATTAGTGAAAGGAGGAGTAATGTAAATTAAATTAAATAAACTCCATCTCCATGTGATTATGATGTAAAAAAATCTGAAAAGTTTGTAAGACCTAATTCTCCTACTTAAGCATTTTCAAAATCACCTAGGCAATCTTGGATAGACCTTTAGACAAAAAAAGAAGGAGTTTATTAAATTTATACTCAAAAAAAAAATGACACAAAAAGATCTAACCTATCTGTTAAAAAAATTACTTCAAATTCTGGAGTAAAATGATCTACAAATATTTTATCATGATAATTATTTTCATTTGATTATGTATCAAATTTATTTTATATTTGATTATTATAAATTAAATTACAAAACTAAATTTTATAAATTTAAATGCTATAAATTTTTTTTGAATATTTAAATTAATAGACATATATAAATTAGTAATTAAATACATAAAAACATTTTTAAAAATAAATTATTATGTAAGCTATTTAATCTGAATTATTCTGACTTGAATATTAAAAAAGGTTAATAATTAATAAATATTTGAATTGTGATAAATAAATTATTATTTTTTGAGTTTGAAAATCAACCAATAATATACATTCAATAATTTTATTTTGAAAAAAAATGAATGATTAAAATAAAATGATAGACTTATAAATTTGGTAATAATAGCATAAAGCGATGGTTATTTTTCAAATGGGCAGTATTTGTTATCTAATTTCTTAAAAATAATCAAAAATATTATTTAATGGATTAACATGAAGAGATAAATAATCAATCAATCAATTAATTGAATGATTGATAAAGAATTTAAGAAAATAAATGATTAAAAAAGTTTTTAAGTATTTATTGTTTTGTATTTTGATTATCTTTTTTTTAAAGATCACCATTATTTAATAATTATAATTTATTGTATTTACCAAAAAAGAGAGGTTTTGATTGAGTAACACATATTAATAAAAACAAAACTATTTCTTTATTAATAAATAAATTTCAAAGTTAACTTAGATATATTAGATAAAAGGAATCCAAAGAATAATACAAATTTTCAGAAAGTCAGTCAATCAATCAGCAATTAAAATAAAAAGCATAGTAGGCAACCTATCAAATAGTTATTAGGCCTAGAATTAAGTAGCAAATCAAAATCAAAAGTGTGAATTGATAAAAATTTATATAATTGAACATATTTTTTATCTGTTAGAAAGTCTAATTTTTTCTGTTGATATTAAATAAAAGGATTGTAAATTTTAAGATATAAAAAATCTGAAACAATTGCAATAGTAAAATGACAACAAGAATCAAAGTAGGAATACGTGTAAGACCTTTTCTTGATTCAGAAAAAGAAAAAGGATATGCCAATTCAAGGGTATAAATAGATGAATAAACAAAAGAAATTATGATAGCTGAAGATGGTAGGAGAGAAAGAAAGACTTTCAAATTCGATTATGTTTTTACACCAAACAATAATTAGCTTTAGGTATATGAATAAGCAAATATAGACTATCTCTTGAATAAGGTTGTAGAAGGCTATCACTGTACCATTTTTGCATATGGCCAAACAGGTTCAGGAAAAACTCACACTATGGAAGGATATGAATACGAATTAGCTCCTCCTAAAGAAAGTAATAAAGAAGGAGGAAATAGTGCACCAAAGCCAAGGCCAAAGCAGCATTAAAATCCTGAGCGATTTGGTATTATTCCAAGAGCAGTAAGTGCTTTATTCGATAAGCTTAAGGCAAAAGAAGGCGGAGAATTTAATGTCACATGCTCTTTTTTATAAATATATAATGAAAAAATATATGACTTATTAAACCCTAATTCAATTAAGTAGAATAGTGCAGATGGTACTCCCGTTTTAAGCTAAGGACTGCGCTTGCGTTGGAATTAGAGAGATTAGTTTTAAGTAGAAAATTTATTTGTCTTTGACTGTAAAAGCGCTGAAGAAGTCATGAATTTTTTCCATTATGGTATAAGAAACCGTGTTACTGCTTCTCATAAATTAAATATGGCTTCAAGTCGTTCACATACAATATTAACTTTAAAAGTAGAATCAATTGATTTAAGTACATAATCGAGTTCTTTTAGTAAGCTAGAATTAGTAGACTTAGCAGGTAGTGAAAGAATAGGTTAAACTGGAACGGAAGGGAAGTTAGCAAAAGAAAGTATTGATATCAACAAGAGTTTATTCATTTTAAGATAGGTAATTACTACTTTGAGTGACATTCACCGCGTATCAAATAAATAAAAAGATTAATATCAGCATATACCCTATAGAGAGAGTAAATTGACTTCTCTTCTTAAGCAATCAATTGGTGGTAATAGCTATTGTCTTATGCTTGCATGTATAAATCCAAATGATTCCTTCATAGATGAAAATATTTCCACTCTGAACTACGCATCAAAAGCTACATATATTAAAAACGAACCTATTAGAAATGATGATCCTAAAAATAAAGTGATCAAAGATCTTAAACAAGAAAATAACAGACTTAGATTTGAACTTGATAAAGCAAATTAGCATATTCAATTCGTTACCAATCTTAATAATAGTGGAAGTGGTTTTTCTTCTAACCACCCTCCTAATTGTTGTTTGCCAACTTGTTAATATGGAGGAGGTGCTTAACCATCAAGTGAGTTAACTCCTTCTTAGAAGGCAAGAATGAGCATAGCAATGGCAAATTAAGAGTGAATCGAGGGTTAAGGCTCTGACACATCCTCAACCAACCAAAACAACAATAATCTTAATGGCAATAACAATAATGGAAATAATCCTGCTAGTTTAAACAACATTAGTAAATTAGATAGTTCTCAATCCACAGTAAGAGAGTCTTCTACAAATTTTTCTAATTTAAACTAAGCAATTGCCTAAAATGGAGGTGGATAGAACCAAAATGCTATTGCTTAGTTATAGCATCATTCGTTTATACAATAGTAGCAGCTCCTATAAAGGATTAACACTCTCTAGCTTTAAAACTAATAATTGTAAAATTAAAATTTAATTAGAATTTAAGGTAATGGAGACTATGATCACTTTAGTGATAGACTAATAGAAAGTATTGCAATGGTGAGAGATCTCCTAGTAAATAATAAAGAGCTAAGAGAAACAACTGACCAAGCAATAAAGAAAAGTGAGATATGTGAGAAAGAACTCTTCCATCTGTAGCGTGAAAATCAAGATCTCCGTGATCGTATATAACATCTTAAAAATGGTGGATAATTAGAAGATTTTAATTCAACCTTTTCATATGGAGGAGGTTTAAATGATGATGAAAATGCTAACCCATTTGTGAACTAACCTCTTTCCCCATCTATTAATTGGAAAAATATGTCAAAAAAAGATCTTATACAAGAAATCCTTGCTCTCAGAAGAGATAAAAAGATACTTGAAAGGAGAATTTTAGGAAATGAAATAGATCGCTCTACAATAGCAAGTAACTCCCAATCTAACTCCATTACAAATCCACCATAAAATTTGATTCGTATATAAAATAAAAGAATATCTAATAACAATTCTCCTGTAAAATAACATTATAGTTCTGTAGGTAGCTCCCAATAAGCACCTCTTAGTCTTAGCAGAAAAGTAAGCTAAAATAACAATAATAGCAGTGCTAATAATAATAACGGTGGCAATAATGGAGCTCAAAATAATAGCAGTAACAATCCAAATGGAACTCCGTTTTAAGGAGATTCATTACCAACCAATTTCGGAAGATATACATTTTATTAAAACATTTCGAATAATAACAGTAATTTTAACAATAATAACTCAAATAATAACAGCATTAATTTCTTTTCAGATGATAATTAAACAGCTCATAGATAAAATCCTAATCATAGCTTTTCAGCTAATATTTCCCCATAAAATTTAATGTAATCATTTAGGCACACAAATTTATTGCCAAGACCTTTAATGTCTAATGTATCACCAAACAAGAGATAAAACCCTTAATTCTAGTCAAGTTAAATAGATGATTTCAGCAATCAAAGATAGAATTATAATATCAATACAAATCACTTAACAAATCGCTCAAATAGTATAAAATAAAATTAACAATTTGTCCCAATAGTTAACCAATAATAACACCACTCTTACTCTCAATCTAGATCTTACAACCCTAATAATGCATCATTTTAGCATTGAGAATAATAAATAATTTGGCTTGATTAGATAAATAAATTGCTATTTAGATTCAGCAAATCATAAGAAAAAACTAAATTTATTTTGCAAAAATTAAAATTTCATTATTACTTAAAAAATATTTTAGAGATGAAAATTTAAAAAAATATTAGTTTAATTAGTTCGCTGTTTTTTATATAGATTCAATTTAATGAAAAATTTTGTTAGATTCAAACAATAAATATTATCATTAATACCATGTATATTATTGTCATTATACTATTAATTTCTTAATTAATTAATTTTACTTTATTTAAAATGTTATTATATATCTAAATCATTTTATTATCAATACTTATTTTCTGTATTTCTGTTAAAAAAACATCAAATTTTTAAAAAAATTTTAATATTAAAAGATTCATTGATTAATGTTAATTTAGAATTCTTAAAAAATAAAATTAAAACCTTAGAATTATTAAATTTAAAAATAAACTTCTCATAATTATAGTGTTTTTTAATTCTAATTTTATTCAAATTTAAATATTTTTGTTAATAAGTTTGGTGTAGATAAAGATACTTTAAATTTTTGAAAAATATTTTTATATAATTTATTAATTTATTCAAACAACTGAAATATCACAGACGACTAGCCTTTTAGGCTTTATAAAAATTAAATTTATTATATTTTATAACTTTTTATTATATTCTAAATTATAATTATGCAATTCAATATACAGCTCAAGTGATCTTAACTTGTCCATTAATTTAAACTAATTTACTATTTATCTGAGAAAAAATGGTTCAATCTTAAAACTAAATTTTATATCTAAAAATAGACATTAAAGCAGTTTGAGGTTTTCTAAAGAATTCCATAACTAAACTAGCTCATATTACACTAATCTATTTTAACCTAGATTTAGCACTAAATGAAGAAGTTTTTTTAAAAAACATAAATTAGAAAATAAGTGCTAAAATACATTTTGTTTTCCAGTCTTACATTCTTCAAAAATCAAATTTAGTTTTTATAGATTGTCTAAATATTTAAACGATTCACTAAAGCTAAGTAATATATTAGGGCTGATTTAAGCTTTATAAAAAATGATTTCCATTATTTACAACTTTGAAAATTTTTAAAAAGATAATGATAGTTATTCTAATGCATTTTGTTTAAAATAAATGTCATATAAATGAATATTAAATTATTGCAATTATTCTAAACACTCAAAGCTCTTAAAGAACTATTAGAAATATTATTTTTATTTATTTGAATCCAATGAACTATTTTAATTTTCCTTATTATTTGAATGATCGAAAATTTCTAAATCTAATCTTAAAATTTATATTTTTACCATTTTATTTAATGAATCGGCTAATAATTCAATAGTTTTGTTATAAACTTGTTAATTTCCATGAATAAAAAAGCCAAATTTCGTTATATTTTCTAAGCTTTTAAATGAATTGGCTAAATGACTTGCTCCTATATCAGAAATATTATTTTTAGGGCCTATTTTTATTCTTACTTTTTTCAAAATTTTCAAGTTAAATATTCCTTTTGCCAACCCTTCACATCCATAATCTCCTATTTTTGCTTTATTGAATCTTAAATAAAGCTTGCTTAGTTTATTAAGAGGTTGTAAACAAATACCAAAATAATAAACAGTATCAGGAGAAATTTCATTTTCATCCAAATTTATATTAAGACTTTCTAAATTCTTTAGTTTAGAAATACCACTTGAAAGACTGTATAGAGCTGAGTTATTTAAATTATTCTATGGGAAACTTAAGTACAATTTTTGAAGCGATTCTAGATATTGAATTTCTTCTCCAAGCTGCATAGAGTGAGTCCAATTAGATGTCCTTCTTAAGAAAAATCTGAGTGATTTTAAATGCTGTATATTTTTAAAACATCCTAAAATATCAGAGTAAATCTCATTATTAAAATGTTTAATATTTAAAAGATAGAGATTAAAAGATTCTAGCTTATGTAATTATTTTAAACCTTCTAATACTCCTATTATGAAATTGCTTGTAATTTAGTCTCCTGCAGCTATCTACAGATGGTTCAAATTTTCCAAACTTTGAATTGATTTTCCAAATTTTATTTCATCTTATTCTTCTATATCGCTGAAGCCTTCAGCGTGAATCTAATAATTAGTAATCTACTTTAAACTCAATAGTTCTATTGAGGCTATATTAGCATATTTACTATGTAAAAATTTTTGAAAGAATATTTTTAAATGAGTGTTTTATAAATGTTAGCTTTTATTTAAAGATTTCTTAAAATCATTTTCATGTAAAGATTCAGTAACATAAATAATTTGCTTCATTATATCTACTTACTTACTTACTGATACTTTAATATTTTATAATTTTTTAAGATTCGCAAATTAAAAAAATACAAACCAAATTTTTAAAAAACTAATCACAAAAGTAAATATTTAAAAAATATATATTAATTATTATAAATAAACTCTTCTTAAAAATATTTAAATTTAAAACAATATTTTAAAGTTAATAAAAATGTTAAAGTTTATTTTATTTTGATGAGCTATTTCTAAATATAATTAGTTTTTATTAAAAAAAGAAAAATTATTTAAATCTTTGTATTTTTTCAAATTTAATATGCATATAATCATATATGCAAACACACATAAATGATCTAAAAAATCCTCTGTTATAAGTTATTCAAATAGAGATAGATAAAAAATTGCACTTATTTACATTACCGTTTTTATATATTGAATAAAATTAGATTTAGAAAAATAATAGCTAAAATAAAATTCTTCTTATTAGTAGTCACATTTTAGAGGTAAACTGATATTAAATCACTTATATAAGAATAGAAATTAACTCTCTTAAGAATGGGCAAAAAGACAATAGGATTAATAATTTAGGCTTTTTTTTACTACTTATATAGTCTTTTAAATGTATATTTAATTGTCATAATGTTTAAGGCAAAATACTATCCCTATTTTATTGTATTTTGCGTTTTATTTGGGATTGATAAGTTTATTACATTAGTTGTAATCAACCGACGCCATCTACTTTTCTTACTTTTTGATACATTTTAATTAGGATTTCTATATTTGATCTTTTTTAAAGATCTTCCTTTCAGTGTTTAGTATGCTAGAATATTATGCCTTTATGTGAGAATATTCCCTCTTCTTTTGTCATAACTAATAATTTTTTTTGGTTGTGGGTATTTAGTTAAGGTGGATGTACATGAATATAATTAAATAATTGCTTATCTAATATTTCTCTTAAGCCTATTTTTTGTTGTGATCTTAACTACTTAAAACAATAGAATTCTAATTAATAGAAAAAATTGGAAGTAAATATTGCCTTAATTATTGAATTATATTTTAAGTATTACGTCTTACTATATATCAATTTCTAGCCTCATTTAGTTTAATGATAAGCAGGGAAATAATATAGGCTGCTGCTATTTAACCGTATTAATTGTAAATTTACTATTTTTCCTCTTTTATTCTCCACCTTTCGAATTGGTTATTAATGCAATTTACTATGTAATTGACTAATTTGTTGTATGCACTTTTTACAACATTTATGGCCATGAAGAAATAAAGTCACAAGTATCATAGGCTCCTCTTCATAAATCGTCTATGATTATACAATATTTTAATGCATTTATTAGGTTGATATTACTTCTTTCGTTTGGGATACCTATTGAAAATAATTATTCAAATAAAAATCATAACAAGCGAGTGGGAGATAAGATAAAATTTGTAAATTTTATAATAGCTACCGCTTTATCAATTCTTTATTTAATTTATTTTTTGCCCCAATTATATTGCTTCATTTTCAAAGTGAAGATATTTATACTTAAAAGGATCAAAGATATTCAATCACTAGTAAAAATGCTTTAAAAAAGAAATTAGCAAATCATAGTTCTTTACATAGACATTACTAGACAAAAAGGATAGTTTAAAATCAAATGTTTACAAGAAAGGTTGTTAGAACCAGATTTTTGCTCTGAATAATGCAGATATATTTTTGATTTACAAATCGAATTGGCGTATTGGCTGAATACATCAACTATAGTGAAAACAAACATATCTGAATATTTTTGTAGTTGCCTTTGTGAGAAAGTTATAAGCACAATTTAAACAGTTCATTTTAGTATTACAAATTGCATAGTTTCTTGCATAAGATAAAGGAAAATAAATCCTGATTTAGTTCTATATTATAGATATTTTAATGGTTTCTTATACGATTAATTAACTATAACGATAGAAAAGCTATTTAAGGAAGAATTAAAATAGAACACACTATTCATTAAATCAAGAATCTTATCAATTTTAGTTTTTGAAAAGAATTTAAAGCACTTTATGCCATTTTTACCTACAAAGGTTTTATATGATTTAAACGAGTGAAATAAATATCAACAGTTTTAACCAATTAAACGACTCACAATTTATATTTATCAACACTCAATAAAAAATAAACAGACTTATTAATTATAGAATTGTAAGTAAAATAAATTAATTATATAGAGTAGAATCAATTAGACAAATTTTAGTTATAATTTTATCAATAGTAAGACTTTATGTGACGTATTTGTTGAATGTTTTTGTAATATTAAACAAACTCCTTTTTCATATTTTTTGTTTTTGAAATCATTTTGAATTTATTCACAAATATTGGACATTTTCCTTTATATTGTAATATCTCAAGCAAATAAATATTTAAATTTTCTCCACTACTTTACGGGTAAAAGTAAATAAAATTTTGAAAATATTATCAATAGATTTTATTGATAGATTTAAACAGGTTTCAGATTATTAAAAGCAATTCATATAATTATGATTGATTGTAATATACCAACTTATAAATCTGTAGACTTTTAGAATCAAAAATATCCTTAAAAAAAACACCATATAGTGTTATAATTTGCAATATCTCCCAAATTTAAATGAGTAGTTCAAACACCAAAAACGAAACAGATAATGATTTTAACAATACTCTAACCTATCTTACATTTAGAAAAAACTCTAAATCAAATTATGTAAGAAAAAGATAACTCTTTAAATCAAAAATATTTGAAATAACTTAAATTTTTAGTAGCATTTTGCTTTGAATATTTAAGCGAATAATGGTAAAAGCTTTTCTCAATCATTAAATGAAAATAGAATAATTTTATTTTTAACAGTAAATAGCTTGTAATGAAGCTGTGTAATTTAAATATATAATTATGTATAACGCTTGTTAAGAATGGAGTAGAAAGCTTTACTCAATGTGATTTCGACTATGAATCAAAAACTAACAAAATTGATAAATCAACTAAAATTTAAAAATAAAGTAAATGATGTTTTCTTTCTAGTTTTTAGTTTTGTAGTAAATTTTTTTACAGTGTATGGGAGAAGCCCTTTCAAAAAAAATAACAAAATCTGATAAAAGTAATAAAGAGAGGTAGGAATACTTAAAAGCAATAAGATTAAATCCAGTTTTTTTGTAATTGTTTGATAACTTGTTATTCTCTTTAAAGTTAACTAATCAAATTAAGGTAAAAAAATAAAAAAAACAATCTAACAAACTAATATAAAATAGCTCAAAAGAATCAACAAAAAGAGAAACATGAAATAAACAGACAAAAAAATATTAATTTGGCTTTCTTTCATATTTTATATGATAAATATAGCCAACATTCTTTTAAGTATAGCTCTTTTTTTGAATGGCGAAATGGCTTATTTTATTGTCTTTTGGAGTTTGTTCAGTATTGATAAAATAGTCACATTTATCTTTGGTGTAATAGGAAAAGGAATGTATGGATTTGTATTTTGGATAAGCGATATACTTCAATTAGGATTTATTTTTATCATGTATTCTAAAAAAGTTCCCTTCACTCTTGAAGGAGCTCTTTTGACAAAGCTATTTGGTAGAATATTTCCTTTAATTATTTCAGAGTTGATCATATTTTTTGGATGCGGATTTTTATTAAGACCTGAAGTCACTTTGTACGTTTAAATACTAGCTTATGTCAATTATGTTCTCTTTTTAGTGCTTGCTATCCTCATTTTGACTCTTATTTCTACTTCCTTCCCTAAAAAACTTAATTGCTTCTTTGAATATTTGATAACTATAAGTTCATACTATCTCACTTTAGCTTCTCTTCTCTAATTTTAAGATCTATTTGGAGTCAACTTAGGATTTTATTACTTATCTTTTTTCCTTATTAATATTGCTATCTTTTGGATAGTGACACCTCCTTAAGAATTGAAAGGTTTAATGTTCGAAAATATATTCTCCCAATTTTTAGGTAATACACTCCTTAATTCTTACTTTAATCATACTAAAGTTGTTGCTAATAGAAATACTGCTCTCATCTAATGCACGACTGTAGTAAGTTATCTCAATTAATTAGTCAGAATCTCTCTTCTCCTCATTTTCAGCTTTGATTTCTATGTTGATACATTAACAAAACCTAATTAGTCAAGTAGAAATATAATTTGTTTGACTAATATCTTCCTATCCGCTATTATGAGTGCTATATATCTGATTTACTACTTTAAGCCTGTTCTCAAACAAATATTTTGCGTAAAAATCTTATTAATTAGAAATGTAGTTGATATGCAGAGGGCTATAAAATATCTCCAACAAAAAAATAAACACCTAGAAGTCCTATACATTCAGATTTATTCCCATGTAAATGGATAAATTTAATACTTCCCTCACCATAAAGTAGTAGAAATAGATCACTTTTGTTCAGAAACCTGCTTTTTCTCATTTAAGCTCCTGCAAGAAATAGGAAACTAACAGAATAAAAAAATTGAAGTTTATGATGATGGTTCAATTAAAATTTTTTGTAAGTGCTTCATGATGAGACTTCTCTCTGAGCAATCTAATATAATTCCATCTATTTAGAGTGAAATATCATATAGAATTTAAAATAGCACATATATTTTCAGCAAAATTATGCTCGAAAGATATACCAATGGTTTTGTTCAAGCTTTATATACATAAAAGATTCTAAAATAAAACATTGATTTATTTAATGTATCTCCTATTAAGCATTTAAGATCTAATATATTCTCCATAAACGCTTACTACAAGCATATAAAAGACTAAATGATTTTCCAACCAAAAATCATATTATACGACTTATATGAATGAAAAGATCAATAAACAAATTAACATAAGAATTAATTTTGAAAATTCTTATTTATTCTTACTTCTTATTAACAATAATTAATTTATCAATTATTATCTATAATTAAATCCTTATAATAACTATTTAAATTTATCATAACTAACTATAAGTATATGATTTATTCCAAACTACTTTATTACATTTGTGTATTTTATAATTTAATTATTCATATTTATTTCAATTTATCAAAATAAACAACCTTAAATATTAAATATTTTAATAAAAACTTTGAAAATATTTTTTCTTCTTTCTTTTTATTAAAAAAAGTTACTTAGCCTTCACTTATTTGATATTTTAAACATTATTTAACAAAAAAAGTTAAAAATTGAATTAAGCTATTTAAAAAAAAATAAATCTAAGTTATATGACCGATTAATTTGTTTATTCTAATTTATTTCTAAAAAAAATATATAAGACATTTCAAAAATAAAAAAAATTGATTTTGTGTTTATTTATTAAAGTTGATGGTTAAAAAGATTCATAAATAAATTATTTATTTTAATCTCTACAAACTAATTTTGCTGACCCTGAATCTTCAAATGAAAAGACAGTTTGATAATTTTATTATCAAATCGATGAAAAGAGTAATAGTAAAAATAAAATTCTTAAATGTATTTATTTCTTTGTAAATAATAATAACATTTTAAACCAAAAAATTTATATTTATCATACACATTTTATTTAAGCAGTTAATTTAAAAGAATTTATGAATAAATGTGTAATAATATAAATCAAAGTATTCAATAAAAAGTGTTAAAAATTTCAATTTTTATAAAGTTGTTCATTACTTAAAATGTAAAAATAATTAAGATAATTTTATGATGAAGTAAAATGTCTAATTAACAAATACTCAAATAAAATATATTTGTACAATTAATTAAAATAGATTTATATTTTATGAGCAATTATAAATTTTTTTTATATGCTTTCTGATTTATTCAACCACCTCTCAATCTTAAAACCAAGTGAAGAGTTGATTCTTTTTAGATATTGTAATCAGAAAGGGTTCTACCATCTTCAAGTTACTTTCCAGCAAAAATAAGTCTTTGTTGATCAGGTGGAATTCCTTCCTTATCTTGGATTTTAGCTTTAACATTTTCAATAGTATCAGAAGCTTCAACATCTAAAGTGATAGTCTTGCCAGTCAAAGTCTTAACAAAAATTTACATACCACCTCTAAGTCTCAATACTAAATGAAGAGTTGATTCCTTTTAAATGTTATAATCAGAGAGAGTTCTACCATCTTCTAATTGCTTGCCAGCAAAAATAAGTCTTTATTGATCAGGTGGAATTCCTTCCTTGTCTTGAATCTTTGCCTTCACATTTTCAATAGTATCAGAAGCTTCAACATCTAAAGTGATAGTCTTACCAGTCAAAGTCTTAACGAAAATTTGCATACCACCTCTTAATCTCAAAACTAAATGAAGAGTTGATTCCTTTTAAATGTTATAGTCAGATAAAGTTCTACCATCTTCTAATTACTTGCCAGCAAAAATAAGTCTTTATTGATCAGGTGGAATACCTTCCTTATCTTGGATCTTAGCCTTAACGTTTTCAATAGTATCAGAAGCTTCAACATCTAAAGTGATAGTCTTACCAGTCAAAGTCTTAACGAAAATTTGCATACCACCTCTTAATCTCAAAACTAAGTGTAGAGTTGATTCTTTCTAGATGTTGTAATCAGAAAGGGTTCTACCATCTTCGAGTTATTTACCAGCGAAAATAAGTCTTTATTGATCAGGTGGGATTCCTTCCTTATCTTGAATCTTAGCCTTAACATTTTCAATAGTGTCTGAGGCCTCTACGTCTAGAGTGATAGTTTTTCCAGTTAAAGTCTTAACGAAAATTTACATAATTAGGTTTCTTTATTAATATTAATTTGTTTGATTTCTTTTCTCTCGAATTTTTAGTTTTTTTAATTTTTTTGAGTTATAATGAATTACAAAAAACTAAATTAAATAATTTTTAAAGAAGAGAAGAATATATGTTGATAGAATCTGATTGCAACAAAAGAGACGTAATAAAAGCTTTCTACTACATATATTATTTATAGATGTTACGAATTTTTCTGATATAATAAGCAAATAAGAAATAGAAGATTTATAAAAATAACTGATAGTTATATTTTATTTAATTGTCTAGTTTTTTATTTTGTTTGTTTAGTTATTAACAAATTTAGCGAATAAACGATATGAAGTGTCTTTAATCTCCAAATATAAAAATGTGCAGAATTAAATTGACTAAATTAAACTAAAATATTTTATTAATATTTTTAAATAAAATTATTTAATATTTAATTGTTTTTGAATTATTATATTTAAAAACGCTCTAAACTTTAATAAAAAGATTATTTTTGAGAAAATAAATGTTATTTTTAAAAAATATTTATTTATTGAACAAATAAATTTAGAATAATGAAACCTAGCTTTTAAATTAATCAAATATATCATATTTCCTCTAATTTTGAAATTTCTAAAAATTTAAGAGGTACCTAGTAAAATTTTTTAGTTATAAAAAGTTTTTGAAATTTAGGAGGTAGGAGTAAATAATTAAATTATTTTAGATGCAATTTCTTAAATGAAAAATTATATTTTGCAATATATTTTTTAAATAACTTTAAGAATTAACATTATAAATCTAAGTTTTTAAAAGTATAGTTTCTAAATATGAAATATCATTTTTCAATTATTTAATAAAATATTTACAAAATATTTCAGATTAAAAAAAATAATTTTATACAAAATATATGCTTTTTACTTATAATCAATTCACAAACACATATTTGTAAACAATTATCCATATTTATTTCATATACTTATATAACCACCTCTTAGTCTTAAAACTAAGTGAAGAGTTTACTCTTTTTAGATATTGTAATCAGAAAGGGTCCTAGTATCTTCGAGGCATTTACCTGAAAAAATCAGTCTTTATTAATCAGGAGGAATTCCTTCTTTGTCTTGAATCTTAGATTTAACATTTTCAATAGTATCAGAAGCTTCAAGATCTAACGTAATTGTCTTACCAGTCAAGGTCTTAACAAAAATTTACATGCCACCTCTCAATCTTAAGACTAAATGAAGAGTAGATTCCTTTGAAATATTGTAATCAGAAATAGTTTTACTATCATCAAGTTGTTTACCAGCAAATATCAGTCTTTATTGATCAGGAGGGATTCCTTCCTTGTCTTGGATCTTGGCTTTAACATTTTCAATAGTATCACAAGATTCAAGATCTAAAGTAACCGTTTTACCAGTCAAAGTCTTAACGAATATTTGCATACCGCCTCTTAATCTCAAAACTAAATGGAGAGTTGATTCTTTTTGTATATTATAGTCTGATAAAATTTTTCCGTCATCAAGTTGCTTGCCAGCAAAAATTAGTCTTTATTGATCAGGTGGAATACCTTCTTTGTCTTGAATCTTAGATTTAACATTTTCAATAGTATCAGAAACTTCAAGATCTAACGTAATTGTCTTACCAGTCAAGGTCTTAACAAAAATTTACATGCCACCTCTCAATCTTAAGACTAAATGAAGAGTAGATTCCTTTGAAATATTGTAATCAGAAATAGTTTTACTATCATCAAGTTGTTTACCAGCAAATATCAGTCTTTATTGATCAGGAGGAATTCCTTCCTTGTCTTGTATCTTAGCCTTAACATTTTCAATAGTATCACAAGGTTCAAGATCTAAAGTAACAGTTTTACCAGTCAAAGTCTTAACGAATATTTGCATACCGCCTCTTAATCTCAAAACTAAATGGAGAGTTGATTCTTTTTGTATATTATAGTCTGATAAAGTTTTTCCGTCATCAAGTTGCTTGCCAGCAAAAATTAGTCTTTATTAATCAGGGGGAATACCTTCCTTATCTTGAATCTTAGCCTTAATACCTTCGATAGTATCTGATACCTCCAAGCCAAGAGTAATAGTTTTTCGAGTTAAAGTCTTAACAAAAATTTACATTTATTTTTTAAAGAAAATTATTCTTCTACTGTTTAATTAGCTGTTTATTTGTTTTATTTTATTTTATTTTATTTTGGTTTTTTTAGTTAATTAATATTAATATTCTTTAAAAATTAATCAAAATTTAAAAGAAGACAAGAATATATATTGATATAATCTGATTGTAGATAACAAAGATTAATAAAATCTATCTACTTCAAATGTTATTTTTTACTAATAAATAAGTATTGAAAAACAAAATATAATCAGAAAATAAAAGGTTTAACAAAAATAGAATAACCAAAATCAATGTTAAATTGTCTTCTAACTTTTAAGTTCTCACATAATAAGGGATTCAATTTTTAAAAAAAAATAATCTAAATAATTTTTTTACTTAAATAATCCTAGAAATTTTAACAAAACATTTTTAATTTAATAAAAATTACAAATAAATTCTTTAAAAGCATTTCTTAAAAATAAAAAATACATTTATACAATAATACTTAAAGTTTTAACATAAATGCCTTGTAAAAAGTTTAAATAATATATTAGATATGCAAAGATATTTTAAATTCATTATTTTTTAAGTTTTCGAAAAAACAGATTTATTTTCAGTAAAAAAATATATAATAGAGATTGTTTATGATTATGGAAATAAATAGATGACTTATCAAATTTGATTTTTTTAAATAAAAAACGCCTTCTATTGATTTTTACACTTTCAATAAAATTGGGTTGAAAATAATTTAATAAAGTTTAAATCATAACTAATCAGATTTAAATACATTTTGTTCTTTTTGAAATAAAAAAAGACTAATGCTGAATTTTTTCAAAGTACCTTAAAATTGTAAGCACTTTTAGGCAAATTATGAATAAATAATAATTTTTTTATGAATAATATAAAACAAAAGATACTATAAATTAATTAATTTTAATAACTTTAATCTTTTAATTTACTAATGTAAATGCATATATTTTTATACTTATAAATTTATAATATTTATTTAATATATTAAATCAACCACCTCTTAATCTTAAAACTAAGTGAAGAGTTGATTCCTTTTAGATGTTATAGTCAGATAAAGTTCTTCCATCTTCAAGTTATTTACCAGCAAAGATAAGTCTTTATTAATCAGGTGGGATTCCTTCCTTGTCTTGAATCTTAGCCTTAATATTCTCAATAGTATCAGAAGATTCAACATCTAAAGTGATAGTCTTACCTGTTAAAGTCTTAACAAAAATTTACATACCACCTCTCAATCTCAAAACTAAGTGGAGAGTAGATTCTTTTTAGATATTGTAGTCAGAAAGAGTTCTACCATCTTCTAATTACTTGCCAGCAAAGATAAGTCTTTATTAATCAGGTGGAATACCCTCCTTATCTTGAATCTTAGCCTTAATATTTTCAATAGTATCAGTAGCTTCAACATCTAAAGTAACAGTCTTACCTGTCAAAGTCTTAACAAAAATTTGCATACCACCTCTTAATCTCAAAACTAAATGTAGAGTTGATTCTTTTTAGATATTATAGTCAGAAAGAGTTCTACCATCTTCTAATTACTTGCCAGCAAAGATAAGTCTTTATTAATCAGGTGGAATTCCTTCCTTGTCTTGAATTTTAGCCTTAACGTTTTCAATAGTGTCTGAGGCCTCAATATCTAGAGTGATTGTTTTTCCAGTTAAAGTCTTAACAAAAATTTACATAATTAAGTTTTTTTTAATAATTAGTTTTTAATTGATTTATTTGTTTATTTTAACTCTTTTTATTTATTTTATTTACAATTATTTATATTAATCTTGTGAAATTAAAAAAGTTTTTAAAGTTAAACAGAATATGTATTGATATAATCTGATTGTGGTAAGTGTGAGATAATCAAAATTATCTATTACATATATTATCTTAATCTAACTTGAAAGAATTTTACTATTTATTAGATAATTTGAGATAGAAAACTTAAAAAAAATAGATAAAATTTATATTTGATAAACAGTCAATTTATTAAATTCATAAAGAGGAAAATCTAAATTATTTTATCTCAAGTTTTCAAAATAAAAAAATAGATTAAATATTTTAAATAAATATTAAAATTTATTATTATTTTTATTGAAAATTAATATTGATGATTTTAATAACAATCTTATTAAAGAATAATATAAAAAGTATTTTAAACATTAAAGGTATTATATGTATATTTTTTAATATTATACCAATCGTTAGTTAAGTATTACAAAGAAATATTCATATTTAAAATTAATATCTTCTTTTTTAATACAATTTAAATGATTAATCAATATAATTATCAATCAGACTTATAATTAAATTTACTGTATATAACAATAAATTATATAATATTATTATTCATTCATACAAAATATTTAAGAACTCTATCATTATGTTTTTATCACTCATATCATTTAAATTTTTATTTTATTTTTTTGGGATTTTTTATTTTTTATGAACCTTTCAAATATTTTTTAATTTAATTTTATCAAAAAAATTCTTCATGATTTAAAAAAATATCAAAAATATTTTAAATTAAAATTAATTATTATCTAAAAAATATCTATAAGTTATATTTCATTCACTAACAGAAAAATATATAATCATCATTATTATCAAATTTATTTTAATATTATTTTGAAAAATTTAATCAACCACCTCTTAATCTTAAAACCAAATGAAGAGTTGATTCTTTTTAAATATTGTAGTCAGATAAAGTTCTACCATCTTCTAATTACTTGCCAGCAAAAATAAGTCTTTATTGATCAGGTGGAATTCCTTCCTTGTCTTAAATCTTTGCCTTCACATTTTCAATAGTATCAGAAGCTTCAACATCTAAAGTGATAGTCTTACCAGTCAAAGTCTTAACGAAAATTTGCATACCACCTCTTAATCTCAAAACCAAATGAAGAGTTGATTCCTTTTAAATGTTATAGTCTGAGAGAGTTCTGCCATCTTCGAGTTATTTACCAGCGAAGATAAGTCTTTATTGATCAGGTGGAATACCTTCCTTATCTTGGATCTTAGCCTTAACATTTTCAATAGTATCAGAAGCTTCAACATCTAAAGTGATAGTCTTACCAGTCAAAGTCTTAACGAAAATTTGCATACCACCTCTTAATCTCAAAACTAAGTGTAGAGTTGATTCTTTCTAGATGTTGTAATCAGAAAGGGTTCTACCATCTTCGAGTTATTTACCAGCGAAAATAAGTCTTTATTGATCAGGTGGGATTCCTTCCTTATCTTGAATCTTAGCCTTAACATTTTCAATAGTGTCTGAGGCCTCTACGTCTAGAGTGATAGTTTTTCCAGTTAAAGTTTTAACGAAAATTTACATAATTAGGTTTCTTTATTAATATTAATTTGTTTGATTTCTTTTCTCTCGAATTTTTAGTTTTTTTAATTTTTTTGAGTTATAATGAATTACAAAAAACTAAATTTAATAATTCTTAAAGAAGAGAAGAATATATGTTGATAGAATCTGATTGCAACAAAAGAGAGGTAATTAAAGTTATCTACTACATATATTAATTTTAGATGAATCTATTTTTTTGGATATTATAAGCAAAAAATAGAAGATTGTTATATTTTATTAAAGTGTCTACTTTGTTATTTTGTTTTCTTATTAACTAATTAGGTAAATAAACTATATGAAGCAACTTTAAATTCCAAATATAAAACTATCCAGAATTAAATTGAATACATTCAACTAAAATATTTTATTAATTTTTTAAGTCAAATAACTTTATATCTATTTAATATTTCATTGTTTTTAAAAGATTATGTTTAAAAGATCAAAGTTGTAAAATAAAAAATTATTTTTGAGAAAGTAAATATTATTTATTTTTGCAAAATAATTATTTATTGATAAAGTAAATTTAAACATATGAATGTTAGCTTTTACATTAATAAAATATATAATATTCCCTCTAATCTTGCAACCCAAAAACAAAAGAGGTTCCTATTAAAAATTTTTTCTTAAAAAACTCTTTAAAATTTAGGAGGTTGGAATAAATAATTAAGTTTTAAAAGTAAAAAAAATATTTTTTTTTTTGTAAATTCATTTCAATTTCTTAAATTAATCATTAATTTTTACAAAGTATTTTTCTAATAACTTTAAGAAAGATGAGCTTTAAAATCTGTTTTAGCTTGAACAAAAGAATATTCATTCAATCAAATTAGTTAACAAAATTAATTTTAGATTATTCTTTCAATATGAGTGGTTGGTTTTTTTATTATTAATTTTTCTAATGATTATAAAAATAAACATTAGACACTTTTTATCTCTTACTTTTTTAGATGAATGAGACTCGAAGATACGAGAAACAAGGTAGCAAAAAAAAAGTAGTAAAGCAATATTTTTGATCCATAAGTTGGAAAACAAAGCTTATTAAGGGAATATAGTATGTTGCCAAAGAATTGAATAATATAATTTACATTTTGAAATGATTCTTTAAAAAATAGATAAATATTATGATTAGATTACTAACTAGTATATTTTTTGAAATCTACTTTATTTTCTAATCATTTTGAATTCTAATTCTAATTTGAAATATTTTTTTGTTTTTTTCAAATCTAAAACAATTAAAGCTTTCTACTTTTTAATAAATAAAGTGATTTTTTATTGAGTAGTTTTAAATTTTATATTATGAGGTAGTACATTAAGTTATATATTTTTTTAAACTTTAAGATAGTTAAGAGAAGGGATATTTTTGATGGTTAAGCTATATTTAATAAAATTAAATAATATCAAATTTTATGATTTTTAAATAATCTTATGAATAAATTTAATTTCCATACAAGCATATTTGAGTTTTTTGAAAAATATATCATTAACACCATCAAAGAGATAAGAGAGAACATAAATCATAAATTACATATAAATTAAAAATTAACATTATAAATCTAATTTTTAAAAAGTAAAATATGAAATATCATTTTTCAATTATTGCATAAAATATTTAAAAAATATTTCAAATTAAAAAAATAAGTTTACACAATATGTTTTTACTTATAATCAATTCACTAATATATATTTGTAAAGAATTATATATATTTATTTCTTATATTACCACCTCTTAGTCTTAAAACTAAGTGAAGAGTTGACTCTTTTTAGATATTGTAATCAGAAAGGGTCCTAAAGTCTTCAAGGCATTTACCTGAAAAAATGAGTCTTTATTGATCAGGAGGAATTCCTTCTTTATCTTGAATCTTAGATTTAACATTTTCAATAGTATCAGAAGCTTCAAGATCTAAAGTAATTGTCTTACCAGTCAAGGTCTTAACGAAAATTTACAAACCACCTCTTAATCTCAATACTAAATGAAGAGTTGACTCCTTTTAAATGTTATAGTCGGAGATAGTTCTGCTATCATCAAGTTGTTTACCAGCGAATATCAGTCTTTATTGATCAGGTGGAATTCCTTCCTTGTCTTGGATCTTTGCCTTAACATTTTCAACAGTATCACAAGGTTCAAGATCTAAAGTAACAGTCTTACCAGTCAAGGTCTTTACGAATATTTACATTCCTCCTCTTAATCTCAAAACTAAATGGAGAGTTGATTCTTTTTGTATATTATAGTCTTATACAGTTCTTCCATCATCAAGTTGCTTGCCAGCAAAAATTAGTCTTTACTGATCAGGTGGAATACCTTCTTTGTCTTGAATCTTAGCCTTAATGTTTTCAATAGTATCAGAAGCTTCAAAATCTAAAGTAACAGTTTTACCTGTCAAGGTCTTAACAAATATTTACATACCACCTCTTAATCTCAATACTAAATGAAGAGTTGATTCTTTTTAAATATTGTAATCAGAAAGAGTTCTGCTATCATCGAGTTGTTTACCAGCGAATATCAGTCTTTATTGATCAGGTGGAATACCTTCTTTGTCTTGAATCTTAGCCTTAATGTTTTCAATAGTATCAGAAGCTTCAAAATCTAAAGTAACAGTTTTGCCTGTCAAGGTCTTAACAAAAATTTACATACCACCTCTTAATCTCAATACTAAATGAAGAGTTGATTCTTTTTGTATATTATAGTCTTATACAGTTCTTCCATCATCAAGTTGCTTGCCAGCAAAAATTAGTCTTTATTGATCAGGTGGAATACCTTCCTTATCTTAAATCTTAGCCTTAACATTTTCAACAGTATCAAATGGTTCGAGATCTAAAGTAACAGTCTTACCAGTCAAAGTCTTAACAAATATTTGCATACCACCTCTTAATCTCAATACTAAATGAAGAGTTGATTCTTTTTGTATATTATAGTCTTATAGAGTTCTTCCATCATCAAGTTGTTTGCCAGCAAATATTAGTCTTTATTAATCAGGTGGAATACCTTCTTTGTCTTGAATCTTAGCCTTAATGTTTTCAATAGTATCAGAAGCCTCAAAATCTAAAGTAACAGTCTTACCTGTCAAGGTCTTAACAAAAATTTACATACCACCTCTTAATCTCAATACTAAATGAAGAGTTGATTCTTTTTAAATATTGTAATCAGAAAGAGTTCTGCTATCATCGAGTTGTTTACCAGCGAATATCAGTCTTTATTGATCAGGTGGAATACCTTCCTTGTCTTGAATCTTAGCTTTAACATCTTCGATAGTATCTGATACCTCGAAGTCAAGAGTAATAGTTTTTCCAGTTAAAGTCTTTACAAAAATTTACATTTATTTTTTAATGGAAATTATTATTTTACTGTTTAATTAGCTTGCTTATTTTATTTTATTTTATTTTGTTTTGGTTATTTTTTTTAAATTAATTAATATTAATATTCTTTAAAAATTAATCAAAATTTAAAATAAGACCAGAATATATATTGATAAAACCTGATTGAAGATAACAAAGATTAATAAAATCTATCTACTACAATTGATAATTTTAACTAATAAATAAGTATTAAAAAACAAAATATAATCAGAAAGTTAAAGATTTAATAAAAATAGAATATCTAAAATCAAAGTTAAATTGTCTTCTAATTTTTAAGTTCTCGCATAGTAAAGAATTAAATTTTTTTAAAATATACATTAAAAATTGTCTATATTTAACATCCTCATTCAGCAAAAAAGTGCTCAATTTAGAGAGATGTTCAAAATACGTAGGTGCTCAATATAGGAAGGTTAAATTTAATGAAATTTTTTATCAAAAACATAGGACTTTAAAAATCGCTCAAATTTAGAGAGGTACATATACAATTATACTTACTGTTTTAACATGAATGATTTGCAAAAAACTTAAAAAATATAATAAAAGATATGCAGATATAATAATAATTAATTATTTTTTAAGATTTTGAATATCTAGACTTATTTTCAGACATATATATTAGTTAATAATTATATAAAGTTTTATGATTGTGGTGATAGATATATGATTAATCAAATTAGAAATTATTTTATTCAAAAAACTTTGATTTCTCCTATTTTATGATAAATTTCTTATTAATAAAATACTACTTCTATTGATATTTGCTTTCAATTTAGTTTTAATTGGAAAATATTTTATAAGGTTCAGCTTTACATAAATTTTGTTCTTTATTGAAATAAAAAAAATTAATTGTAATTTTTTTCAAAATACCTTAAAATTGAAAGCACTTTTAGGCAAATTATAAATAAATAATAATTTTTTTATGAATAATATAAAACAAAAGATACTATAAATTAATTAATTAATTTTAATAACCTGAATCTATTAATTTACTAATATAAATGCATATATTTTTTATACTTATAAATTTATAATATCTATTTAATATATTTAATCAACCACCTCTTAATCTTAAAACTAAGTGAAGAGTTGATTCCTTTTAGATGTTATAGTCAGATAAAGTTCTTCCATCTTCAAGTTATTTACCAGCAAAGATAAGTCTTTATTAATCAGGTGGAATTCCTTCCTTGTCTTAGATCTTAGCCTTAACATTTTCAATAGTATCAGAAGCTTCTATATCTAAAGTGATAGTCTTACCTGTTAAAGTCTTAACAAAAATTTGCATACCACCTCTTAATCTCAATACTAAGTGAAGAGTTGATTCTTTTTAGATATTGTAGTCAGATAAAGTTCTACCATCTTCTAATTGCTTACCAGCAAAAATAAGTCTTTATTGATCAGGTGGAATACCCTCCTTATCTTGAATCTTAGCCTTAACGTTTTCAATAGTATCAGAAGCTTCAACATCTAAAGTAACAGTCTTACCTGTCAAAGTCTTAACAAAAATTTGCATACCACCTCTTAATCTCAATACTAAATGTAGAGTTGATTCTTTTTAGATATTATAGTCAGAAAGAGTTCTACCATCCTCTAATTACTTGCCAGCGAAGATAAGTCTTTATTAATCGGGTGGAATTCCTTCCTTATCTTGAATCTTAGCCTTAACGTTTTCAATAGTGTCTGAGGCCTCAATATCTAAAGTGATTGTTTTTCCAGTTAAAGTCTTAACGAAAATTTACATAATTAAGTTTTTTTTAATATTAAGTTTTTTAATTGATATATTTGTTTATTTTAACTCGTTTGATTAGTTTTATTTACAATTATTTATATTAATCTTGGGAAATTAATAAAGTTTTAAAGTAAAACAGAATATGTATTGATATAATCTGATTGTGGTAAGTGTGAGATAATCAAAACTATCTATTATATATATTATCTTAATCTGACTTGAAAGATTTTTACATTTAATTAGATAATTTGAGATAGAAAACTTATAAAAATAGAAAAAATTTATATTTGATGAACAGTCAATTTATTAAAATTCATAAAGAGGATAATTTATAAGTAAATTATTTTATCTTAAATTTTCAAAATAAAAAAATAGATAAAATATTTCAAACTTAATTTAAAATTTATTATTTTTGTTTTTATTGAAAATTAATATTGATTTTAATTACCATTTTATTAAAGAAAAAATAAATTAAGGATTTTAAACATAAAAAAGTATTATTTGTATATAATTTAATATTTTACTAATCCTAGGACTTTACAAAGAAATATTCATAAACTTTTATCACTAATTTCTTTTAAATTTTATGCTATTTTCTCCTTAATTTTTGGTATTTTTTATATTTTATGAAACTTTCAAATATTTTTTAATTTTATTTTATCAAAAAATACTTCATAATTAAAAAAATATCAAAAATATTTTAATTAAAAATTAATTATTATCTAAAAAATGTCATTTACTATTATTGTATGCAAAATAAAAAATTTTGATAAATTTGTTAACAAATAATTTTGTATTTAAAATTCAATCACTAATATAAAATATATAATAATCTTTATTATCAAGTATATTAATATTATTTTGAAAAATTTAATCAACCACCTCTTAATCTTAAAACCAAGTGAAGAGTTGATTCTTTTTAGATATTGTAATCAGAAAGGGTTCTTCCATCCTCGAGTTATTTACCAGCGAAGATAAGTCTCTATTGATCAGGTGGAATACCTTCTTTGTCTTGAATCTTAGCCTTAACATTTTCAATAGAATCAGAAGCTTCAACATCTAAAGTGATAGTCTTGCCAGTCAAAGTCTTAACAAAAATTTACATACCACCTCTTAGTCTTAATACTAAGTGAAGAGTTGATTCTTTTTAGATATTGTAGTCAGATAAAGTTCTACCATCTTCTAATTACTTGCCAGCAAAAATAAGTCTTTATTGATCAGGTGGAATTCCTTCCTTGTCTTAAATCTTTGCCTTCACATTTTCGATAGTATCAGAAGCTTCAACATCTAAAGTGATAGTCTTACCAGTCAAAGTCTTAACGAAAATTTGCATACCACCTCTTAATCTCAAAACTAAATGAAGAGTTGATTCCTTTTAAATGTTATAGTCAGATAAAGTTCTACCATCTTCTAATTACTTGCCAGCAAAAATAAGTCTTTATTGATCAGGTGGAATACCTTCCTTATCTTGGATCTTAGCCTTAACGTTTTCAATAGTATCAGAAGCTTCAACATCTAAAGTGATAGTCTTACCAGTCAAAGTCTTAACAAAAATTTGCATACCACCTCTTAATCTCAGAACTAAATGTAGAGTTGATTCTTTCTAGATGTTGTAATCAGAAAGGGTTCTACCATCTTCGAGTTATTTACCAGCGAAAATAAGTCTTTATTGATCAGGTGGGATTCCTTCCTTATCTTGAATCTTAGCCTTAACATTTTCAATAGTATCTGAGGCCTCTACGTCTAGAGTGATAGTTTTTCCAGTTAAAGTCTTTACGAAAATTTACATAATTAGGTTTCTTTATTAATTTTAATTTGTTTGATTTCTTTTCTCTCTAATTTTTAGTTTTTTTTTTTAATTTTTTTGAGTTAAAATCAATTACACAAAAATAAATTAAATAACTCTTAAAGAAGTAAAGAATATATGTTGATAAAATCTGATTGTAACAAAAGAGAGGTAATTAAAGCTATCTACTACATAAATTATTTTTAGATGAATCAAATTTTTTGGATATTATAAGCAAATAAAAAATAGAAGATTTATAAAAATAGAAGATTGTTTTTTTTTATTAAGTTGTCTACTTTGCTATTTTTTATTAAAAAATAAGCTAAATAAACGATATGATATATAAATTACTCAAATACGTTTTATCCAGAATTAAAATTGAATTCATTAAATTAGAATATTTTATTACTTTTCTTGAATAACATAGTTTAATTTTTATATTTAAACTTTTTTTTATTATTTAATTTGAATAATGAGATTATGAGAATTATATTTTTAAACATTTTTTTAGATTTAAAGCTTTTATAAATATGAATTTTTAAAATTAAATAATTACTCTAATTGTTATTTTCTTCTATCTTTTATATTTCTAAGTAATTTAATCATAACTCTTAATTCAATACGATTAAAAGATTATTTAAAATCTAATAAATACCACTGTTTTAAACCAACACTACATATTGATTATCTTTATTAATAGTTTTGATACTTGTATTTGGATGGTATTTTGATATTTATTTTTTTAATTTTTATGACTTTTTCAATCTAAATTAAAAATTCAGATTAATTAAAATTTATTAAGTTTTTTTAAAGGTAATTGTTATTATTATTTTATAAAATTATAATATTGATATTTTATTTTAATTCAATTTAAATTACCCTTAGGATAATTAATTAATCATTTATTCTATGATTATTAAATACAGTTATAAATATTAATTATATAAAATTGTATATTTCAGCTTTAGTGAAAAAAACATATAGTTAAGAGCTAGGGTCTATAATTAAGATAAATTGTTATTAAATTATTACATAAAAAGATATATATAATACTTCAAATTAGAAAAAAAATTTATATAATATGTTTTTTACTCAAAATAAATTCAATAGTATTATTTGTAAACAATATCTATATTATTTTCATATATTTATATAACCACCTCTTAATCTTAAAACTAAGTGAAGTGTTGACTCTTTTTAGATATTATAATCAGTAAGTTTTCTAGTGTCTTCAAGGCATTTACCTGAAAAAATGAGCCTTTATTGATCAGGTGGAATTCCTTCTTTGTCTTGAATCTTAGCTTTAACATTATCAATAGTATCAGAAGATTCCACATCTAAAGTAATTGTCTTACCAGTCAAGGTCTTAACGAAAATTTACATGCCACCTCTTAATCTCAAGACTAAGTGAAGAGTAGATTCCCTTTAAATATTGTAATCAGAAAGAGTTCTGCTATCATCGAGTTGTTTACCAGCAAATATCAGTCTTTATTAATCAGGAGGAATTCGTTCCTTGTCTTGAATCTTAGCCTTAACATTTTCAATGGTATCACAAGGATCAAGATCTAAAGTAACAGTCTTACCAGTCAAGGTCTTTACGAATATTTGCATTCCACCTCTTAATCTCAAAACTAAATGGAGAGTTGATTCTTTTTGTATATTATAGTCTTATACAGTTCTTCCATCATCAAGTTGCTTACCAGCAAAAATTAATCTTTATTGATCAGGTGGAATACCTTCCTTGTCTTAAATCTTAGCCTTAATGTTTTCAATAGTATCAGAAGCTTCAATATCTAAAGTAACAGTCTTACCAGTCAAGGTCTTAACGAAAATTTGCATACCACCTCTTAGTCTCAAGACCAAGTGAAGTGTAGATTCCTTTTAAATATTATAATCAGAAAGAGTTCTGCTATCATCGAGTTGTTTACCAGCGAATATCAGTCTTTATTGATCAGGTGGAATTCCTTCCTTGTCTTGAATCTTAGCCTTAACATTTTCAACAGTATCACAAGGTTCAAGATCTAAAGTAACAGTCTTACCAGTCAAGGTCTTAACAAAAATTTGCATACCACCTCTTAATCTCAAGACTAAATGAAGGGTTGATTCTTTTTGTATATTATAGTCTGATAAACTTCTTCCATCATCAAGCTGCTTACCTGCAAAAATTAGTCTTTATTGATCAGGTGGAATACCTTCCTTGTCTTAAATTTTAGCTTTCACATCTTAGATAGAGTCTGAAACCTCTGTGTTAAGTGTAATAGTTTTTCCAGTTAAAGTCTTAACAAAAATTTACATTGATCTATTAGAGAAAATTATTATTTTACTGTTTAATTAGCTTTTTATTTTATTTTGATTTATTTTGTTTGAGTTAATTTATATCATTATTATTGTTTAAAAATTAATCAACTTTTAAAAGAAGATCAGAATATATATTGATATAATCTGATTGTAGATATCAAGAGTTAATAAAATCTATCTACTACAATTGTTATTTTTAACAAATAAAAAATTATTGAAAAAACAAAATATAATCAGAAAATTAAAGATCTGATAAAATAGAACGACCAAATTTAATGTTAAATTGTCTTTTTATTTTTTTTAGTTATCAAAGAGTAAGAGTGTTTTATAAGAATAATTGGAATCATTTTCTTTATTTAACTTGCCATAAATATTTTAACAAAATATTTTTACACTTTTTAATAGTTAAAAAAAATCAAATAAACTCAATTGCTCAAATATAAAAGTATTTCTTAAAAATAAAAAATTCACATAAAAAATAATATTTATAATTTTAAAAACAAATATTTTGTAAAAAGCTTAATTAATACTAAAAAGATATAATTTGTTATTTTTCAGTCCTTGAATGTAAAGCTTTTCTTAAGTAAAGATTTTAGAGAATCAATCAGTAAAATTCATCTATCTTCTTTAATATTTTTTGTCTATAATCACTTGATTGAGATTATATATCTTATATTTTGATTATGGGTTAGACATTATTTATATCAAATAAAAATTATTTTATTCAAAAAGTTTTGTAGTCTTATATTTTATGATAAATACATTTAAAACAGCATCAATAGATTTATATTGATTCAATTAAATTTTAAGTTTTAAATTTTTCATAAAGTTTAAATCATAACTTAATTACTTTACATACATTTTATATTTACTTTGAAATGAAAAAAAAACCTAATTTTTGAGTAAATATATTCAAGATAGAATAAAGTTTAAAACCATTTAAATCAAATTCTAAGTGAAATATAATTTTTTATGAATATATGTTAACAAATATATAAAAGATATAAAAAAGAAAGTGATTTTGATAATCTGAATCTATTAATTTACTAATATAAATGCATATATTTTTATACTTATAAATTTATAATATCTGTTTAATATATTTAATCAACCACCTCTTAATCTTAAAACTAAGTGAAGAGTTGATTCCTTTTAGATGTTATAGTCAGATAAAGTTCTTCCATCTTCAAGTTATTTACCAGCAAAGATAAGTCTTTATTAATCAGGTGGAATTCCTTCCTTGTCTTAGATCTTAGCCTTAACATTTTCAATAGTATCAGAAGCTTCCACATCTAAAGTTATTGTCTTGCCAGTTAAAGTCTTAACAAAAATTTGCATACCACCTCTCAATCTCAAAACTAAGTGGAGAGTAGATTCTTTTTAGATATTGTAGTCAGAAAGAGTTCTACCATCTTCAAGTTATTTACCAGCAAAGATAAGTCTTTATTAATCAGGTGGGATTCCTTCCTTGTCTTAGATCTTAGCCTTAACATTTTCAATTGTATCAGAAGCCTCAACATCAAGAGTGATAGTTTTTCCAGTCAAAGTTTTAACAAAAATTTGCATACCACCTCTTAATCTCAATACTAAGTGAAGAGTTGATTCTTTTTAGATATTGTAGTCAGATAAAGTTCTACCATCTTCTAATTGCTTACCAGCAAAAATAAGTCTTTATTGGTCTGGTGGGATACCTTCCTTGTCTTGGATCTTAGCCTTAACATTTTCAATAGTATCAGAAGCTTCAACATCTAAAGTGATAGTTTTACCTGTCAAAGTTTTTACGAAAATTTACATACCACCTCTTAATCTCAATACTAAATGAAGAGTTGATTCCTTTTAGATGTTATAGTCAGAAAGAGTTCTACCATCTTCGAGTTATTTACCAGCAAAGATAAGTCTTTATTGATCAGGTGGAATACCTTCCTTATCTTGGATCTTAGCCTTAACATTTTCAATAGTATCTGAAGCCTCTACATCGAGAGTGATTGTTTTTCCAGTTAAAGTCTTAACGAAAATTTACATAATTAGGTTTTTTGATTAATTTTTTTGTTTGTTTTAAGTCTTTTGATTTGTTTTAATTTACAATTATTTATATTAATTGTGATGAAATTAAATAGCTTTTAAAGAAAAACAGAGTATGTTTTGATATAATCTGATTAAGGAAATTGAGAGGTAATAAAAACATTCTATTACAAATATTATGTTAATTTTACTTAAAAGCATTTGGAAAACTATTAGATAATTTAAGATTAAAGACTTGTTAAAATAGAAAAGATTAATATTTATTAGAGTGTCTAGTTACTAAATTCATATAGAGGATATACTAAATTATTAAAGTAAATTATTTTATCTCAGTTCTAGGAATAAAAAATAGTTTAAATATATTCCCCTTTTCATTAAATTTTTTATTTAATATTAATATGAATAATAATATTATTAACAAAAAAGAGGATTATTAAATCGATTTTAATTTTACTATTAAAAAAATTAAAAAATAATTAAATAAATTTTAAAATATAAAAATAATTAATTAATAATATATAAGACTTATATTTAAATTTATTTTTTTAAATTAAATGTTTTCAAACATTTTTTTTTCATTCTGTTCATTTATTTATATATCACTTTTCATAAAACCATATTGTTGATTTTTTTATTTTTATTAGATTCTGTGTTTTATTTTATTTTGTATTTTATTTATTAAAAAAATCTAAAATTTATTCCAATTTTATTTTATCAAAAACTTTCTCTTTAATTAAATAATAAGAAAATATCAAAAAATATTTGAAAATCAATAACCTTAAAATTAATTATTAGCTAAAAATTTCATTAATATAGTTGTTTTAAAAATAAATTTTTATAAAGTTATTAACAATAGTTTATATTTTATAATTCCATCATAGACATAAAAATATATAATCATCTTTATTATCAAATATATTTTAATATTATTTTCAGAAATTTAATCAACCACCTCTTAATCTTAAAACCAAGTGAAGAGTTGATTCTTTTTAGATATTGTAATCAGAAAGGGTTCTACCATCTTCAAGTTACTTTCCAGCAAAAATAAGTCTTTGTTGATCAGGTGGAATTCCTTCCTTATCTTGGATTTTAGCTTTAACATTTTCAATAGTATCAGAAGCTTCAACATCTAAAGTGATAGTCTTGCCAGTCAAAGTCTTAACAAAAATTTACATACCACCTCTAAGTCTCAATACTAAATGAAGAGTAGATTCCTTTTAAATGTTATAATCAGAGAGAGTTCTACCATCTTCTAATTGCTTGCCAGCAAAAATAAGTCTTTGTTGATCAGGTGGAATTCCTTCCTTGTCTTGAATCTTTGCCTTAACGTTTTCAATAGTATCAGAAGCTTCAACATCTAAAGTGATAGTCTTGCCAGTCAAAGTCTTAACAAAAATTTGCATACCTCCTCTTAGTCTTAATACTAAGTGAAGAGTTGATTCTTTTTAGATATTGTAGTCAGATAAAGTTCTACCATCTTCTAATTACTTACCAGCAAAAATAAGTCTTTATTGATCAGGTGGAATTCCTTCCTTGTCTTAAATCTTTGCCTTCACATTTTCAATAGTATCAGAAGCTTCAACATCTAAAGTGATAGTCTTACCAGTCAAAGTCTTAACAAAAATTTGCATACCACCTCTTAATCTCAAAACTAAGTGTAAAGTTGATTCTTTCTAGATGTTGTAATCAGAAAGGGTTCTACCATCTTCGAGTTATTTACCAGCGAAAATAAGTCTTTATTGATCAGGTGGGATTCCTTCCTTATCTTGAATCTTAGCCTTAACATTTTCAATAGAGTCTGAGGCCTCTACGTCTAGAGTGATAGTTTTTCCAGTTAAAGTCTTTACGAAAATTTACATTATTTAAATCTTTATTGTATAATTGATTTTACTTATTGATTTTTTACTAGTTAATAGTTTTTTAATTATTTTTTGCTTTAATTAATTATCAAAAATCTAAGAAATCTTTAAGCCTTTTTAAAAAGAAAAGAATAGTGATTGTTAAAATCTGATTAAAAATCTGAGAGATAATCTCATCAATCTACTACAAAAAATTTTTATCTGATTAGAAAAAATATTGAAAAAGCAAAACTAAATAAGAAAATAGAAGAATCATAAAAAGATAAGACAAAAAAATATTAGATTGTCTGCCTTAATAATTCTTATAGTAAAATAAATAAATAATTTAATAAAAAAAACTATTTTATTTACTTTCTTAAAACAATTTTAAATCTGATTCTAAAAATAAAATAAAATTTACTAATAATTTTATTAAACTTATTTAATGTTAATCAATTTAGAGTATATTTAAAAAAACAAAAAAGTGTTTTATCTTTTTTCTATTTCTTCTAATGTTCAAAGAATTGGCTATATTTTCTTTATAAAAATTAAAGAAGATCTCAAAAAGTTAATTTGTTATAAAATACTTTTTTTTAAACACACATTTTCAAAATCAAATTAATTATTTTTTGGTTATCTAAATAAAAATAAATAAGAAAGTATTTTATTTATATTCGATTGTGTTTCAGTTCATTTTCAAAAATTTTATTTCTTTCTTTGTTTTTAGCTAGCTGCTTGATTGCTTTTTTTTTAGAAATAAAAGTTTTTATTTTAAAGATCATTCGTTAACAAAAGCTAAAACCTCTGCTATAAATACAATTTTGATTTTTTCAATTGAATAATATTCAATTCCGAACATGTACTACTTATTTAAATCTAGCTGACGTAAATTTTCTTCTCCTGCAATTGTTATATTTTCATACCCAGGATAATCTGATAGCTAAAAGTACTTCTCTTCTAAACACATTTGATATTCTAAGGTCCTCATTTTGGTCTCATGTCTACAGGAAGCATCATTGAACGGTTTTCCTTTTTTGACAACATTGAAGTACTCTTGATCTTTATTTGTGAAGCAGAGAGAAGATGCATTAATAAAATTAGAATTTATCTTATTACTTTAAATAATTCCAATACTAATTTCGTAATTCTTTTACTAAGAATTAAAAGGTTCAAACTAAATTCTAATGACATACTTTTTATTTGGTTATATTATTTAATCATAAAAAGCTTAAATGTAGTATCCTGGTCTTTGATTTTTTAATTCTAATATATTTTCGCTTCTACTAATAAATTAATAATTTTATGAACACTCATCTACAGCAGATTTAATGAAGTAGCATGATTGTGTTTTATCAGTGATGACATTGTTTCTTTTTTTTATTTCATTGACTCTGTTCGACTCATATTTGACTATGGCTTCATTAGAATTATTTAATTCACTAAGTAAACTATCCATTTATTTAAATTTTTGTTATATTTAATTAGCACTATCATCTGCAAGTATACTTATTTAATTTATTTTTTATAGCTAATTTATATAAATTTCTAAATTTTTGTATTGACTATCTTTAATTTAGCTGAAATCAATAGGAGTTTTTGATGGATTATAAACTTCATTGAAATTAATGCGATTAAATAGAGGAGCATATATATTCAAATATTTTTAAAGCTAAGAGATGAAATCTTGATTACAGTAATTTGATGGATTATTTATTAATGAAATAATTTTATTAACTATATTCTAATTGTTTTCAATCTGTTCATAATAAGAAGATTACTATAAATATTTATTACTTCCACTAGTTAGATTAAAAAATATCTGATCAATAAAAAGCAAGATTTATTCTAAAAACATCTGAGGTTCTTTTAATTACAAAATTTGCTAAGATTAATTGTAGAGGTTTAAATTGTGCTGCAAAATGTCCAAGTTTTCTTTATATTTTTCTTTACATTTATTAATCATTTGATCTAGCTCCTCTAACGAATTGTTACCTTCGCATAGATTTTTAATTTATACTTAAAGAAGTTCTTTCTATGATACTTCGTTGTAAATAGAATTCAGTTTATCCTTTGTCATAAAAAACTCTTCAACTTCTGCCAAAATTTTTTTTTTGCATCCGACGATCTTTTCAACAACCTATTTCTCCATATCGTTAAAGAAATCATTTATTATGTGCAAAGGACAAATATCATCTAGTTAGTTTTCTATGATATTTTAATACTCTTAAAGAACTTCTCTCTTCTCTAGAAAAGGCCAGTTGAGAAACACTGTTTTGCTTTCACAAGATATCACATCATCTATACATAATAAATTCTCTCCTTTCATCATAAATTTTGTCACACACTTACAGCAAACAGCTGTCTAAGGTACTTGCTTGTTGTAAACTTCAATGAATTAGAAGGGTGATCCTTTATGAATTTGGCAAGATAATTAATTTTATTTGTTTTAAGCTTATATTTAGGTTTAATAATTTTCGGCTATCATTTTTAAAAATTTAATATTCCAACAATCTCTTAATTTAAATAAATCATAAAAGAATATAAAATCTATTATCTGGATTTCTTATTTTAATTGCAATATTTTTAAGTATTTTGTAAATAATTATTAAATTTGTATAAAGATTGATTGATAAAAATTATTTTAATTAATTATTGAGCAAATATTAGCTCAATTATTTAACTTTTAATCAAAAACAAGTAAACAAAATGCTATTTTTTATTTTGATTCTTTCCATGTTAATTTAAAATTAAAGGTCTGAGAAAAAAAATATTTATTTTTGAAAAAATTTAGTTTTGACAATAAAAATTAATTTATAAAAAAAAAATAAAAGTTTTTTTGTGAACAAATTAAATGTACTTTATATTGCATCAATCAAAATTGTTTAGTTATAATCTTAATTATAATTTATTTTCAATGACATACAGACAGAAAAAAAAACAAACAAACCAGCAATCTTTCTAAAAACTTTTCAGTTTATTTAAGTAGATTATATTAAAATTAAGTTAAAAATTGAATGCTTTTCATTCAAAAAGCATTAAATTGATAGATATACAACTAATTAAATTAAATTTAATAATATTTGATTGTAAAAGATAAATATTTAAATACTAAAATGTTAATAAATAACAAAATTATTATAAATATAAATATATTTTGTTTGTATTTTTATCTTTATTTATTATTGAATTAAATTTTTAGATTAAATTAATTTTTTCAAAAATCAAATTAATGAAAAAATAGCTAAAATTTTTAGATAAGGTATGAAATTTCGTTATTTTAAATTGATAAAAAATATATTTTACTTATTAATAGTTAAAAGATAATAATCTTTAATCTATAACTCATCTTGATTTAGTATTAAAGTAAAACATTGAAACTATTTATTATTTTATATTAATAATCCACTATTTAAAAAGGCAGAATTTCTTCAGTACTAATATGTTAAAGTAGCTTGGTTAGGAAATATCTTTATGCCATAAAATATAGTCTTTAGTTTTAAGTATACAGTAATTCTATTTTATAAATCTAAATAAATTTTATATTTAGTTTTTTAATAACTCATTAAGAGGAGAAATAATATAAGACAAAAGTTCACCAAGTTAACCTTAATTTTGGAATTTAGTTTATAATTGTTCTTAATTATAAAAAATAAATATTATCTTAGAGTAAAATACTTGATTCAACTCTTTATTTAAGTTCACTTTTTATTATTTAGAAATAATAAAATAGAATATACAGGATTATGTTTTTTGATATGTGATATTTCTAAATGTAAAAACCTCATTAGTTTAACTCTTAATTTATCGTAAATTCTTCATTAAAATATTTAATTTAATACATTTAACTAACTATACTTTAATTTCTCATTAAAAAGTACTTATGTGGAAAAAAATTTTTCAAAACTTGAACTGAATAAAGTGGAATAATTTTAATTTATAATTTTAGCGTTGGTTTTATTTTGATTTATATAAATTACATTAATATTTTAATTTTTTATATGATTATATTGAATTTAATGAATGAAAAAATATATTAAATTATGTTATTGATTAAGAAAAAACAATATCTAAGCTATTGGAGCCATCTAGCTAGGGTAAGAGCTTCACAATTGTAAAAAACTGAGTAATCTTGACCTTAATCTTTCGTAAAAATTTTTAATTAAAATTAAATTTATAAAAAGTTTAAAATAAAGATAGAATAGCATTAGAGATAAAGGTGTAATAAGTATCATATAAAACATTACATACTTAAAGAGACTTGAAAATTTTTCTCTCTACATTGAGTATTATTTTTTTAATTTATACTAAAAGATTATTTTTTTAGTTAAAATAAATAATAATTTAAATTTTACCAAAATAGTTAGTTATTAAATATAAATATTTGTTAAATAAAAGTGAAAATAAAATTAAAAATTCTGGTGTTTAAATATTAGGAAGTGAGATCTGTAAATGCTAATTCTTAAAATAATTGACTTTAGATATTATGTAAATTTATGAAGTTAAATTATTTAAATTTCTTGTACCATAAAAATATATAGGAATAACAAAATAAATGATGAAAGTTGCATATAATTTATTTTAAAAATTGCTATTTTAACAAATCTTTAAGTTTTAAGAATCAATTTTTAGTAAATTATTTTTTTTAATTATTTGATTTATGAAATTCATTATTTTAGAAAAAATAAATTTTCAGATCAAATCACATCAATTTTAGGACAAGAGATAGCTAAATTCATAAATCTAAGTTAGTTGGTTTTGCATTTAGGGTAAAATTTGAATCTGAAATTCTAAAAAAATATTATTAATGCTTTAAATTAGGTCAAATGAGTTAACAGAACATAGTACCTCACAATTATTTTAAGGGATTCATCATTTAATATTTTTAAAAGACCTTTAAATCAGCTTTTGGTAATCAAATACAAATGTTTTATTAAAATTAACTTATTTTTTATAGTAAAAACTAGATTTTCAGCTAAGGATTAAAGTCTTTTGTAGATATTGTTTCTAAAATGAACCACCTTGTATCATTGAATGCTAATTTTAAGTAATATTAAAATAAAGTATAAAGTTACAAAATTTTTAATCAAGAAAGTGCAGAATTAAAGAATAAGAACTCAGAAATATTTTAACTGAAATGAAAAAAATGAAAAAACTAAAGATGTTAGTTTTTAATTTCAAGTAATCATTTACTTTAACATTAAAAGTATAATTAATTAATTTCTTAAATTTAGGGAAAACAATTTTACCTCTGCAATAGTATAAAAATGCAAATAAATCATCCTCAAAAACTTAATTCGACTTTTATTACTGAAAATAGATTATTGAATATTGATTCTATTAGTGCTAAATTTGATTTATGATAATATTCCTATATTACATAAATGATATGATATACTTAACTAAATAAATATAATTTTATTCATTATATTATCATATTTACACAAATACAATAGGCTTTGTTAGTTTTAAGTTGTAGCTAATTATGATTTAATATTTGTTAATTTTCATACTAATAATGTATATTTTATTTAGTAATATTCTAAAATAGGCTGTGTATTTGTGTTTATTAAAATAATTTTGTAAACAAAAAAATGTATAATTTATTAAAATAATTATTTTAAAGAAAGAAAGAATAGATTACATTTGTAAAATCTAATTAATTATTTAATTGATTTTTTTGGTTATGTTTATAGTGGTTATAATTTTATCAAATATCTATTGATAACTAATTAAATTCTAAGAAATCAAGCATTGACAAGCTAACTAATACTTTTAGTTTTAAAAAATTATAAATGGATAGGAAATCTTAATCTCCTTAAAAATAAGGAATTTATGTGAAGGAATAGAATAAAAGATCCCCATCATCAGTAATAAAAAAACTTTAACCACCATTTTTATAAATTTGATCTCAAATTTATTAAATTATAGAATAAATCTATTGATTGAATAATGTATAATTTTAAAATTAGATGGCTGAATTCAATTAGATTTCACACAGTAACATTCCTAAAGCAACAAAACCATTTACACTTAATCATATACCTGTTTAGAAACCAGTACACTTAATATTTGTTTATATAACTTAAATATTGCGATTTATCTTCAATTTTTTAAGCATTCGCGATATTTATTTATTTCTGAAAATAATCAGAAAATGGTATAAAAATCTACTTTAATTTCAAGTAGAGCAAACTAACATTTTTAAAATATTTGGAATTAACATAAGTTATAATATATTCATAGTTAGTTAAGTTCCCTCCAATAAAATAGAAAGTTGTAATTGGTACAAAAGGGATAGGATCATAGTAAAAAGCATTGATTTAAAAGCCAATAGAAGAGAAGAAAATGAACTATTATACATATAATAAATTGGTAGGAGAAGCAGATGGAGGTAAAGAATTAAGTAAAGAGTAATTCTAAGAAATTCTTTAAAAATATCACGAGTCATGGTAAAATAGAGTTTATGTTCATTTTGCAAGAACTGATATCTTCAAAGAATGTGTTCGTGTAAAACCACCATGCCTGTGCTTTTGTGGTCATCACTTTAAAACTCATGAATGGTGGGATTCTTAAACAAAATAAATAAAATGCAGAGCACCTGGGTGCCAATGTGGAAAATATAGGTAGTATTTTATTAATTTATTATGCAATAAGATGGTAGGCAAATAAACATTACAGCAATTAAAAATATTATCAAAGAGATTTTAATAAAAATCAATAAATAAATAAAATAGACATACTGGTTCTGATTATATTGATTTTATTTAAAAAATGAGGATTTGTTTGTTTAATTTGCCACCTGGTATTTAAAACAAAATAAATATTTTTATGGTATGGATTATATTTTTAATATCCACTTTCTTTAAAAGATTTTGTAGTTTATAATAAAGCAGGCAGTGTAAACAAGTATAAAAAAAAATATTCATTAAATTTTATTAAATCAATTAATTTTTACTTACCCTATTATTAGTTATTTTGATAGTTTTAATTTTCAAGCGTTTTATTCTTCTAGTTATTATGTAATAGCTGAAATAAAACTTTAGAGTAGAAATGTAATTATAGATTATCTTATAGGAAACTTCAAGTGAAGAATGATATATTATAGTTAATATTCATAAACTATTACCATATATAAATAAAATAAAGATTCGTTTTAAATTGAGAAAAATTAAGGTGAAAAATGATTTATTACATTTATTCATAAACCAAAACATCATATAAAACCAAGGATTATTTTCAAAATCTATTTTAAAAATGAATAAAAAATTAATTCACTGACACAAATAACTTCAAAGAGGATTTTTCCTCACAAATATTTTTATATTTGAAGTATTTATTAAAAAAATAAAATTTATTTTTAATTTTTAAAATATCTTATTTAAAAATATTAACAAAAAAAAGTGATTAAGATGGAATAATAAATTTTAAAATAGGTATTTACATCATTAAGGAAGCTGGTTTTTGATGTGCAAATGTAAGCATACAGCAATTGACCATAACCCAAAGTAATAGCTTTCCTAATTAAACAAACTAGTTTTTTTTGATTTCATTTACAAATTTTTTAATAATATCAAAAAATTAAATGAACCAATATTAATCAATCATAGTAACCTAAAAAAAGAAATCTAAATTTACCTTTAAAGATTTACATTATACTGAGTAAATAAATTATAAATTATCATTATTTTTTAATTCTTAGTAATAATTAATTTTAAATAAGCTTTAAAAAAAATGTGTAAATAAAATATTTATTATTTATTTTCCTTTTTATTCAATTTATAATACTAATATTTCTTTGCTTGAAATCTGCAAAAAAGTGAAAAAATAAATATTTATTAAAAGAATAAAAGGTATAATTAAATAGGAAATATTTGTTTGTTTTGTTTTATCAAATAGATAAAATCCTATTTTTATTATTCAACTGTAATTTGCTTTCATAAGTACTATAAAGCAAAACACAAAATTATTATTTAGATTTTAATTAATCAAAAGTTAATTAAATTTTGTATTTTTTTTTTTTTTTGATTACATAGTGCTCAGATTTTATAATAATTGTTTTTATATTCTAATTTATTAATTAATGTAATTAAAATTTATTAGTGGAGCTCCAGGGCCTTGTTCAAAGGCTGGCTGTGTTTGCCCAGGATTTCAAACAAGTTTTTCATGCTAATGTGGAGGATCTTGGTAAAACCACGATACTATAGTTGACACAGAAGAAGAAAGAAGATAATAAGGTAAACCAGTAGATACTGATGTAGTGAAAACGAGACTAAAAGATAAGTAAGTTGAAGGTTGTGGTAAATGTATGGGCTGTAAGAATAGAATGCCTTGCTACAATGGAAGAAAATGATAATAAAAATATAATTTTTAAATAGATTTTAAAAATAATCTAAGACAGTTATTAAAATTGAAAATATATAAAAAGTACTCAAAATATTGATTAAGATTTTAATGTTATCTTTCCTCTCTGAGACAAGTTCGATTAAATATTATCCACTGGTATGAAATAAATAAATTTTATTAATTTATATATATTATTTTACATTTATTTTACTCTAAAATTAATTCATCAAATTTTATTTTTCTTTTTTCAATGTTTTTGTTTATTATAGTTAAACAGATAAACTGAGAAAAAATATTTTATACTTATTTTAATTTTATCTGTGTTTTTTCTTTATAATTTACTTTATATATCATTATCCTTTATTTTTTTCAATTTGATAAAATTTAGATTTATTGCTAAACTTATTAATAAATAATTTTACATAATAGCTGTAGATTGAATATTATTTTTTAATTAATTATTTCATATTTTGATCTAATATTTGCTGTAAAAATAATAAATATTTAAATGTTATTCTAACTAAAAATATTGAAGTAAATCAATAAGTAAATTAATAAATGAGCACTTTCTATTGAATTAAATTTTTTTAAATTTTATAGAAAAAATAAGATGGCAATCAAATAATAAAATACATTATATAGACTGCTTAAACACGTTTTTACAAATAAATTAAAAAATTTACTAAGGTTAGTTATTTTATCAATTTAGGTATTTATTAAATACTTAATATTTTGATTGTTAATTTGATTAATCTTTTTGTTTTTATGTTTGTTTGTTTGTAAACTTGATTGCTTGCTTGTATTGTTAGATGCTTTTCTTTTGAAAGTATGTATATTTTGCTTAATAATTTGTAAAATTCAAAAAATAGATTGAAAATATTTATCAATCTTATTCATATTGTTGTAGCAAATCAGCACCAAATGTACTCTTTTTAGAGGGTTTCTTTTTTATAGGCTTCTTTTTAGGTAAAGGCTGCTTTTTAATACCAAACTTGGACAAATCTCCTAAGCAATCTGTATTTTCATGCTAGACGTTTTTATTTATGAATTCTTCTATTGTAGATTTTTGGTAGAATTAATTATAGTTTACTAAATATTTATAGTCATCTTCTGTTATCACAATAACAGGAACATTTTATGGGAAGGCCTAGTTTTATTATTAGTGTTCTAGTGGTATTTATTTTTACTACATTTTATTTTTTTCATGGAATTTTAAAATTTCAGAAACTCTAAACTGCTAACTTAGGATTTCTTCATTAAATTTAGCAGCTCTTTCAATAGAATATCTTAAGACAGATTCTTCATCAAGATTGTTGAGTGGTCTTATTTCTTACTAAGGAGCTCTCCATTTCTCTTCTTTGTTTTTGTGACGATACTTCCAGAATTCATTTTTCTTTTTTTCATTCGCTAATTTTAAGCTATTTTAATTTTTGATATCTTATTGGTCTTATGATTAGCTTTTATCACCTCCTAATCCACCTTTTTTCTTTGATTTCTTTTTGCCTCCTTCAACTGAACCACCTTATCCATCATCTTCATCTTCTTCTCCTTCATCGTCATCATCTTCTTCATCTTCATCTACTTCGTCATCTTCTAAATCTTCATCATCTTCTCCTTCTTATTTATTATCATCTTCTTCCATTTCTAGATCTTAATCTTCTTCTTCTTCCATAACAATTTACTATTTATCTTCATCATCTTCATCATAATCTTGTTGCTATTAAGGTCCATTTCTTTTTCTTGAAGAGCTTACTTCTTTCTTCTATGGAATAGCACTCTATTAGGATGATGGTTGCTTTCCTCCTCTTGTCTTAGATTAACTCGCCTATTGCTATAGTTATAATCTCACGTCTTATTGAGACTGATTTCTTGTTGAAGATCTCCCACTTGTTCTAATGCTTTACTAGCTTTAAAGATTTTATTCATTTTTTTTTGAAGATGCAGCATTTAAACTTAAATTGCTTTAATTGCTTAAAGCTTAACTTCTTCCTTAGCGACCTCCTCTAGTTCTTGAAACGGTTTCTTATTCTTTTTAAACTTAAACTTATGATTTGCTAGAAGTTGAAACTCTGCTCTTTGCTTATTTTTTCTTTGAAGAAACTGCATTAAAATCATCATCATCGTCATCGTCATCATCAACTTCGTCTTCATCATCTTCTTCGTCTTGCTAAATTTATCTATCATCTTCATCGTCTTCCTCCTCCTCTTCTTCATCCATTCTTTACTACTTTTAATTATAATTAGTCTAGCTTGTACTTCTCTGGTTGTTATTATATTAAGATTAGATTTATTTTTTGTTAGACATAATATCATTTTCCGCGTTATTATCTGAACCAAAATCATATTCATTATTTTAATCGTTTTCATCTTAAACTTAGTTATTTTCATCATCTTAATCCTCTTCTTCTTCGCCTTCACCTTCCTCTTCTTCATCTTCACCATCCTCTTCTTAACCTTAGTTAGCTTCATTAGCATTATTATCTTCTTCAGCCTCATCATTATATCCATCATCCTCATACCCATACTCGTCTTCAAGATTATTTTTATCTTGATCCATATTTATTTCTTCGTTACCACTGCTATCCATTCCTCAAAATTAAAATGATAACTTCTACTCTAAAAAATATCTAAACAATCCTATAATTATATATTATTTAAACCCGCTAGATATATTTTTTCAAATTAGTTTGCTATTTGATTTCTATTTATCTATCTATATAAAATATTAAATAAATTAAATGCTAATACCTTAAATTGAAATTATTTCTTGTTTATTTAAGAATTAAAATATGATCTACCCACCCACCTTCTTTTAAATAGTTTATATAAAAACATTTCTCACTATCAAATATCTATCTATATATATCTTTGCTACCCTAATAAGTATGAAAAAAAATTTTATCTTGCTCTTTCTTCAGTTGTAGTTCATATATACTTTTTATTTTCTTCTTCTTTCATTTAAAAAATAAATGTTAAATTTCTAAAAGAAAAGGGAGACCAGTTTATATTAGATTATTTTTTATTTTATTATTAGTTTTCACTTTAATTATTAAAAAAATAAAACAAACAATCATAATTCTTAAACTGTGTAAGCAAATAAGGAATTTGAGAATTATCTAGATATTTTGTAGTCTCATCGAATGAATTTTATATAAATTATTTTTTTATAATTTTTTATAGTTTTAATAGATTTTAATCAAATCATCATTTATAGATTTGTTTAAATATAGTAAATGTTTGATACATGTTAAAAACTTATCTAATTAATAAATATTTTAATAATTTAGATGATAAAAGTAAAATATTTCTGAAAATAAATAAATAAATTTCTTTAACAAGGCATAATTAGCAAATCAAATAAAAAAATATCTTTGATTATATATTAATTGGATTTATCAATAAAATAATTACAAATCTTTCTTTTATTTTAGGAAAATTAAATAAGAAAAATTAACTAGTTTGATTTATATTTTATTATTAAACACCTACTCTTTCTAAAAAATAATTTTTTAGGGTAAAATAATATTAATTAGATAAGGTAATAGAATTCATAAAAATTAAAATTTATTCTTGCACATTTAAACTCTTATTTTCAAAAAATTGTTTGAAGAATCAGAGAAATATAAAAGATAAAAATTATATTAATCTTAAATTTAATTACAAGTAAATAGCATTTTTTTAAATTTTATTGAACCAGTTAAATGTTATTGTAAGTAGGTATTGATTGATTAATTTATTTTTAAATTGAAGAAATTTTTTATTTTTAATAATTTGTTAAAATGAACAAGAAATTTTATAAATGTATTATAAGAAATTGTTTAATTTATAATAGGAAATTATTGCTTTAAAAATATTATTATGTATTTAAAGAATATTTAGATGTTTAAATAATTCGATGATAAGTTATTTGAAAGAATATAATAATCGTTGTTTTTCTTAATTTGCTTACTCTTTTTTATTGGGGATAATTGCAGTTTATAAATGTAAAAAAAATAGAGTAATAAAAAAATTATAATTTAAAATTTATTGAATGAAATCTAAATCCAAATCAATCTAATAATACAGTTTGTATTTTATAAATAGGATTTGTAGGAATTATTTAAATCTTGAGAAGTTAGTTTTATAATTTTGCATCAAAATAAAAACGTTGTAAAGAAGAATTTATTTTTCAGGCTATTAGGGAAATCAAATAAATCTAGTAGCGATTTTTTAATCACATGAATCACATAAATTCAAATATTAAATTAGGTTACATCCTGTTAATTATAAATTATAATAAAAAAATCAATTTGTGAAGTGGAATAAAAGTATTATCTAATGGTCTAACAAATTTTTGAATAATTTAGTGATAAAATACAAATTTGATTTTTCAATATTTGTTTACTCATCCAAAAAATAAAAATATTATCTAATATATTGGCGATCTAAAAATGAGATTTAACCATAAATTAAAAATACTATTCAAATGGAAAATTAAAAAATGAGTGGATAAAATTTACAATAAAAATTGATTAGAAAATTACAACTAAGTTTTTAGAATTGAAATACAGATATATTTTAAATTGATTTAATATACATCTCAAGTTAGAATTGACATTTTATTTAAAATTTTTAAAAGAAAGATTATTTTGTGGAAATAAAAACTCAGGCTAAAATCCTTATGAATAACTAAGACTATTACTATTAATTACAAAAAGCCGATTGCTATGCTATTTTAAATTATTCTCAGATAATGTTTATATATTCTAATTATTTGAGTTAGAATAGATAGAGCATAAATTCGAATTATAACAGCTTAGTAAGATTTAACTATTACCACAAAATTGTTTGTAAACCAATTTAATAAAAACTTTATTATATACACTTGTTTTGCTTTACCTTCAGATATCTTTTCTTTATAAAATTATGATTTATTTATTTTATGAGATGAAATCCTTATTATTATTATGTTCGCTCATAAAAAAAATTTTTTTAAGGTTGAAAATACTATTTTATATCTTATTAGATCTTTTATTTTTAAGTAGAATTAATTTTAATACTAAAGAAACTAACGCATGAAACTGATTGATACAAATTTTAGGTTTTAACGTAAAAAATAAGATTGATTTAATCAGCCTCTTCTAGTTATTGAATATACAAAAATTGATTCGAATTTAAAAAAGTTTGAACAAGTTGGTCATTTTATTTTTTTAAGTCAATTTATTAAGATTTGTATATAAATAGAATACTACTAGTTAAAAAATATTATCTCTAAAAATTAAAAGGCAATTTGAATTAATGAAGTTTTCATAATAGATTACTAAATTATAATAAATTAATGAGTTATTTCTTATCAAATTGATAGTATTTATTTATTTGTAAAATTGAAAGATAGATAGATTGATTGATTGTTCATTTCTATTATTAAAGCAAAAAAAGTATTTATTTGTCAGTTTATAACAAAGATATCCTCAATCAGCACAACCGAAATGTTATGCTTCAGTAGAACGAAAGTTTAAACCATCATCCAAATATTAAAACATACAACTTAATATGCAAAAAGCCTATTACAGCTCTTAATAACATATAAAATTTAACTCACTTATTTAGCTTAATTTAATTATTTAATTTTTTAAGGGTCTGCCTCTTTATTAATAAATTAGTGTTAATATATAAACAAAAATTTTTGAATATTCATTAATTAGGTTAAGTATGCATTTTATATATTTGTAAACTAACAAAACAAAATTAAATCTAATAAAATACTCACCCTAGCCTATCTTTTTCTTTATATATTTGTACATATCACTTGCTTCTACTTTTTTCTTTAAAAAATTTTTAACTTTTAAAATGATTGCCTTTATTTAGTATCATTTTAACTACTTAGTTAAAATTATTTCAAATAAATTCTTACACTTATCTATATTTAAATTTTGAATAATGTTTACCATCTATCGCTCTATATTATATTGTTTTATAGATCATAATATTGTTAAATATCAACAATCACAATAAAATTAAATTGTTTAGCTTTTAAATTTTACAAAGCCAAACAGGAGTTGATATATTTTTGATGATATTGATGAAAAATTAGTCGAAAAATAATTTACTATTGGAAATACTTCACTAATATTGATGATTTGCCTTAAGAAACGATTTTATTACAGAGAACATTATCAATGACAATTAGGAAAATTAAACTCATATAAATAAGATTGAAATTTTAGTAAAAAATGTTAATAATTTTGGATTTTTATATATAAAAGGTTGATAAAGATTGAAATAATTTTATTTTTTAAACACACAGCATAATAATTCTAAAACCTAAAATAAGTTTGTGATTTTATGAGTAAAGTTAATGAACAAATCATAGAAAAAAGTAATAAATTTTTGCTTTAAAGACCTACTATTTTGATAAAAAATAAAATAGTATGCGGTATGATAATTAATAATATACTTTGTTTGTTAGCAGACTAATTATTTTACAAATAAATCATAAAAAGAATTACAAAGACTTATATCGATCTATGATAGTAAATAATTTTAAGGGTATTTAGTAACTCAATTTTTGAAAAGATATTTTCTCTTTTCCATAAAAAAAATAAAATTTGGATATTCAAACAAATTCAAGCTTATATTCAATAGTCAATTTTTTATATATTATATTTACAAATTCATTTACTTTTTTCATCAAATTTATCACGTTCTAAAACAACATGAATTTTTAATAAGTAAGATCAAATATTAGACATTACAACATTTTCTCCCTAGCCCTTACAAAATAAAAAATATAATATACACATAGAAACATTTTAACTCTAAACTATTTAAGCATCAACATAATTAACTTAATCAATTTTACTATTTAATTTTTATTTTTGAAAGGTAATTTATAAAAATTTTACTCATGTAAAACAAAATGTAACAAGCCTTGAAATTCATTTTATATTTTCACATTTTTTATTTTTAAATTAACTCTCCCAAGAAACTAAATTAAGGTGCTTTGTCTCTTTATAAAAAAAGTAAAATGTTTAATTTATTCATTAACTATTTAAATAAATCTACAATAAACTCTTAATTAATGCAAAATAATGTTTAACTCTTTGAACAAATTTCAATCTAGTAATTACCTTGTTTCCTTGTTCAAGTCTCTACTAAATTTAGAAGAGGGGTTTTTTTTAGCTCAAAAAATTGAAAGATTTTTTTCTTTTTAATATTCCAAATTAGTGTAACTAGGCATAAGGAAATACGGTGTTACACTTTAGTTTTTGATGTATCTTTAAATTCAAGAATGTAGTTTTTACTTACTTATAGAAGAATATTAATTACTTACAAAGTGTAATTAAAATTTTTCTATTATTAATCTTTTTTTAGATTTAATGAAGATTCTATGATAGTTTAAAATCTCATATATATGAAAATTCATTTATTTATTATTTTTATATGAATACCTTTAAGTATCATTTATCTTAGTCCTAACAATATTTAGCAATTACAATTTTTAATATCAACTAGAACAGAATAGTTTGAGTTTATTATATTATATTTTAAAACACATTTAATTGCAATTTTCATCGAATGCTTAGCGATGAATCCAAGGAATTTTCCTAATCTTACAATTTATATGAGATAAGTTCTATTTCTTAAATGATTAAGTGTACTCGACTCCTCGAACTGATATTTTATTTATTAGCAATTAAAATAGTAAGTTTAATTTTATTTAAGCAAAAATAAAAATTGACTTACTATCCAATTAAAATAAATTTAGTTTATTTAGATTACTTAATTAAGTATTTTATATTTCTTATTTATGATTTGATATTTATGTAAGTTAATATTTTTTTGTTAATCTAAAATATTAATTTACCTCTTCAAGCTGTAATTGTAAATTTAATTTATTAGAAGCACTATTACTTTATTATAAGATGATATTTTGTATGCTAAAATTTTTTCTTGGGTACTATTGAAATATTTTAAGACAAAACTCAGTAATTAAAATCTAGTTTTACAAAAAGTATAACTTTTTTAAGTTCTATAAATAAAAAATATAATTAATCTTATTAACTGGTTAACTTTAAAATATAAAAAGATTTTGTATATTCTTCCATCCATAATAATTATAAAAACAGAAAAATCGTTCTTAATTTTAAAAGTATAAAATTAAAAAAAATCTTTTCCTTGAAAAAAAATTTATTAAAAATAGATGCATTTAAAAGTAAGCATCATGGCTATGATTTTTTTTATTAATTAAACACCTTTGATTCTTATGGTGAAAACCAAAATATTTCATGAGTAAAATTATAGCTTAAATTTGAAAGAGTATGTTTACTGATTTAATTAAGTTTAACATTTAAAGAAATATTTCAAATATCATCAAATATGTAAAAGTAATAATAATCCTATCTTTCTACAATAAAATATCATATAATAAAAATTGATTACATAGTACCCCAATATTTTTACACTTAGTCTTTATGTGTTAATACAGTCTGTTAGTAACTAAAGGTGACAATTTTAAGATATCTAAGGTTGGTTCTAGTTTAGTTATTTACCAGAATTTGTGAATTGATTATCATATAATGAATCAATATTTGTAAATATTTATAAATTTAGCATCCTATTTCAATAGAAAATAAACAAATAAATAAGTACTACCCCATAATATTGGTTAATTGATTATAAAATATTAATCGATATGTATAATTTAGAAAAACCAAATTAATTTTTTTTTTAATTTCTAATAATTTTTTTATATGATTACTTTAAAATATTCTTTTATATTTTTAACATTTTATTCGATTTAATGTTTGCACCTAAGAATTATTTATTGGGCCATTAATAATTTTTACCAACATTAAAGTAAAAATATTAATCGATGGCAGAGTTATTTTAATCATCATAGTTAAGCAACCTCAAAATATTTATTTAATTACTTTAATATTAATTTTGCTTCAGATGTGAAAATTAAAATGAATGTAAACTAGATTTGGCTTAACTTAAAAATTATCTATACATTAAAAATTTTAAATATTTTAAGTTATAATTTATAAAGATCATTCTTAAGTATTGTTCTACTTTATTAAAATAATTTAAATTTATTGATTATTGAATTTGCATTTTAAAAGTTATTCTATACCAAAATACTTAATTATAAAGATTTGCTGTCAAGTATTTATTAATAATTGATTTTAAAATTTGTATGGTTTTTAAATTATTATTTGAATATATTTTGATAATTTGGAAATTATTAGTTTGCTGTTCTATTGTAAGTTATAAAGTTAATTAGAAAGGAGCTGTTAAGAAAGAAAGTAAATTATTATTGTTTTAGGATAAGATGCCTCCCAAGAAAAAAGATGAATTGAAATGTAAGTTTATAACATTGAATAAATAATTAAGCTTACTTAAGCAAAGAGAATATTATCTTATTTTTTATGTATAATAATAGAGATTTTACCTATTTACAATGCAGATAAAGCTGCTCCACTCTTTTGGAAATATTAACAATATTCATTAGAAGATAGATAATTGTTTGATGCGTTTTTCTTGAACTTTTAAAAGGAATTATAAATAAAAATGACAGATAATATATACACAAATATGGAATTTCTCTGTTAGAGTATAGGTAAGACTTTTCCTTACTTTTCCCCTATTTATTTATCAATCTAACCCAAATAATTTTGTGAATTTTATGAAATCTAAAAAGGAAGCAAAATTCATCCTCTTTTTAAACAGGTTACTTTAGATGAATAGATAGAAACGAAAACATTAAAGCAAATAGATTTGGAAGACTAAAAAAAGCAATTAGAGGCAGAAAATATTGCTAAAAGCTCAAAAAATGTGAAGAATTAAATTTAGCCTTAAGTGGATCAAAAAAATTAAAAAAAAGATGATTAAAAGGGAAATGCAGTAACTTCTGGCAAAGAAGATTAAAAGAAAGGAACAAAAAAGGATGAAAATATTCAGCAAGGAGGAAAAGATCCAAAAAAACTAACAGAATTAGAGCTATAGGAAAGCGAAGAAGAAATAAAGCAAGAAATGCTACCTTACTTACTGATAAGCACTCAAAGGATAGATTATCTAACTATGAAAATGATCATATTTTAGCTTCCATTCACCAATATAAATACACTAAAGTAAATTAAAAGCAATAATAAATCCATAATATTTATATTTAAATTAGCAAATTTTGAATTCTCAGACTACTATTTAGTTTATTAATTAATTAACTCAAAAACAAATAAATAAAAGCAAAAAGTTAGTAATTACTTATTGTATCACTCTTGGGTTAAATTTTATTTGATGTTGAATTTAAATTTATTCAATTTTTTAGCAATTATTTGTTCATTTGAGAATTATATTGAGTATGAATTAACTGGAGGATTAAATAAATCTACTTTTACAAATAGTTTTTTATTATTTAAGAAAGCCATCTAATCAATGCTATTTTTTTGTATACAAACAATTAAGCAAATAAAACTAACAAATAGCGAAAGCTATACTTTTTATAAATGAAAAAACTACAATTTGAATTTTTAATTATTTTAAAATGACAGTAAACAATCAAAAAAAATTTTTTAATGCTATTTTTTTATATAAATAAAATGAAAGAAATGCTTCAGATAACATAATTATATTTTTTCTTTTATGTAATTTAAATCTAAGCAACGCTAATCAATTAATAATTATTATTAATCAGATACTTATAACCATGAATGGCGTTATAATTTGTAAGAATTTGAATCATTTTAATTTAAGTTAATCTTCATATTAATTATACCTAAAAGTCAAAATTTAACCTATTATGTAAGAACATTTTAAAATAAGCTTTTTATATTCAAATTTGAGAATCGAAATTAAATGAATTAGATGAATATTAAATTTTTATCATAAATTATCTAAATATTTTACTTTAGAATTATGTTTCTAGCTAATACAATTTTCTATAAAATTATAAAATAGGAAAAATAAGCTTAGTTGTTAATCTTATTTTATTTTCTTTTGTAATTACTAAATAGATTGCATAATAATATGTTTGATGATGAAACTCTTGAATTACTCATTTCGTTCTTTAATTCTGATGGTATAACAATAAATTTATTTAAAAAACTTATAAGCTAGAATTAGATTTATTTCTAAAATTTTTATGAATTAATTAATAATATACTGAACTTTTACTACAGACCACAAGTAAAAGAATACTGTTTAGATCTGATATTATTTACTATCATAATTAATCTTAAAAAGAAGTTACTTCTCATAGAGTAAAGCTAGAGAAATGCACAAATGTTTACATATAACAAAAATTTAATTTTAAAAGAGTATATTAGATAGAACAATCCATCAAATAAAAACATGGAAATATATTTGATATAATTGATGAATCCCAAACATAGATTGAATTTTTAAATTATTTTATTAAACATTTAAGAAAAATAAAAGAACATCACATTTATATAATGATAAGTTATCTATTTTTTTATTAATCGATTTAGTGAGCTAGAAAATTAAGAAGTTGTTTTTTGAGTGGAATAATCTAATTTCTTCATAGAAGAGAACTTTATTTTTCTAAACTGTTTCCAAATCTATTTATATTGACAATTTAATTCTAAGATGTAACAGTCTATAAGATGAAATGACTACAATTATTTCTTAATAGCTGATTCCAAGTACCACAGCTCAAAGCTCTAACATTAAATTTCTTGACCTATATGATAACTAGATAGGAATTTAAGGTATTTTTTATTTAAAGCATTTTCAGTGGCTCTTTTTTGGTATAAATAAATCATTGAATTTATAATCTATACTCAATATATCTGTGGTCACTTTTGTAATAATTGAAACAAAAAATGTTTAAACTTTTTTCTAAATTAATTAACTAGGATTTCAGTAATTGGGCAAAATGATATACAAAAATAAGAGTTTAACTACTTTAGGTTTATGTAAAAATGGAATATCTAATGTTTCTGAAATTGAATAAATCTTGATAAGTATAGGAAAATACCCTATGAGCGAGGAGTAATATTAAGCATACAGAAATTCAGAAAAAGAAAGAGATCAGATTATAGAACGCAATAAAAAGGTACACATAATAATTTAATAGCATAAACAATAACAGAAGTTTAACTTTATATAATTCTTATAAAATTTTTATTTGAAAATTTCACAAAATATATTTAATTTCATTACTTCAACGCCTAATTGAAAGTAATGCAGAGTATTTTTTAAATATTTCGTAAATATTCTTAGTAATAATTTATATTACAAATTATTAAGCTTAAAGGAAAAAAATTATTAGAAGCAGAGCCTGTCCCAGAACTAGAAGCAATTGAATAGATAACTGAAAATAGTAAATTAATTTATTCTATTTTTTAAAAAGCTTGAATAATTTCACTTCAGGATCAACTTTGATTAAATTATTTTCTATCTAAAATAAACAAAAATATCTATAATAACTCATTTCATCATCATACCAGTGTAAGATAAAATATGATAAAATTTCAAATTGAATTGCAATGATTTTTTAAATATATCCATCAACCCCTTTCTTTATATTCAGTTATGAGCTAATTGAATATTTAAAAATATATTATTAAAATATTTTTATCAAAAAGACTAAGACTATTTTAAATAATAAATAAAGAAATATTATGAGTAAATATATAACTAAAATTATCATCAAATTTTAATACTATTAATGGTTTTTATATTGTGAAATTAGAAAATGAAAAATAATATTTTAATCTGTTAGTTGATTAATTATTAAAAAAATGATTTAAATAATCAATCTGTGTTGTAGGTAACTAACAACACAAAAAATTATTCTATTTTCTTTAAAAAGGAAGGAAAAAGCTTATAAGTATAATTTACATAATCTAAATTCGATTTTATTTGTAAAAGAATATTTATGATGAAAATAAATAATTTTTAGTTAATGGAGTAACTTTTAATTAATTTGCAATTTAAGGGCAAACTCAATTAATAAATTTACTGTTTTATTCTATTCGCTACTTTGATTGTTTATCTTTGGCTTACAAATTAATCTTTTAGTATGTGATTGTAGGTTTTTTTAAAAAAAAAGTAAATTAAAAGCTATAAAGATTGATAAATAGATAATCAGCTAGTTAGTTGTTTAGCTAACTATATGACTAACTGACTGAAGAAAAAAAATTTTAGGGCAATTTTTGATTTAAATAAAAATTCATGAAAATAAATTAATTCAATTAAATTTGAGGTTTATCTCACAATACATTCATTTATACATACATATATCTATATATTTTTTATCTTTTAATTCGATATGTTTTTTAAAAAATTTATTTTTTTCTTTAACTCAATAATAGAATGGGCAATTACGAGGAACAACACTTTGTCTATGCTGAATTTGTCATTAAATTAGTTGAATGATGAGTCAGTTGAAAGATTTGAGAACTTTTTGCAAGTCGTACATGATAATTTTTAAGTTATATTGAGCTTCAATAACTTTGAGTAGAGATCAAAGGAAAGACTTAAAAAAAAATTTAATAAAAAAATTGCTTTGTGAGAGAAAAAATTCTTTTTTAATAAAGTTAGTTATTACATGCAATTTTTGAGAGTTTTTCAAAAACTTGTAAGCGAAAATTTAATGTTTGAAAACCAATTTTGCTTCTGTAAATTTTGTTCTTTTTTTAAATACAAAAATATTTATTTGTTAGTTTATATAGTTCTTTATTTTATAAAAATTGTTTAATTTTCTATGGTAAAAAGTATCATATATTTTTACATCAAATATTTATTAGAAATCCATTTAGCCCTTAACATTCAAATTATTTTTTTGTTTTTGATAAAGAATTTGTTACATTCTAAGATATTTTTCGGAGCTGAGAACATCATAAAATATTTTTAAGATTTTTCTCTAAAATAAAATATATTTTTCTTTAATTAATACTAAATTGTTTAATTTATTTTTATAAATAAAACTCATGTTCATAAAAGAAAACAGCTTTTGGCATATTTTAAAGTAAATTCAATTATTTTTGAATGGTTAAATAGTAATTTTTGAATTTAAATGCAAAAATAATTCCAAAATGAAAAGGTATCACTGATTAAAAAATAATTAGTATTTTTAAAAATTTATATTGAATGGTTTTTATTTTGTATAAAACCAAAGATTTTCTTTAATTTTATAGCGGAAGAAATACCTCAATTAACAAAATACAATAATTAATTAAAAAAACTAATTGTGATTTAGTAAATTAATCATTTTTCCAATTTTTAAAAATAAAATTATCACTTCTACTTTCATAGATTAAATAATATTAAAATATAGATTTAAAAATCAATATATGTATTTGTTGCTTATTTATTTATGTAAATTTTTGCTAAGATTTGTGATTAAATAAAGTGAGACATCATTTGTCCTTTAAAATATGATATAAAAATAACATTAAAAGTATTGAAAAGAAATAAATTTTTTTAAGAAGGGAATTCTGTGTGAAATTAGATGAAAAAATTTGAGATGTTGATTAGAGTGATTGTTAAATATAAGAAAAAAAAGGAAATTTATCAATACTTTCCTAAAACAAATATTAATCGTGAATTAAATATAAAAAATAAAGGCAAGATAAATAAATATTTGAGAATCAAATAAAAAATTAAACAAACTACTAGACTGTTGGCTGCCTCTATTAATATTTTTTTATTTTAATTAATACATTAAAAATTAAATAAATGTAAATTTAAAATACATACAATACTCTATCTTAGCTCTATAATTGAAATTGGGAGCTAGAAAACTTTTTAGAAATCTAATTCTTTTTTAATTATTTGATGTAATGTTATCTCATGTTGATATATTTTTTTTAGAAGAAGCATTGATATAGAATTATTAAATTTTTGACTATAAATAGTTCTAGTAATAAAATTTATAGTAGTAACAACTTATTACTTTAAATTTTATTGTTTCTCTAAATTAAAAGATAATGTTAAATTGTATTGTGTAGTGTCTTTTTGATGATAAAAGATTCAAAGAAATTCTGTAGTCAATTGTTTGAGATTTATATTTTTTATTATTTTGAAATGACTAGTATTTGTTCGTCTAGAAAGCATTTGTTTAATACTTATTAATAATATAATTAGTGGACTACTAGAAATAATTAACGTAATTTATTATCATTTGTATTATAATTTATTTATTTGTTTACTTTAATATTTTAACAAGTAAAAATAAAAGCACTATCTGATTTTGTTTACAAACAAACAATTTTTTAAACTAAAGTTTTTGATGTTGATTTTTTATGTATACTTAAATTTTTATCAAAGTTTTTTTATTTTTTCGAATAGAAACATTATTTTTAAAACTTAAAAATGACAATATAATCTTTAAATTTTTCAGTTAACACTATTCGAAACTAGTATTTTAGAATGTTGATCTATTGTAAATACCACAATTTCTATTAATAAAGAAACTAGATAGATACTTTGGTTAGGCCCCCAATAATATCAATATCTAATAATCAATAAGATTTTGCTGTGGCTAATTTGAGATTTAAAACTAAATTGAAAATCATTTGTGTAAATCCCATATAAACAAAAATAAAATAACTCAGAGATAAACAAAATTATTTTTTTTTTGTCAAAATACTTTTATTTACAATGTTAATTGCTTGTTTAAGGATTTTAAATCAATTTTTCTTATTTGTTTAGTACTTCTTTTTGATGTTTGTTTAGCTGATAGATAAATTAATTAAATGAATATATAGATGCATGTATTTATGAAAGAATGTCTATGTTAAAAAATTTCGCTTTGCTTGCCTGCAATTATAATAATAAATATATGCTCTTTTCATTATCTGTTCGATTATTTTAGTTTCAAAAAAAAAAAAAAATCAACGGGGAGGGAGAATTAATTAGTGTCTCTTTAAGCTAAAAGACTAATTCGTGGGGGTAGTCACTTTTAATTAAAATTGCTTACAAAAAATTTTGCTTAGAAGTTAATTGTTAATTAATTTATAGGGCTGATCGAAGATGGGTAAAAGGGTAAAAGAAAATTGACGATAAAATCTGTTTAGTTTTAACAAATCATCCAAGATTTAACCTATTAAGAAATTAATAAAAATAAGCTAAAAACTAATTAAAAGACTCACCAGTTATGCCTTTACATATGACTAATAAATTGCTTTGTTTTTTTGTATGTAAACATCTCATCTAAAATCAAAATCCAAGCAATTAATATTCTTATAACAATTAATTAAAAAAAAAAAATCAAAAAGAATAAATTTCATTACTCAAGAGAACTTCTTTTCTCTTTAGACTACAACCATAAAATTTAAACTCTAAAAAGCGAAAAATTCAAAAGGGCTCATAAGGCCAAACACCTTTAAAAAACAAAGAAATAAATTAAAATTTATCGAAATATCAAAAAAACATTAAAAAATGTCAATTGCAAATGCATAGGCTAACTAAGCCCATTACCTCTATAACTAATATATTGACTTGAGCAACGAAATATCAAAGGCACGTGAAGAAATATATGATGCCTGTGAAAAATTGCATTTAATCATGGAAGACACCAATCCTTCATATTAAAAAGACAACGCTATGGCCATCGAATCCTATAATTATGCCAAAAAAAACTATCAAACTCCTTACTACAAGGAAATCTTGCGTGTTATGGGTAATTTCTAAAAGCGCATCAATAACTCCAAGATAAAAATGGAATAACTTCAAAAGAATGCAAAGAGCTACGAATGCTGCAGTATTTGCAGTAGAAATAATCAAATTAAATATTTCTTGCTTAGTGAATATTTCAAATCAGATTCAAATTTACAAACTCCTACTCTAGGTTCTGTCTCAACTATTTCAACTTTAAGCGACTCTTTATCATCGTCCACTAGCTCAATTCAATCAGTTTGAATAAAAAAATGAAATTTATTTGCTGACTGGTTGATTTATTGATCTTTTGAGTTATTTACTTACTTTCTAATTATCTCTGAATTGAGTGAATGCTCGTTTACTAACAACTATCTTCTCAATCTTTCCTTATACTTATCTTTTTCGCAATATTTATTTTTGCTAGAACTCATTCTTCACTTGCTTAATTTGCTTTCGCATATCTTTCTAAATAAAAATAACAATTAATAATAGATATTTTAGCTACCAACAATAATCTATTTTCAAAATAAATAATTTCATTATACTAACCAATGTAAATTTATTATACACTACACCAACAAAAGTCTCAGCTATAAATTACTGACTTGCTATCTCAACACAAAAAAGAAGCTCAAAAAAGTATGTAGTATCTTCTTTCTCAATAAGTTCTACTGCTTTAGCTTTTCTTGCTCTTCGATAGATACTTAACTTTATTTATCAATTTTAAGTTTAAATAAATGTACTTATTTATAGAAGCATCTCCTTTCTAGTCTAAATAATATTTATCAAAAAATTCATAATTCGCAAAATATTAATTAAACCTTCGTTAACAAAATCCTAATAACCAAATTATTTATCATCCAATTCAAATTAAAAATTTTCACTGATATTTTAGCAAACAAACAAATATCATCAAATAGTATTGTAAACAAAATAAATCACAAGAACATAACAGATTCCCTACTAATTAATCCCTCTATTCAAAATATATTTATGCTTTAATATTACATCAACTAAACTTGATTGTAAGTCATATAATTAAAATGGGAGCTATGAACAAAATACATTTTTGTGTTTTGAAATAATTTTACTTGATTTTCATATAAACAAATCAAAAATGAAAAAGAGGTAGAATTTTTAGGGATTTTATTTGATGATTGAGTTGCCTGAAAACATCGTATTTATCAATTAAATTTATACTATTAAAACAATAATTAATTTATTAACAAAACCAAATATAAAACCAAAAAAATTTTGTACTAAATTATATAAACGTATTTATTTGTCAATATTTATATGAATTAAATCTTCTAAATTAACAAAAAAATTAACAAATAACTTCTTCAATCTCCTCACTCTCCTTTTCCTCTTCCATATTAAATTGAGATAATTTTAATTAATTGATACTTTTGATTACAAAAAATATATGTAAGTAATCCATCCGCGAGATATTATTTACTGCATAACATTTAACTCCTTATTTCTTTTATATGTAACAAATTTTTAATTTATATTTTAGTTAATTTATCAATTCAGTATTCATTTTTATACTCATTTTTAATAACAAAATAAGAACTTTTGTATAATTTCTTAAAATATTTTCAATTTAATTAAATATTTACTATTTCTTCAAAATATCTTTTAAAAATTTTCTATTATTCCATTAAATTATTTATGAGCTTATTTACCTTCTGCTTGCTTTTATTTATTAAAATAATCAATTACTATTTTTGAGTTTTTTGATTTAATTTGTTTTTTCAAATCTACATTTGAAAATAAATCAAATTCTTTTATCTTGCAAGTTTATCTATAATAAAAACAACCAAAAATGGTTTACGAAGTGATTACAAATTAATTTCGAAATAAATAACTATTTTAAAATTAGATAAAATGGATATTGTAAATATAATTTTTCATAGTGCTGTCTAATATGCAATCAAAGTCGTTTCTTACACCAAAAAAAGACTATGAATAAAGCTAATTATCAAATTGTATTTTCTTCTTTTTTATTATTTTGATTGTAAAGTATTTGTAAATAAATGGTAAATCAAAAATTCTTACAATCACAGATGCATTGGTTACATAATTTTTGATTATTAACGAACTCAACCCATATTTTCTAATTATGGAATATGGCTATTTAAATTATAAGCTTTGATGATATTTCAATAAAAATGCGAATTTTTTTAATTTAAAAATCTTCAGTTTATAGCATTTATTTAAAAAAATAAGATGCTAAAACTGGTTGTGCTCAATTTAGAGTAATTTTATGAATTTTCTATTTTTTAGTAATTTAAAAAAGCAAAAAAAAACACAAAAAATTTACTTCATAATTTTTATTAAATTGATAAGAATAGATAACTAGAGTTTTTCATACAAAAACAAATAAACAGTGTAATTATTTTCAAAATCACAAAAATAAATTAAAAAATTTTTGAATTATCTTTTTTGCTTACAGAATTTGAAGTTTTCTCAAATCATAGAAATAATAATAAATTTTTTCATTAAATCAAATCAAAAGGGCAAAATCAAATCAATTTTATTTGCATAACATTAATTACTTTTAACAAAAGGATCAAAATAAATCCAAAATTAAAAATATTAATTCTATACTCAATGCTAAATTAAATATTGTAAACTAAAATAAAAATTATTTGCTATTATTTCAAGGTAAATTTATTTTTAAATTAATATTTTGTTAAAAATTAAATAGTTTTGTGTGTATTTTGAGTATTGCCATTATTAAAATTCAAATACAAAAATTAAAAGCTAGAGAAATAGAAATTTTGATTTAGAAAAGCTTTCTTTATATTAAATATTTTGATGTAAATGTAAATGTTTAGAGGGAAAAAATTGGTTATCTTGTTAGTTAATTAATTAATTTGTTTATTGATAATATAAATTTGAAAAAAAATAATTTGTAAGTCATTTATCTAATGAATTTGTCACTTTTTTATTACCTAAGCTTACATATTAATTATCATTGTTCTTTGAATTATTATATAATACAAATTCTTAAAGTTAGGTTTTTTCTTTTCTATTTTTTTATTAGTTTTCGAAATCTAATCAGAATTTAATTACTATTTCATTTTTACATAAAACATTAAATAACAGAAATATTTCTAAAAAGCACAGTTAGAAAATGATTTTTACTCAAATATAAATATTTTTGAGAGAAAAAATATTACAAGAGTTTTATACAGCATCATAATATTTGAAAAAAATAACAAAATGTTACCTGTTTCATTAAATTTTGAGAGTCTGTTTTAGTAATAAATATATTTCAGTTACTTTTATATAGAGCCATATGACTAATTTTTCTAATCAGTAAGATAAATTATTATTGGTTAAATTAATTTAGACCACTCAAATACAACTAATAATTGATTTATCTTCAAAAAAAATATCAGTCTTTTTCGCTTTTATTTTATCTTACTTGTGAAAATGTAAATGAAGGATATTACTTGATAGTAGAACAATCAGAGTTTTTTTATATTCAAATAAGCAAGTTTAATATTATTTCATATTACTATCGTTTTACATCGATGTAAAAACAAATTTTCGAAATAACTATATAGAATTATATTTAATTGATGTTAATGCGTAGTTTTATTTGTTCTTAACTTGATTTTGCTTTTATTTACAACTAAATATCATGGATTTTTAATTTTTCTGGCTATTATCAACTTAAATTTTAGCCTATTATTTCTATATTATTACTAAAAGGGTTTTGTAAAAAAGTATAATCAAACCTGAAATTAAAGTTTTGTATTTGATCTTATTATGAGCAGAATTCAGTGGATTTAATTTTCCTACCCTTGAAAATATTCTTAGAAATAATCTAAAAGGTTTGAGACTGAATTTTTACTAGATTAAGTACAACTTCATGTGTTAATAGTGAAATTAATTAACATCTATAATTACTATTACAAAATTTACAACCAAAAAAGGGACAAATAGGCTGTCTCTATTTTGATAAAGTCAATCAAGCTTACTATATATTCTTTTTATTTAATTGATGGAGGTTTTGATGATTTAGGTATTTAATATATATTTTATAACAAGTTACAGATTCTCAACCTAATTTTAACTTTACTTTATTCTTTTTTTAAAACTGATTTTAAATAGTAATTTAAGCTAAAATAAACCTAGCCTGTCATTTTAGTTTCAAATATTCAGATTCTATTCAAATTTATTTTATCTAAGTAAAGAAAGTGAACGAAAATAAATAAATACCTTCTTACCAAGTAAAAAATGTTTATCTTAAAATATGCTATTTGAATTTTTATCCTATGCATTTGTCTTCTTTATTATTTGATAAAAAAAGTATCTTTAATATTTACTTAAGAGAGAGAAAAAGAGAAGGAATGAATGAGTGTCTTAACTTTTACAAAAACAATTTATCTTTACTTTTATACAAAAGAAGATATCTACAAATTTTAATTAATTAAATAGACTTTACTATTGTTTCTTTAATAACAAAGTTTTCAATTATTTCATTTAATTTTACAAAAGTTAAGTCTTCAAGAGATAAGAAAGAAAACTGAAAGAAAAACAAAATTATTTTATAATAGACAAACTAATAAAATGGATTTTGTTCATGCTTTTATTATGATTAAATTAGAATAATTATGAATTGACTAGCATATTAAATAAAAATCTATTTTGTTATTTTTTGAGATAGACATCCTCGTATAGAAAGTTATACAAAAAACAAGATATTACTTACAGATTTATTATGAATTTTCTATGGTAAAAAAAATTAATTAGAATACCTTCTTCTATTTCTTTTATTTTTGTAATTGGACATATAATCTTTTTGAAAATTGTAATAACCACAAAAATTATTAAATTAATCTGATTATATTCTATTTTACTCTAGAGAAAGTATGTAAAACTGTTATTTATTTATTTACTTTCCACAAAGATTATTTCTCCTTCTATTAATTATTCAATTAATCTTTTTACAAATCATTTATTAAAATAAATCTAAAATCATTGCGATTAATTTATATTATCTATATATATGTATGTAAGAATGCATTTTTGTTTTCAGGATATTTATTGATTATTAAATATCAATTTTATGGAAATCAAGCTTTTCTACTTCTTAATAAAAACATTTAAAATTTTTCTTTCTCATTTTTTCTTGTATTAATTAAACTGGCATTAGATAAAAATAGAAAGTAGTGTCTCCTTCTTGTGCATTTTAAAATATTAAAATGGTTAATCTTGATAAATTATTCAAAGCCTTTCATTTATTTTGAGATTTATAAGTAAAAACTCAATAAAGAATTTTTAAAAATTAGATTACAAAATGAATTAAACCATTCTATTCAATTAATTTTTCTATTTTACTAATTATACCTGAAATCAAATTTTACTGACAATATCTTTAGTGTTTTTTAATAAATTGAAGTTAGAATTTGATTTCGATATACTGTTGAGATGAGGTATTCTATTAATAATTATCGTAATTTAATTATTAATAATGATGTTGGCCACCAAATTAAAAAAAAAAACAGTATTAACATTTAAATTAATTATTTAGAAATGTAAGATTAAAAAAATTTTCATTTTATATAATTTTTCTATCTGACTATAATATTTAAAAAACCGAATATAGAAATAAATTGATTGCTTCGATTTACTCTGAGGTAAGCAAAAGTGACTATATTAATATAAATAAATATCATTCATAGACAATAGGATTTCCAAAAACAAATAGAAAAATTTATATATTAATCAAATTAGATTTTTTTCATTTGAAAATCAAAGTAGTTTGAATATTTTTTAAAATTTACACAAAGTATTTTGAATAAGAGAAAATGTAAAAGAATTTTCTCAAATATTTCTTTGTTTTTAAATAAATAAATAAATTAATTAAAAAATCAATGAATATTTTAGTATATGCTTTAAGCTTTAAAAGTAATTGAAAAACAAGAAAAAATAGTATATATGTATGTATTTAATTATTTAGTATTTATGTATGCATATCTTTGACAAATATTATGTTTAAAAATAGCTGTCTTATAAAAATCAAAATTTATTTAAATTTTTATCAATTTCTTGTATATTTTTCTACTAGCATCATTCATAAATCCAAGCATTTTGAGCAGGTTTCCAGTGAGTCAATTCAGAATCTTAGAACCAGATAGCAATTTCTCTCTTAGCACTTTCAACTGAATCTGATCCATGAACTAAATTCTTTTGCATAACGATGCCAAAATCACCTCTAATTGTTCCAGGAGCAGAGGTTAAAGGGTTAGTTTGACCAAGCATGGCTCTTCCCTATTTTACAACATCCTTACCCTACCAGACCATAGGGACTACAGGACCTGAAAGCATAAATTTAAGAAGAGAGGGGAAGAAAGGTTTGCTAATGTGTTCTTCATAATGCTTTTCTAAGATTTGCTTGGTAGCAAGTTGGAATTTCATTGCAATTAATTAGTAACCTCTGCTTTCAAATCTAGAAATGATGTTACCAACTAAACCTCTTTAAACGCCATCAGGCTTGATCATGATGAAAGTTCTTTCGTCAGCCATTTTTTTTAATCTCTTAAATTATTTTTCTATGCTTTTCTTTTTAAAATGATAGTTGCTAAATAAAAACAAAAAAAATATATTTATAGTTTTATTTTATATCTTTGAAGGATATTTTCAATCAGAAAGCAATCAGCAATCAAACAAATATATAGATAGATATAAATAGTATGTTTATTCCTACCTAATTTTAAATTATTTTTATTTTATAATATTAATTCACAAGAATAAATATAATATAAAATAATTAGCATTTTCATTTTATTTACGAATGAACTTACATTCCATAATAAATTGCTAAATCTAAATGGCCTAATTAATTTGTAATAACTACTGACAAAATTGCTTCTATAGAACAAAGATAACTGAGTTAGTCATTAGAAAATAATTTGTTAAAATTAATAATTTAGCAAATTTTGATCTAATTTAAATTAGTCTTTAATGCAAATAAAGAAATAAATGATATCTGGTTTAACTTAAAGTTAACTAATTGAAAAAATGTTTGATTAATTATAAATTTTGTGTGTAAAATATTGAATAGAGTATTATGTAATATTATTAAGGGATAAAATAATAGTATTATAATTAGCTTTGTTATTAAAATTATTACTTTTGTATCAAAATATTTATACTCTCTGTCTTAAAAATTAAATTATAGGTTTGCTAATGAGTACACTAAGAATTGACAGTAAAAAGCAGATACTGTAATATTATTATTATTAAAAAAAAAGGTACTATAACCTAACATTTAATTATCATCACCTAAATTTTTAATTTATTTAATATTTATTTAAGTAAATTTAAGCCAACTCAAACTTATTAGCAAATACTTACTCTAAGTAGTGATTGATACCAAATAAAAGTTACTTGGAGATTAATTTTAATCATATTAATTTCTTTACATGTATTAATAGATAGGTTATGATGTGGTCTCCATAAATAAACTCTTCATCCTATTTACTATTAGAGAGTAGAATATATAAAAAATATGTGTACTCACTATTACTGAAAGTTTTGAATACTTTAATTAATTTAGTAATTCAGAATAAATCCATAAATTTTATGATTGAACTTTTTAATTCAATTACAATTTTTTATAATAAATCTGATCACTAACTAATTTTATTATGCTTAAAGCGCTGACTGATTCTAGATATTTTCCACTTTAAAACCATTGAAACAGTTGTAAATTTAAAAATAAGTATAAATACAATCAAATGATTTTTGATAAAACAACTTAACCATCAGTTTTCAAATACCACTAAAATAAATTATTAATGTTTAATATTTAAATTCTTCACCTTTGAAAAGGATTAATCACAACATATTTGACGAATGCTATAAAATAACATAATTTTTGAAGAATTTTAAAGATTAAATATAATTTTTAGTTTCTTCATCAATAAAAATGATAATTATTTCCAAAAAAATAAAAAAAGTTCAAATTTAGGAATAATATAATATGAATTAATTTACGGTAAAAAAATTTGAAAACAATTATTTCATTAATTATTAGTAATAATAAATTAGTTCTTACCTCGCAGCATAGTTTATATTTAGTTTAGTTTGTAGTAATATTACTAAATCTTACAATTATAAAAAATAGATTGACTTTGCTTCAATTTATATCCTTTAATCATGCTAATTTTTCATTTTTTATTTTTTTTCAAAAATCTTTCTTAATTTATTGAGTATATGTTTCATTTCTGAGGTATATTGATTGTTTGCGATTTTTAAAATGTTTTATTTTAATTTTTTAAGATACTCAGTAGCACCTGTTTGTACTTTTTTACCCTTAGTATCGTTTACTTTTCATTAATCTTATATTACTATACAAGATTAATTTAAATGGTCAGAAGCAAAATTTATTATTTTTGGAAGCATCAAAAGAGTTTACAGTTTGCTTTTATTTAAGGAAAACAATTAAAATTAAATGTAATACTTTTTTATTAAAATGAGATGAGATGAGGTTAAAATTCTTATCATGTAGTATTACTAATTTAATGTTAGATAAACTGTAATTTGTTTCAAGAGAACCATATATTTTGAAAACTAAAAGAGATTTACTTTCTTAAAAAAGCTCCAGTTTATACTAAAACTTATCACTAATTATATGTTATATATTTACCATCTCAAAATTCTGATGATATAGTGTTTCAAAAAATGAATTTTACTATAAAGATAATATATTAAATTATAATCGTTCCCTTTATATTTCATCACAAAAGATTTATTTCATTTTTGTAAATTCAAAAATTCTTAATTGTCTATTGAATTAGATTCATTTTATTAATAAAAAACTAAATTCAATTAGCTAAATGAAGTAGAAGAATCACTAAATCATTAAATGATATCAGTTTTTTAAGCTATTCATAGTTACTCTTAACAAAATAATAAAAGAAATAATAAATTGCTTTTATTTTATTCTGTCTCAAAAGTAGCTTTGTTATAGGAAAATATAATTATTAAAAAACATTACTAAATTTTAGGTAGAGTGCTATAAAAATTCATTTGATAGATTTTTTGTGATTAACTTATTGTAAGATCCTCCTCTAAAGAACGATCTTACCAAAAATAAAAATCATCTATTCAGTTTTTATTTGTTTTTAGCTAATAAATTCGTATAATAATTAATTTAATTTCAGGAAAGCATTAACTTCCACATAACATTTACATAATATTTTAATTTTAATTTAATAAATACCTCACCCTATTCTAAAAATTTATTTATCTATATTATTTTTGAGCTCATTGAGATGTATCAAAATGAATTTACTTTACCTTTTAATTTTGCATGTTATAGAAACTTAACCTTTTTTAGAATGTAATCTTTTGATGCTTTATTGAAAAGTAATTAGCAAACCTATGCAATGCTATACAAATGTCTTTCTGTTTGGTAGAATCCAGTTTTTGTGTGTGGACTACGATATAATTTATTAAATCACCTTTATCATCCTTAATAGTACTATTTATAATTTAACTAATAAATGATTACTTATACTTTTTTTAATCAGTGTACAACCTTTATATTTTATTATAAAATGTAAATAAAATTATTTAATTACTTTGATTAATTTACTTACCGTATCAAATATTTCAATTTCCAAAAGTGAAAAATCTTATTTTAAGAATTAATTATTATTTATATTAAATCTCGAAACAGATCATCTTAATAAAACTCTATATCGTTTTAATTCAAGCGGTTATAAAATGTTACTCATAAATTTAATATATCAAAGTTTTTAGATAATTTTTACATATATGTTCACCTTACAAGTATTCTATTTACAATCACTTCTTGCGAAAATTTATTGAGGACTAAATAATGGATCAAAATTATAAAAAAGGACGAATAAAATAAATTCACTTTTAATGTAGCTATAAATTAAAAGTGTAATTTCAAATTTTTTTTATCTTTTTTTTAAAAATTATGTAAAAACAAATAGATTGTATCAAAAATTTTTAATTATCAGTGACCAAAACGTATAAAAATACCATTTGATACTTTTTAAGCAAAATATTTCCTCCCTGTCATAATTTTAGTTAAGTTTTAATTCTGTCTTTTTTGCTTAATTTTTAAATACAGATTTTCTTATTTCAAAAATATTTTAGTCTCCCTAAAAACAATAATTTTATTTATGAAATCACTTAATCTTCATTCAGTAAAATAGTAATCTAAAAATTCTGTAATGAACCAGTCAGTCTTCTATTGAATCAATAGTCTTTGATTTAAGCTGTCTATTATTTATTATCTTTAATTGACTAAAAGATATGTTGCGATTAGAGTTTTTGTAATTCAGTTAGGGGTATTTATATTTTTACGAATATTAAAATTTCACTCTAACCTTTGATAAAAATATTTTGTATTGAAAATGTTTAAAATTAATTTATTTTCTTTTCAGAATAGCTTTTTTAAAGTACTTGATAAACATAATTTTTACTTTTTAATTGAAAATATTCTACTTTATTAAAATTGGTATTCAATTTTTCTAATTTTTGATGCTATTTAAATAAATAATATCAGATTAGGAAAGGTAATTAACGAATTAAATTTACACTTTTTAAGCAAGATATACACAAGTAAATACCTTCATGAATTAATTTTAATTGAGCATTTTAGAAATTCTTCTATTTTAAAATCTTCAATTACAATTTTACTGATCAAAAAAATTTTGCTTAATTTTTCTCTATAGCTTATGAAGAAAAAAAAGAAATATTTATTTTCACATATGTAAGCAAGATTAACAAAAGATTTTAATCATAAATAGGTCTTTACTATATTAAATCTTTCAAATTATTATTTATAAATATATTTTAATAAAGAAACAATGTATTTCTTAATTTAGAATTTTTATGTAGAACAAACAAACTAGTTAACAATTAAATTATCACTGAAATAAAATATCTATATTAAAATTGGTATGCAAGTAGGTAAGTAAATTATTTAACATTTCATTAAAGTAAACGAGTAGGAAAGATTTGATAACAAAAATCAATCATAATATAAATTTGTAATCCTGTCATTTTTACAATAATTAAGAATTTTATTTACCTATTATCAAGGTTGGAAAATAAAAGGCAATTTCTAAAAGCCTTAATTATTAATTATGCCTTTCTAGTTTTTATGTTAGCTTTTATAATGATTTTGACAGTATAGAACTAAAAAATATTAGAACTAAAAGCTTACAGATTTTTCCTGAGAAAATTCAAAGTAACCAGTGAATATTAGAATCATTTAATTTGTTTTTGGATTTGATTATATATATAAATTTACTGTCGAATATTTACAAAGGCATACACATTCTCAAAGATTTTAATATAAAACGGAAGAAAGATTAAATAGTTTATTGAATTTTATAAAATTTTAGCTTAAAAAGAGCTAAACTCATTTTTTCTTTTCTTAATAAACAAATTTGGCAAACACAAAATAATGTTTTATTTTAATGTTTTTCTATTTTCAGTATATCAAAAAATGTATTTAATAAAGCTGTAAAGTATATAGT